GTGGGACAGTCAGGGACAATTGATCACTGGACAATTGATCATTGGGACAATTGATCGCTGGACATTTGGTCCAGGGACAATTGAATACTGGACATTTGGTCACTGGACATCTGATCACTGGACATTTGGTCACTGGACATCTGATCACTGGAAATTTGGTCACTGGACATTTGGTCACTGGTCATTTGGGTCATAAGGGGGGGGGGGTAATTCAAAGGTCTAAGTCAACGTCTAAGGAAGCCTATGCCTAGTGCCCTACTGTCTACACCTATTGAATAAGAACCCGTGCCTTTGGATATAACTGGCAGGTATGAAAGCCTGATCCTATGGAGAGGATTCTTTGAAAAAGGGGGGTCGGGCAGTTCAGTGCCAGATTTTCAGCGTGGGATTTTTAGTGTGGGACAGTCAGGGACAATTGATCACTGGACAATTGATCATTGGGACAATTGATCGCTGGACATTTGGTCCAGGGACAATTGAATACTGGACATTTGGTCACTGGACATCTGATCACTGGACATTTGGTCACTGGACATCTGATCACTGGAAATTTGGTCACTGGACATTTGGTCACTGGTCATTTGGGTCATAAGGGGGGGGGGGGTAATTCAAAGGTCTAAGTCAACGTCTAAGGAAGCCTATGCCTAGTGCCCTACTGTCTACACCTATTGAATAAGAACCCGTGCCTTTGGATATAACTGGCAGGTATGAAAGCCTGATCCTATGGAGAGGATTCTTTGAAAAAGGGGGGTCGGGCAGTTCAGTGCCAGATTTTCAGCGTGGGATTTTTAGTGTGGGACAGTCAGGGACAATTGATCACTGGACAATTGATCATTGGGACAATTGATCGCTGGACATTTGGTCCAGGGACAATTGAATACTGGACATTTGGTCACTGGACATCTGATCACTGGACATTTGGTCACTGGACATCTGATCACTGGAAATTTGGTCACTGGACATTTGGTCACTGGTCATTTGGGTCATAAGGGGGGGGGGGGTAATTCAAAGGTCTAAGTCAACGTCTAAGGAAGCCTATGCCTAGTGCCCTACTGTCTACACCTATTGAATAAGAACCCGTGCCTTTGGATATAACTGGCAGGTATGAAAGCCTGATCCTATGGAGAGGATTCTTTGAAAAAGGGGGGTCGGGCAGTTCAGTGCCAGATTTTCAGCGTGGGATTTTTAGTGTGGGACAGTCAGGGACAATTGATCACTGGACAATTGATCATTGGGACAATTGATCGCTGGACATTTGGTCCAGGGACAATTGAATACTGGACATTTGGTCACTGGACATCTGATCACTGGACATTTGGTCACTGGACATCTGATCACTGGAAATTTGGTCACTGGACATTTGGTCACTGGTCATTTGGGTCATAAGGGGGGGGGGTAATTCAAAGGTCTAAGTCAACGTCTAAGGAAGCCTATGCCTAGTGCCCTACTGTCTACACCTATTGAATAAGAACCCGTGCCTTTGGATATAACTGGCAGGTATGAAAGCCTGATCCTATGGAGAGGATTCTTTGAAAAAGGGGGGTCGGGCAGTTCAGTGCCAGATTTTCAGCGTGGGATTTTTAGTGTGGGACAGTCAGGGACAATTGATCACTGGACAATTGATCATTGGGACAATTGATCGCTGGACATTTGGTCCAGGGACAATTGAATACTGGACATTTGGTCACTGGACATCTGATCACTGGACATTTGGTCACTGGACATCTGATCACTGGAAATTTGGTCACTGGACATTTGGTCACTGGTCATTTGGGTCATAAGGGGGGGGGGGTAATTCAAAGGTCTAAGTCAACGTCTAAGGAAGCCTATGCCTAGTGCCCTACTGTCTACACCTATTGAATAAGAACCCGTGCCTTTGGATATAACTGGCAGGTATGAAAGCCTGATCCTATGGAGAGGATTCTTTGAAAAAGGGGGGTCGGGCAGTTCAGTGCCAGATTTTCAGCGTGGGATTTTTAGTGTGGGACAGTCAGGGACAATTGATCACTGGACAATTGATCATTGGGACAATTGATCGCTGGACATTTGGTCCAGGGACAATTGAATACTGGACATTTGGTCACTGGACATCTGATCACTGGACATTTGGTCACTGGACATCTGATCACTGGAAATTTGGTCACTGGACATTTGGTCACTGGTCATTTGGGTCATAAGGGGGGGGGGGGTAATTCAAAGGTCTAAGTCAACGTCTAAGGAAGCCTATGCCTAGTGCCCTACTGTCTACACCTATTGAATAAGAACCCGTGCCTTTGGATATAACTGGCAGGTATGAAAGCCTGATCCTATGGAGAGGATTCTTTGAAAAAGGGGGGTCGGGCAGTTCAGTGCCAGATTTTCAGCGTGGGATTTTTAGTGTGGGACAGTCAGGGACAATTGATCACTGGACAATTGATCATTGGGACAATTGATCGCTGGACATTTGGTCCAGGGACAATTGAATACTGGACATTTGGTCACTGGACATCTGATCACTGGACATTTGGTCACTGGACATCTGATCACTGGAAATTTGGTCACTGGACATTTGGTCACTGGTCATTTGGGTCATAAGGGGGGGGGGGTAATTCAAAGGTCTAAGTCAACGTCTAAGGAAGCCTATGCCTAGTGCCCTACTGTCTACACCTATTGAATAAGAACCCGTGCCTTTGGATATAACTGGCAGGTATGAAAGCCTGATCCTATGGAGAGGATTCTTTGAAAAAGGGGGGTCGGGCAGTTCAGTGCCAGATTTTCAGCGTGGGATTTTTAGTGTGGGACAGTCAGGGACAATTGATCACTGGACAATTGATCATTGGGACAATTGATCGCTGGACATTTGGTCCAGGGACAATTGAATACTGGACATTTGGTCACTGGACATCTGATCACTGGACATTTGGTCACTGGACATCTGATCACTGGAAATTTGGTCACTGGACATTTGGTCACTGGTCATTTGGGTCATAAGGGGGGGGGGGTAATTCAAAGGTCTAAGTCAACGTCTAAGGAAGCCTATGCCTAGTGCCCTACTGTCTACACCTATTGAATAAGAACCCGTGCCTTTGGATATAACTGGCAGGTATGAAAGCCTGATCCTATGGAGAGGATTCTTTGAAAAAGGGGGGTCGGGCAGTTCAGTGCCAGATTTTCAGCGTGGGATTTTTAGTGTGGGACAGTCAGGGACAATTGATCACTGGACAATTGATCATTGGGACAATTGATCGCTGGACATTTGGTCCAGGGACAATTGAATACTGGACATTTGGTCACTGGACATCTGATCACTGGACATTTGGTCACTGGACATCTGATCACTGGAAATTTGGTCACTGGACATTTGGTCACTGGTCATTTGGGTCATAAGGGGGGGGGGGTAATTCAAAGGTCTAAGTCAACGTCTAAGGAAGCCTATGCCTAGTGCCCTACTGTCTACACCTATTGAATAAGAACCCGTGCCTTTGGATATAACTGGCAGGTATGAAAGCCTGATCCTATGGAGAGGATTCTTTGAAAAAGGGGGGTCGGGCAGTTCAGTGCCAGATTTTCAGCGTGGGATTTTTAGTGTGGGACAGTCAGGGACAATTGATCACTGGACAATTGATCATTGGGACAATTGATCGCTGGACATTTGGTCCAGGGACAATTGAATACTGGACATTTGGTCACTGGACATCTGATCACTGGACATTTGGTCACTGGACATCTGATCACTGGAAATTTGGTCACTGGACATTTGGTCACTGGTCATTTGGGTCATAAGGGGGGGGGGGTAATTCAAAGGTCTAAGTCAACGTCTAAGGAAGCCTATGCCTAGTGCCCTACTGTCTACACCTATTGAATAAGAACCCGTGCCTTTGGATATAACTGGCAGGTATGAAAGCCTGATCCTATGGAGAGGATTCTTTGAAAAAGGGGGGTCGGGCAGTTCAGTGCCAGATTTTCAGCGTGGGATTTTTAGTGTGGGACAGTCAGGGACAATTGATCACTGGACAATTGATCATTGGGACAATTGATCGCTGGACATTTGGTCCAGGGACAATTGAATACTGGACATTTGGTCACTGGACATCTGATCACTGGACATTTGGTCACTGGACATCTGATCACTGGAAATTTGGTCACTGGACATTTGGTCACTGGTCATTTGGGTCATAAGGGGGGGGGGGTAATTCAAAGGTCTAAGTCAACGTCTAAGGAAGCCTATGCCTAGTGCCCTACTGTCTACACCTATTGAATAAGAACCCGTGCCTTTGGATATAACTGGCAGGTATGAAAGCCTGATCCTATGGAGAGGATTCTTTGAAAAAGGGGGGTCGGGCAGTTCAGTGCCAGATTTTCAGCGTGGGATTTTTAGTGTGGGACAGTCAGGGACAATTGATCACTGGACAATTGATCATTGGGACAATTGATCGCTGGACATTTGGTCCAGGGACAATTGAATACTGGACATTTGGTCACTGGACATCTGATCACTGGACATTTGGTCACTGGACATCTGATCACTGGAAATTTGGTCACTGGACATTTGGTCACTGGTCATTTGGGTCATAAGGGGGGGGGGGTAATTCAAAGGTCTAAGTCAACGTCTAAGGAAGCCTATGCCTAGTGCCCTACTGTCTACACCTATTGAATAAGAACCCGTGCCTTTGGATATAACTGGCAGGTATGAAAGCCTGAACCTATCTGAGTTTTGGCAGTTCAGTTTGGAATGCTATGATAATAGATACATGAATTCAAGGTACTGATTAAGGGGCCTTTAGAGAAAAACAACGAAGTTCCGGAAGTTCTAAACACAAGGTCATTTTAATCTGATTAGTTTTGAGGATTAACGATGTCTTAAACTCTTTGAGAAGTGAGGTACGCCCGGGGATGAGGGAGGGGAACCCCTAACAAGTTTTAACCAAACTTGTTAGGGGAACCCCTAACAAGTTTTAACCACAACATCCAATTTTATATTCCATATTTCAAAAATTAACGACTTAATATTTAATGACGAGCTATTGATACGGTTTATCTGGCAATACATTTCGTTTTACTACTATAGGTTGTGGTCTTCTTATATTGTTTTTACTAGTATTAGCGGCCAACGATAGATTTGTCAATTCAAGTTTATCTGGATACATGCTTGCTTTATGATTATTAGTCTGAAACAGTTGAGGTGGTGGTCCAAACAGGAAAGAATCGTCTGATTTGAATGCTCTTAAAATGAACAAATTATAGCTGCATTTATTTGCTTTCTTACTTGATTTTATCCAATTCATTAGTTTCAATGATTTCAATTTCTTTTTGTTGTTGTACAGGGTGTAAAGGAAATTGAATCAAGCCTTTTTGCATTGTATATTTTACAACTGACATAGCCTTGACATTATATTGAGACTCTCGAAATTCATTTGTGTCTTCATATTCATCATAATTCTGTTGATTTAGTTCAGGCCTGTCAGCTTAAATGTTGACTATTAATTACTTGTAACGATGTATTTATTAACTCTGAATCCTATTTACATTGCTTTTGCGTCAAATATATTTCTAATAATAAAATCCTCACTTAAATTGCTTTCACTTGTGCTCTTGCCAGCTTGTCTAGTCCATTGGCGCAGCTGCTGCGTTACTCGAGCATATCTCTCATCATCATGCTCTTTTTTCCAAGATGAAGAAAAATTGGAAATGTTTTTATTAGATTTGGCTGAGGCTCCTCGAGAAAGTGGATCGATATACTAAATGGTATTTTTCAGATCTCTTGATAAAGTTTAATGGTATTGTGAATAGTATTTTTACCGCAATATTTTAATTATATATTTTATTCATTAATATTTTATTCATTTATTTTATTGCATTTATATGACCTTAATTATATTTTTATTCAAGACTTACTGAATAAAGATGTTGTCTGCCTTCGTCCTGATGCTTAGGTTGCTTATTCTCTTCCTCTTTGTGCCGCCAATTGTTAGTGCCAAAAACATCTTTTATTGGCTAAATTTGTACTAATATTGAGAATATAAATTTCTTCTTACTTATTCGTTTTAGGTCATATCTTAAATCTTAAACTATTTGGTTGAAAGTTAGAATAAACAACTTATAATAGTACATATAGAAATATACCCGATCATTTCGAAATGCCTCGATGATATTCCAAATTGCTGCTCCTGGGACAATTAGTAGAGGTCTGTGTTTAAAATAGCTATAGTTATTTCTACAAAGAACGAAAAACATATTATAGTATATTTCAATAAAATATCGTACGCTTAATTCTAATAATCATGTATTGCACATACCCAATCATCGTAATCCAAGCGATCATTTCAAAAACAAATGGCAATTCTACGTTATTAAAGCGTACCCTCTCGTAACTCAAGATGGATGCAAATAACAAAAGCTAAATTAAGATAATTATATTTTGAACTCTCCAAATTCATTATCTTTAGTCAAAGCGGTGGTCACTTAACCTCTTACAGCAAGTTAACGTCTTCTAATAATTAACAACTTACTATGAGGACAATGGGTGCAAATAAACTCCACATCCATTTGATATATCCACCGCATGGACCAAAGAAGTAACAAAATCTATGCCTTAATAAAAATATAGATAAGTATATGTAAACGAGATTTTTATTTATGGGTCTACCAAAGAAACTGTTCTCGGCTTATGCCCGTAATAAGAACAGGACGTGGCGGTTTTTCTGCACGCAACATTTCACCAATGTCTTCGAGGAAATTGTCTACACCATAAACATGGCAAACAACAAGTACTTGTACAAGCGATAAAGAAAATGAATTCCAGTTTGAATTAAGATTTTCGATTGCATGAAAAATATATATCCCGCCGCGAGTACAAAAGGGGATGCCACAAAGACAACAGAAAATACATAGTGAAATTAACTGAATTGTGAATAATGGATCAAATACATAAATTGAAGCAAACTAGGCGATTTTCAAGACGTTTCCTGTTTAATTGTACAATGGTAAATAAAGAAAGATCCATTTAATTAGACTTAGGGCAAATAATTTATGAAATTCCTTAAATGTCCCATTAAATTGACCCCACCTGTCTCATTTTTCGGGGTTAAAGCAGAAATTTAAGACCTTTTGCTGCCGAATTTGTTCATAATACTGTTTGCAATCATTTCAAGCCTGGAAGAACGGATAGAAACTCGTATATTCTAGAATTTTAATTAAAAAACTTGCCAAGCAAATTCTGCATCCAATGCCTGCAAAATGAGGAATTAAATTATAATTACATTTAATTTCAAAAATTCGTACAGAAAGAGTCAAAACTGTGTAAAAAAGAACAGCCCATATGAAGCCCCACTCCAAATAATAAGTCACACCGGGATACACTGTGAATGCAATGTACGTTGAAGGAGAAGTAAGTTGGTCTGAAATTAGATTTAAATCGCATTATTGTTGTCGCTCTATCGATTTCTTTACATTTTCGATTTGACTAAGCAAAATTTTTACGACCTTATTACAGTCTCACCTTGAATGTCGCTAATACGGATGCCCTGAGCTGAAGTCATAAATCCGAAGAATGAGAAGATTACCACTCCACATAGAATACTTGTAAAGGAGTCTCTGAAGAATAGAATTAAATTTGATATATATTTATGTATCTCGGCCCAAATAATCAATAATAATATGATGACAAACATGATAACAAGAAGAACCGCATCTCGATATATATTGTTTCGGTATCTGCTAAAGGATGCCTAAAACTTGTTTGCGAATAACACATTCAAAGAATATACCATTGATATCAGAGGACCGGCATCTATGCCCAATGAGTAAAAGACGCATTCTGCCGCTTTTCTCCAAATCTTTTTAAAAAATTTATCTATTAGTATTATTTATATACATACCCTCAAGCACCAAAGCCTTCTTATATCCGGTATCTATGAATTAAGTAAAACCCACGACAATTATAATACCGTAAACAAATATACAAGTCCTGAATATGCCCCCTTGAGTGAAATGCCTCTCAGAAGAAGTATTATTAACTAAAAATTTAAAAAACAAATTTTGTCATATGGTTATTTCATTTGTTACCAAAAGATAGGGCACAGTTGCTGTAATTGACACCGCCCATCCGATCGAGCCTAAGCCTTTAAATACGCCAAAAAACACTGAAATTTTAAGTTAAAGTATCAAAATCGTCAAATAACTATACAATTTTAAAGATCTAACTAAACCTAGAATCCAAGAGAAGACGAGCGAAATGACCAAGTGATCTTGAATTTGGCCTAGCGCAGGCTCACGAATATTCTGGCTATATATGATCTATTTATATGTATTTATAACTCACCAAGGTCCGATTCAATACCTGTTTCATAAGTAAAAATTTTCTCCGTGGGCATTATACAATATTCAACCTGGAAACTTAATAAGAAATAATAAATATTTCAATATAAAATTTTATATCGACTTTCTCTAATAGTTTTAAATTTCTTAAATTCGTATAAGCAAATAATTTGATCTTATTCAAAAAAATCTTTCAAAGAAATTTTACAAACAGAATTTTTAATACATACTGAAAGAATGCTTCAGGTGCAGTTATTTGGTTTGTTTCGTTAAAAAAGCATCGATGCCGTGATAACTCGCAACAGTTAAGTTTATTTATCCAATCGGTTTGACACTTTTCCCAGACGGATTCATGACCACCTGCGGCCACCAGTCCTTGCAATGCAAACCATAGATAAACTAAGCCCCAGACAACGTAGAAAATATCTCAATATTATATGTACAATCCCATTATGTTATTTCTATCTTACAGTAGATGGAAACGGGAACAGAAAGAAGCACAAGTCTAAATTATATTTAGAATATTTTTTTAAATTAAGACAAACGCCCATCCAAGTCCAGAAGCAATCGGCATCATTTTATGGAAAGCGGCGTTTGCTGAAAGGCCTAAATTTTACATTTTTGATAACTAAAGGAAATTTTAGTTACCTGAAAATTGTCCAATGGCTAAATGCATATAAACAAGTGGCAATCCGAAGATGACCATGAATATTACATATGGTATAAAGAACGCACCACCAAACTCAAAAATCTATGATTATTAAGAATGTATTTTCTCAGAAATTAAAAATAAAAATATTACCATTGCAGGAAATCTTAATGTATTTCCACCACCTACAATAAAGCCAAGGCATGAAAGAAAGAATTCGATTTGTGTGCCCCAAAGATCGCGTACTCCATCACGTTCGCTAGTGATTCCTTCCCTATTTGTTCGACTTCTGCCTGTTAGACGGTTCCATAAACTTGTTCGCAAGCGCCCACTCCTGTTTATATTTCTCTCACTGTTGTCTTCCTGAGTTTGAACGTCTCCATTGAAATGAGGCTGTAGGATTTCGTTACTTGCTAACAGAGGATTTTTTATAATTGGGGTTGGCGGTGATACTAGGATTGGGATCGGACTAAGATGATCCATTTCTTCGATGAGAACAAGACATCTATAAATAAGTTTGCGAAATTAAAGCTTTCTTACTTCACACAAAGAAGAGCAGATGCTTCATAATTATCATGTTCAATTAGCTTTTCTAACTCCATTAATAGTAATTCTAACTCCTTAACAAAATTTTAGTCTTGAATTTTCCGTTAATTTCCAGTATACTAGTCCGGAACGTAAATAATCAGTATACAGAACTGCATTTTATTTATTAACTCACCTGTATTTTTTCCGGAGAAATTTGCATATTATTTTTAAATCTCTCCTTATGACTATAGATTTTATCAATTTGACTACGCAATGCCACCTTGCTGTTGGTATTTGACGGTGTATCAAAGTATGAAGAATCCGTGGTAGAGATTCGAGACATTCAATCTTATTTTAAAGCAAAACAATATGTATTTTCCTGGATTTCGGAGATAATTATAATTTATAATGATTGATTAACCTGAAAACTGAAATTTTCAGGTTTTATTTACATAATGTATTAAAGATATTATATTCGAGAAAATGTTTCAACGTTTTGTATTAGTAGAGTTCATAAATGTGTTAAATTTAGTTTTATGTATAGTATATATGTATAATACTTATAATATCGATTTATCAACACCCTGCTAAGTCGATTATCTCGATTTTTAATGCTTATTTTTGTTTCTGCGGCTCTTAACATGGTGTTAATTAAATATCAATCAAATGACTAATATCGGTTCAAATAACGTGCGCCCTGCCTCTGACTGAATCATCATTAGGCCAGAGGCAGCAGTCAAAACCTGTCTTTCCTCATGCTGAAGAGTAGAGTCAATTGAAACTATAGGTCTGCGCAACCATAACCGATATGTCCATTCAACCGCAAAGAATGTAGCAGCGTTTGCAGGAAAAGCTTTTTAATTAAGTTAAATTATAACAATGTTGTTTAAACTTTTCCTAAGTTATTCCTGAAAAGTACCTCTGACTAAAGTAGAACCTAGGCCAACATAGAAGGCACGTAGACCACCCTCTAGATATATTCGACGAATCACTTCCGAATCTATATATTTTTCAATGTTTTCTTGAAATAGTCACTTACAATTTGAGTATCTCTCGTCAGCTTGGAAACGAGTCTTGATAATATCAGAAGGATAGTTAGCCAACCAAGAGAGCTAACTTGGAAAATCTTATATTTATTGGTTAAAATTATATATAGAACCATTCCTGCACCACCACCGGCTAGTAACAATTGCCAAGAATTAAGCCCCTCAATGTTGTTAGTGCTACTAATTTGACGACCAATGTATTCGAATGAGGCAAAATATACACCCATTGCTGGGCAATCACGTACTTGCGTCGAAAGAAAACCTCTACATTAAATTAGGTCAAAACAATAAATTTAAAAAATAACCGAGTGAGATAACGCACGCCCTTCTCACGAAGTATCTTCCTGAAATATGAAGTTCAGTTAGAATTTTTCGAACAATCATTTAACTAACTTGGCTATATCAGAAGGGGAATTTGATATTTCCACTTCAGTTTGTATTTGTAGGCGTATTTTAAGCAGTTCCTAATTTAAAATTGTTAAACTTCAATTTTAAATGTTTTTCTCTGACCATGGGAGATACGACAAACGCCTGACAAGCACCAGCGGCAGCACCAGCGAAAAAATTTGTTGTAATGGAGTGCTTATCAGTAAATTGTTTTGAAACTTGGTCGTGTGCAGCAAAACATAAAGCATTCACCATTGCAATGCTGAGAAATTGAACTAGATTCGTTAAGTTTAAATATAAAATAACCTCGCAAGAGGGCTTGTCATTCCTATTATGATATTGGAAAATATTGATAATGAGTTAATTAAAAACCTTTATACAATGCAATTGGACCCTCCTGCGATATAATACAGCGAAGACAATGGAGTATACCGTTGTATTGAGGAAAAGTGACATTCTGTGTTTGAAGGCGGACCTTTATTGTATCCAGGGGGTATCCTGCAATAACGCCGGCGAGACCTATAAAATATGTGTATGCTTTGAAGTTTTTTCAGATAAAAATCGTATAAACTTAATGAAAATATGTACCTCCAATTGATCCTGCAATGAGAGCATTTAAGATTTCTGCAGACATTAAGAGATAATCGTGATTTACAGTTATTGATAACAGAATCTGCCTCCTTTAGCATTCGGCAATGAACAAGGTTAGCAACGAATGAAATGTCGATTTTATAAATAATTTGATTTATGATATTGAAAATTAGAGTAAAATATTAGAAATTATATTCATAAGAAACTTGTGCTCGTACCATTAGTTTAAAAAGTAGCGCCTGATCGATCACCATGACGTTCTCTGTCGCTTGAATATTTAATTGTCAATGTTATGTTCCTCAGTTTTTATAAATTCAGTTCTCCTTTTAATTTTGAACGTAATTTTCATGGCCGCAAAATTAATGATTTATGCTATGTTAATGATGTGATCATATATAGAAAATGCCTAGAATACTATGAAACTTTTACATACATATTGTTAGTACATAAAATGCTATTTTTAGTTGACTTCAAACTAATCTTAGAAACGTTATTTTACCTTTGTTTTGTGTAGCGTAAATAAAAATGCGCAATTTATTGAGTTCTGATTGAGTAATTGAATATAAACTGGAAATAGAGTTGAAAAAAACTAGAAATAAAAAATTACTTTACACATTACCTTCATATAGAAAGCATTTGTGAAACAATATTTTAGTAGTTTATAATATTTAGTAAGGTTAATTCCTAGCCTTTTAAAATGAACCCGGCCTTTTGGGTAATTACAATACTTCTTTTTTTGTTGCCCGCTTTTGTTCGACTTATAATCATCCGCTTTCGTAGAAAACGTGAATTTGTGCGCCTGATCGACAAATTGCCTGGACCAAGGTTTTTTGATTTTAACACTTCTTATATACGTAATCTTTGGAGATCATTGCCTGTGGTCGGATGTGCATTGGAGTTCTCGCCAGATAATGAAAGTAATTTTTGACTTATGACTAATTTATCAATACTAGAAGCAACTTACCAAATGGAATATTATTTCCGCAAATACACAGAAGACAAGGATTCTCCAGGTCTGTTTATAACTTAAATTCCAAAATGAAACAAGTATTATAATGAAGATTTTAAGGGATAATGCGGATCTGGCTAGGACCAAAACCGATTGTGATAGTCTACAAACCTGAAACTGCTAAGATAATTCTTGAAAGTGTGTCTATTGCTTATATTAAAAACAATTTTTATTATTAAAAGGCAACGAGCTTATCTCTAAACCTTTCGAATATTCTGTAAGTAAATCCATGCAGATTTTTTAACTAGTATATGTTTTATAGCTGCTTCAAGACTGGCTGGGCACTGGTTTGTTTTTACAATTTACCTTAATTTTAAAAAATACTTCTACATAAATTAATATACTATTAGATTATTGGGACTTTATGACCATGTTTTAAACTGTTACTCCGAATAAAATTCTCAAACTATGTAGTATAATTTAAGGTTTATTGACAAGCACAGGTGAAAAATGGCATAAAAGAAGGAAGATTCTCACACCAGCATTCCATTTTAAAATTTTGCAAAACTTTATCCAAGTGTTCAACCGGCAGTCAAATGTATTCAGAAACACTATTTAGTCATTAAATGATAATATTCAGACTCTTGTTGAGATTTTGGACGAATTCGTGAGCCGGGGATACCCTTTCGACTTTTATAAGTGCATAAAACTGTATGCTTTAGATATAATATGTGGTAAAATTATGAAGAGCAAGTATGTGATTTGTAGCCTAAATTTTAGAAGCTGCTATGGGTATACAAATGAACTCACAAAAGGGTAAAAATGCTAAATATGTGGAAGCTGTCAAAAAAATGTGCGAGATTGGCTTTTATAGGTGAATGTTTATTTTGGCACAGCTACGTATTAGGGCTATTACGTTAAAGTTTAACATTATTATGTCGAATTAAAAAGGATGCGATCTCCTTGGCTTTGGCCTGAAATTTTTTGGCGAATAAGCACAAGTGGAAAAGAATTTAAAAACAACCTCAAAATTATTACTGAATTTACGCAGGGGGTTAATTTTTAAAATTTCCTATATCTAATCAACTCAAAGGTGATTTCAAATCGTAAAATGGAACGAAAGATAGAAAGATTAAGTGATACCAAAAAAATGGAAACTGAGAAAAGGACTAATTGCTTTTTGGATATCTTGCTGGACTTGCAAGAGCAAAATGATTTTACTGACGAGGATATACGAGAGGAAGTAGAAACTTTTATGTTTGAAGGTGAACATTTTTATTAACATTAATTTGACTTTTTCATTATACAGGTCATGATACAGTTTCTAGCAGGTTAAGATTTGAGATTATTATGTATATAAATCCCAAATTTTACAATTAAGTTTGGGATTTATGGTATTCTGGTTGGGTCATAGAGAGAAACTTCAGGAAAAGTTACGAACAGAAATGCGGGAAATATTCAGTATATACATATTAACTATTTATCTCAATATAAAATTCTTAAGATAGTGATATTGGGCGGGATGTGACTCTAGACGATATGACAAAAATGCGTTATGCGGTATCATTTAAAAAATAAATGAAAAAAATAATCAAAAGAAAATTTTTGCCATCAAAACTCTCTTTCAGGAGTCATGTATTCGTGAAACTATGCGTCTTCTTCCCACTGTTCCAGTACGTTCCTACGATTTCATTAGAATTTGTCATTTAGATAATTGGTCGTGTGATTACAGAACCCACAGAAATAGGCAAGTAAATTATAAAGACAAACATAACTATGAGTTTATATAGGTGGATTCATAATTCCGAAGGGGGTGACAGTTATGGTGCCTCCCTTTGCAATTCATCGTGATCCAAGAGTATGTGACTATTTTCTTTAACAATGCTGAATTATTCTTGGTAACTATTAAGTACTTCCATAACCCCGATGAATTTGATCCTGATCACTTTACAACTGAACGAGTTATTGTAAGATTTGAAAGATAATAATTCAAAATGGATGAATAAGTTAAGATACGCAACAGGGAGCCTTATGCTTATTTGCCTTTTTCTGCCGGACCGCGCAACTGCATAGGCAAGTTGAAATTTTTGCCTACAAAATTCAAAAATGCTTAAAAATATCACACATAATATTTTTACACGTATTATATTATCTTTATTAAAGGTCAAAAGTTTGCTAGTGCTGAACAGAAAATTACGGCCGCAAAAATATTCCGTCGCTATAGAGTTATTTCGACAACTCACGAGCTGGAAAACAGAGGATTGCCAGAATTAGTTCTGAAGCCGAGGTATCATCTAAAATCAAAATCTTATTCAACTACCTATAATAACTTTACTTTTAAGCAACGGTTTTTGGATAAGGATGGAAAGAATTATTTGATCGATAAAAATACAACGAGAATTTTTAAATACTTGCAAGTAAATTAAAGATAAAGAGGATCATCATAAGCATAAATCTCTAGGCGCATCATTCCTAACTGTCCAAAATTACTGCAATGTTCTTTGAAAATTGGATGTCTCAATAGCAAATCAACCTAGTATTTATTTTGTTAGTCATTTGTTCAACTATTAAATAAAGCTACCCGCAAACGATCGTTTTGATCAGCACGCACTCTAAGTCTAGCAAACCCAAGATATTTGTTTCTGTGATGGAATTCATTCTTTACGAATACATCAAATTTAAAATTTATTGTAGGACATAAACTAAAAGAAAATGTACATGAAAAAATCCTTCATAGTAAAACCTATGGAATATGAAGGATTCCCCATCAAATTTAAATAATGTTCCAGATAAGGATCGAAACGCAACACCTGTTCTAATTTGTTCGCCAGTGCTAGATGATAAGCGACAAAATAACTCCGTAGCTGATAATTAGATTTTTAACAAAAATTACATATACAACCTGTTATTTTATTATGCGAATGGAAGAGAATTTCTTGGATCTGCAGCCGGACTAAACAACGAAATCGAATGCCAAATTTATTTAATGCTAGAATAACAGAAGAACACTTTGGGCAATAATTGTTGTACATAACTAACCAGATACCGGTGTATCTTCTTCCAATAACCTTGGATTCATTTGTTGAGTTGAGTAGATGCGAAGCAAAAATTCACCTTCCTCTTTAGGAGCAAAACTTAATTGCGAATTGACAAAAACACGAATATATAATTAACCTAGACGGTATCAGGATATCTAAAAATGAATATTTTAAGAGAAGAACCTCCGCAAAACATACATCGACCAGGAGTAAGCTTATCAAGATGTAAATGAACTGAGCGCCCAGAACTGTACTCCGAAGTAGCTGTACTCGGAAGGGGCTATGAAAGTGAAAGTAGAAAGAATTATTTAAAAATTTACTCTATGAAGACGGTGCCGTCTGTTAAATTCAACACGCATGAGTTGCATACCAACGGCAAGATAAGGTAGTCTTCTCTTACCATAAAACTTATCGGGTTGATTGAGCGCAAGAATCACTTCAGCAGTTCCAGGCCCAGAAAACTCTAGCAGGAATTGTGGGTTAAAGCAGAATGTAGCCGTAAAGTTTGGACATCTGAATTCAGAATTAATCTATTTAAATTCATTTCTTAATTTGTAAATTATTCGAATGAAAAAACTTACCCTCCAGACCGATCTTGTGGTGCACCACTCTTAACTCCATTAGTCGTCCAACGACCGTAAAAATCCTAAAATAGTAATTTAATATTTATCAATGTCAACCCATTCGTGATATCGTCGATTCAAAGGAGTTCCTATAGTTGCGTTAGATCGTCTGCTGGCCTTGATTGATGGTCGTGATTTTATTTTCGACCGGACTCCCAATTCCAGCGGTATCAGCATTTGGCACACACTTATATCGGTGAAGTATTCTAAGAATTTTTCCCAGGGCATCTAAATTTTATAAACATTAACGTAACACTCAATATATAATTCATTTGATCTTGTATATTTATAGTATATAAATGTAAATAACCCAAAACTCGCCGTCATCATTTGCCGTAATACCTAAGCGGGACTTTTGCACATTAGTCACCTATGTAAAAAAAAATTCACAAGAAAGATCAAACTAAACTCACTTGCTCCCACTCAGCTGAACCGTCACTCCAGGGTCCATTCCATTCCTTTTCGCCCCAAGGATTTTGAAGTCGAACCCTAAAATCGAATAGCATTTAAGTATCCACTAATTAATTTTTAATTTCATAAGCATAAACGAACATTGCCTGTCGCTTTCCAGTTGTCTCTAGTCCTCGGTCTGGTTTACTCTTATTAATTAGCTGCAGAGCATCAAGTTCAATAAACTGAATTGAGGTTAACGCATAAGCATGTCCCATGACTTAATGACTAATGTATGCTTTTCATTACATAAAAAATACCCAATCCTTAAAAATATCTAAATGAAAAACTTTAAAAAAATGCTTACCGCACTCAAGGCTTTTCTCAACTTCATCATTTTTAGCCTATTAAATTAGTATTGAATTTTTTAAAGCAAAGCAAATATTAATTTCAGAAAAGACCGAAATAGCTGCAACAATAAGTGCTTCGCGATTGAACGCATGTTTAAGTGTGTAGAAAAGTCGTTTTGATGCAGAGATTCCAGTTTTGTAGACAGAAAGTGAAGTTAAATTTCCGTTAGCCAAATTATTTAGCCTTTTAGATAAATGTAAGTCATCGGTACTATTCATTCCATTCAGTATTTTTTTATGCTGGCTGATAAATCTATGGACAATAAGTGTTTCAGCGACTCCACCAGAAACATCCTAGGTCAAAAAAGATCCAAATTGAAGGATTTATTATATCTTGGTAGGATCAGTAATCATCGATTTTCCGATTTACCGATATTTTTTTTTCTATCCAAACTTCAAAATATAACTTGATTTCATTATTTCGTTCTTAGATTTTTTAATAAAAACACCTGAAGCGCATCCGCTAACTGTCCTCCTACTAAATTCTCGTAGCAACCATAAAACCTTAACAATGTAGATAAAATAGGAAGTACTATTTTTACTTGGCAAAAGCCTTCTCCAGTAGTGCACTCCAAAATTCATTATCAGTTTTTGATCGCGCAAATAACAATTTGCCACTCCTACATGGCAGTAAATCATCTATAATAACGTCGATCCACCGACCAAACCGCCAAAAACAAAATTGAAAAATTCCTGCATAATCATTGCTCGTCGAATCCCATTCTTGGCCATCCGGAATCACCTTAAAGTTTTCAATTTTAAAACAACTACACAAGATGGATGTTTGTTTATAACAACCTTACATAGAAGTGCATCACTGTTTGTTAATGCTGAACAAGCTGAGACGAACCTGAATTGATATTTTGCAAATCTTAGACAGTAGAACATTCCTTTGATATTTTAGAAAATATGAAATAAAATCGTACCAGCAATTTCCAAGAATGCCTTGAGTAACGTCAAATGGGCTAGCTCCTTCTACGAATAACCTTGGATCATCAACAATTTCCTTCAAAACATTATTTTATTCAAACAAAAATGTAAAATATTCACGCCCGGTCTCTTCCACTCGATCTCCAAGTCAGCCCCGCTCCATCTACTTTCATCCAAAAACAAGGACTCGTTTGAGGGTGGAAATTCTGATAGAATTAAATGTTATCGTAAAATTGAAAGAATTACCAGAATCGATAAATAATTTGCCCTGTTTCAGACACTCTCGCTTCAACCTTCGATAAGTTTTTGATGTTTGTGAAGGAAAAAATGCGCACTTAGATGTCATAGGCGAGGATCTCGACGTTGAAGGATGAAATGGATCAATGGTAGCAGCGTTTGAATCTAATACAAATTTCGTGTTTTGAAATATGTCTATAATCAACAAATCAAGAACTTTAGTGTACGTTACCGAACAAGTTCATTATTTGTGATTATCCTTGCTTACCGTTTAACTCCTGCTTGGAAGAGAAAAATGATTTAATCAGCGGAAGTATTTTCATCACAATTATCTTTTTAAGTTCACAGTTACAGTTTATTTTAAATATTTACTAAAAATAAAACATTTTAATTTAAATATTTTCAAAACAGCATATGTACAGACGTTAGTCAAGTGTATTGATGAGTAAAGTTAAATTACTACATAAAAATACGTGGCGAGATGTCGTCATACCATTAACAACCTTTTCTCAATATAAATCGAATATCAAATCATTCTCTCGCCCGTTTTATTTTGTTCTCGACTCTCCTTAAACTAACTTAATACGAATATAACTAAAAGTGGAACAACGCAAGAAGTTAAATACCTCATGTGTGCTTGGAATGTCGTTTCTTGCAATTGTAACTCATTTAATATTCGGGATTCAAAAGTTTACCCGCTATTCCCCCTTATTTTTTACTCGTTAATAGACACCATAAACGGTTAAATGCATAACTAAGTTATAAAATTCTAGTTTATAACAATTTTATTTTATAGAACAAATTAATCCAACAATCACTAGATCTCAAGTTTTCCGACGGAAACTTTTTGTAGCAAATTTCTTAATACCATTATAACTACGATTTTTACCCACTGTTTTCCGTCTGTGCTTCCGTCGTCGCATTTTATCTGAATTCTTCAACATTTTTATCCAAATTGCGGGAGAGTTTCCAGATGATTTAACAAATGAGAGCAATTCCTCGATTCCTATAAAAAATTTTTATAAAATCATAATTTGTGTGGCAAATAAGGATAACAAAATTTGATGACAAAATTTATTTTTAAATTAATAAAAAAAACTTTTTACCACGTATTTCGATAAGTTGATCCAACAGTAGAGAATTCGCTTTTCGTGTTCGAACGGTAGAAGTGTCGATAGGTTGAGAGAATACTGCCGTTAATATTATATTCTAAATTTTAGTATTTGCATGATTAAAAATTATAATTTATATGAAACCTTGAATTGATTAAACATAAAGGATTGCATTTTTGAACAAGCAGTGCGCATTAAGCTGTAAAGAATAAAAATAAAACTATTGACTGTGACCAAGCACGTATCCAGAGGTAATTTTAAATGATATAATTATTAACAGACCGGATGGCCAAAAGTCGAACACTCGCTTCCTTTTCTGAATCTAATACATCATTTACACAACCAATAAGCTGTGTAACCAATGTCGTAGAAGACAAATTTCTCAAATGTTTGCGGGTTAAAATATTCAATGCAATAAGTGCGCAACACAATTTATTGATATTATCTTTCGAACACTTTTTAACTGTAACAAATAATCTACAAAAGTATGTGTCCAATGGATTCGGTTTGTAAGAATTCCTGAAATATTTATAATTAGCAAATCTAATATCAATTCAAATACTAACTCTTCTGTGGACCAAAGACGCAGTAGTTTTTCGAACATTTCTGTCAAACAATTCGCCGATTGCTGTCTTGTAGATTTACTATTAACATTATTTAAATGATCCATAATTTCATTGTAAACCAAATCGCAAAATTCAACTAGTTTGTCAAATACATTAATTGAGCTCAAAACCTTAAAGTTATGGATTTATATTACAGCAACCACGATTTAAATTTGCTCAATTCTATCCTAGATTAGATAAAACTTTAAAACCAACGTTTCTGTAAATTGCAACGCGCCAAGGTAAAGAACAGCACTAAAGAAAATGATTAAAATTAAATTATAAGCAAACTGATGTAGCAGAATAAATATAATTGCAACAATAAGTACCTGAATTTTTTCATAGCCTGAACATATTATTTCCTTCAAAAATGGTTTATTATTCGCAAAAAACGATTTCAAGTCATCCTCGTTTATTCTATGATAAATCTGTGCCAAAAGTCTAATACAAAAAAGTATTTTTAAAAAAAATTCAAATAAGAACCTGTAAGCTTTCTTTTGAGGCCTTTCAGACGAATCAAACCAAGGTTTAATAGAATTAAAAATGGTTTGTAAATCATCAACATCGGCAGCAATGCACATTGCAGTAAGTAAATCAACAAGTAATATCTAAAATTTTGAAAACAGTGCATATTTAAAATATACTTTTTGTTCGGAAATTATTTTTTGATCATTTAATTTCGTCGTTGCCAATGCAATGTATTGTTTAAGTAATGATTTAGGAATTGCGTGCATGTAGAGACGTATGGTTGCCAAAGTTGATTGATGAACAGCATTAGGATCAACCTTAGTTATAGGCTTGTTTTCTACAAACAAATCTTCAACACCATTAGTATATATACTGAACAAGATAGGAAGAAAATTCTTGGCATACTTTTCCATAATTTTTAAATCGTTCTCTTTGTTGATCTGAAGAGCAGCACGAATCGAGGCGAGGGAAATACCACAATATTCAGGTTCGTTTAACGCAGCACCTTATTAAGTAATTCAATTTGTTATTTGAATAGAATATAATTACCTAGAACAGGCACAAACATAGGCAAAGTAGTTCTATAGTCACGAGAACATGAAGATAAAATGTTTGAAGGCAACATCTTCCAAAGCAACTGGTCGTGTTTTGAAAATCGTGTTTGATTCAAAGATTCCAATGGCATTTTCTTAAATATTCAAGTAAAAAATCCACAATGATAGCAACTGAGAAGCGGACAAGCAATTTCAAAATCTAATACTTACAGAATGTTCAGTTGATCGTAGAGTGCTTTCTTCACTCCTTTGTCCAACATTTTCTTTAAGAGACATTTGATGCTGAAAATTAATATTTATAACAACAAAACCAGCAACATACAATTGGCAAATGTTCATCAAAAGCCTTATCATCGCCATCTTCAATAGTTTTAAATCCATCGTTAATACTACCCAAAGAGGAAATATCAATCAGCCTTTTAGACCTATTAAAATAAAAAAAATTACTCATTAAACCTAGTCAACTTGGCAACACTCCTATGCTTTGTCACTTTTGAGTTGCTCGAAGAACTAAATTTATAATAGCTTTATTGTAATTTAGAATGAAAAAAAACCTTCCATTAGATGGCTTGAAAGCCTTCGAACCTCTAACTCGCAAACGAAATTTTGCCATAACTACGAAATCCCCAAAAACAATTAAATGATTGAAATTAAATATATAAAAGTAGTTGAATAACTAATAATAACAATAATAAATAAAAATATTCTTGTACCATATATTCGATAATAAATAAAACAAAAATTATGATTGAGATCACTAAATAATATATATGTATAGACATAAGTTAATGGAATTCATCTTTTAAAACCCATTGTGAATTCGGTAAAAGTTTGGAAATATTCATAAGAATCGATCGAAAAACAAAAGAATCGGAAGGATGAATATGCTTCTAAATTTCAAAAATTAAAAAGATTAAAAATAAAAATCACCTTAAACCGTGAGAGAATTTCATTTGTACTTGCGCGACCATTATTTACTGCTAAAAAGTTACGGAGCTCTGCAGCTAACTTCTCATTCTTATCATTAAACGTTGATTGAGTCTGCGTTTTTGGAAATGATGGATATTCCTAAATATCTAATTTAGCTTCAAATATTGAAACAAAAAACATCTGATTCGTCATCCTCGTCGTTACAATTCTCATTTATATCTAATTGTTTTTCTTTCCTGAGTCGGATAGAACGCAGCAAATCAGCGCCACTAACTTCCTTACACTCGTCTAGAATTGAAGTTCCTCCAAAAGGATTATCTTCCATAAAATAAAAATGATAAAAGAATAAATAAATATTAACCATGTCCATCATCCTCAGCTTGTTGATTATGATGCTCAGTAACGCCATTTGTGACGTTATTAATATCAGAATATTCAGGAGCTCGCTTTTGCCCAAAAAGTGATTTTTTCGATCTCGGGGCAATCCCAAATTCTGATATATTTTCAAGAAACGCTGAATGCATTCTAAATATTAATTAAAATTTAAAATGTTAAGGAATTAAAATTACGTTCTACTACGTTTCAACACATTTGCTGCCCTTTTTGCAACAGCATTTGCTTCATCCTCAATTAGTTGTATATCAACTGTTGAACTCGTTTGAATAATTTCATCATGCATCAATGTAGAATTAACTCCGCATTTGCTTTTCCTAAGTAATTTTCCCAGAACATAATCATCCTTTTTATTTTTAAACTTTTAAATATTAAAAATAAGTTAACCTGCTCTTTGCTGCAAAAATTTTCACTCTCTTCTGCTTTCAATTTTGAAACAACTTGCTGTTTTTTCAACATTGGAACTATGATTTGACCATCGAAAAGATCACTTGATTTCTTTTTTTGGATTTCACGCTTTCCATTACCAAAATTTCTAGAAATAACATGAACATTGTAAAATAAAGGAACATTACCTTGCATATTTTTTTGCCAATAAACGAATTTTTTCTCTGGTTTCTTCATTCAATTCACCATCCTTTGAACTAGAAGCCTCAATCACCTTTCCATCGCTTGTTGAATTTATTGCGTTGTTTTTATAACTTCAATGAAAATAATTGAGTAAAATAATAACTTAAAAACCTTTTCGAATCCTTTGCACTTTGTTTAGAAGTTGCCCTAGTTACAGAAGACGAAGCTGAATTGAAAACAGCCTCAGTTTCAGTGCCGTATTTCCTGTCGCTTTTTGAAGAACCCAATGTAAACTACAATAGAATAAAAGAAAATCTTCATTATTTTAAAATATATATAACGAACAAGTTCATGCAAATCGTTTGTTTTGAAAAATCTTTGTTGTTTAGGATTAACAAGGACACGATTCGCCAGAAAATGTTTGAATATTTGCCTTTGGTAGATTTTCTCTTCGATTGTACCGCTCGTTAAGAGTCTATAAACTGTAACTGCTCTTTGTTGTCCTATTCGCCATGCCCTCTCTCGGGCCTGAAAATAGAATTTAGAAACTAAACAAATTTAAAAAAAACCTGTGCGTCCGTAGAAGGATTCCAATCTGGGTCATAAATTAAAACTCGATTGGCACCTGTTAAATTTATGCCTAAGCCACCAACTTTTGTAGTTAGAAGAAAAGTAAAAATATCTTTATCCTGTAAATAAAATAGATGAGATTAGGAAGCGATACAATTAGGCACCGTGTTGAATTCGTTTACAAGATCCTGTCGTTTTCCTATAATTTTTGTTTAATAGTAATTTAATTTTAATCGTATATTCCTCACCTATTGGAGTAGTGCCATCCATCCTAAGGTATTTATAACTTAAAAAGGTAATCTTAAAGATATAAAAAATTTTATAAAGTTATACTTCTCTCGTGACATAAATCCTTCAAGTATTGTAAGCATTTGGCGGCTTTGGGAAAAAAGAAGAACCTTTTGTTGCTGTTGAGACCAAAGTCGAAGGAGAGTTTTGACAACTATCATTTTTCCACTCCTTTGATATGAACCATATTCATGTTCAGGATTCTTGTCGTCTTCTAAATCACCATATTTGTTTGGACCTCCAGTTACTAAATCAGGATGATTACAAAGCTTTCGTAGATGCATTAACGCAGCAAACGCCATGTTTTGCCCGTTTATCAGATCTTGACAAGGTTTGGATGTTATATATTCCTGATATAAATTCCGTTGCTCAGAAGTTATATCGCAAAACAAAATCTGTTAAAATATAGATTGTAAAACAAACATGGTTTTAAAAATATTTAATTTGGAAATAATTCAAGCGAAAAATAGTCTATTATCTTAAAAACAAATTAGACAAAGATATGTACCTGTTCAGTTTTTTCTGGTAGCTGAAGGATCATTTGAACATCCTTTTTCATCCGTCTTAAAAGATAGGGACTGATAGCATCTCTAAATGAAAAAATAATTTTAAAAACGAAATAGAAATTTTACCTAAGAATACAGGCACATTTATAAGCAGTTTTGACTTGTATTGACGTTGCGTTTGCATAACCACCCTGGGTTATTGGTATTGAAAATTTTTCAATAAATTCTTTCAAGGAACCAAGAAGTCCAGGATAAATAAAATCAAACAATGACCTAAAAAGATTTTCTCGGCGTAAAATAAATCTAGCAAAGTAAAAGAAATCTAGAACAAACCACAACTCCCTGAGATTGTTTTGAAGTGGGGAACCGCTCAGAATTAATCGATGAGGTGTGCGTAATTCCTTCAGTGTTAATGTGATCTTTAAAAATTTAACAAATTTAATTAATTTTATGTTAGAATACCTTCGCTTCTGGATTGCGTATTTTATGTCCTTCATCCAAAATAACATAGTTCCATTTAGCAGCTAAAATCTTTTTATAATCTAACATATATGTTGAATATGAAGTAACGAGGACAGAACCATCGCTAGAGAGGAACAAATAAAATTAAAAGAAAATAAACAAACCTTCGAAATTCACTCATTTTTCTAATTAGACTATTCTTTGTGCCAGAATGTGCACCACTCGAATGTAAGACTGCAACTCGACACAAAGGAAACCATCTATTGAATTCATTTACCCATTGATGAAGTACAGTTGCAGGGCAAATAACAAGTGAAGGTCCCAGACCTTTCCAACTGATTTTAATAAGAAAAATATTTTAACCAAAATGTATAAATAAATACCCAAAAATAGATGAAGGCCTTTGACTTTCAGCCAATGATCGCAAGAAAACACAGATTTGCATAGTCTTACCCAGACCCATTTCATCAGCCAAAATTCTAAAAATGGAATTTATTTGTTAAACATTATTTTTTGTTTACCCTCCAACGCACTGATTATGTAACTCGTATAGCCACCTTATACCTGTTTTTTGGTATCTAAAACCAACATTTAATTATTCGTATTTTGTCTTACTTGTAACACAAATCCCAAACAGGCTTTGAAATATGAAAGCCGTCTTTTAACTCATGATAATCAAGCAAATCTTCAGAATTGGTTTCCGCTTGGTACTGCCTGAATGTTTATTTTTTAGTTAAATTTTGCAGTTTTATTACCTAATCCTTGCATCAAAATAATTGTTATCTCCATCATCCTTTCGCATTCTTATTGTAAGTTTATTCCTCTTTTTTATATTGTTCTTATTATGTTTGCTAAGCTTTTGAGTAGATTCGTCGAGTTCTTCGCTTATTTCTGAATTGTCTGACACATCAGAACTTTCGTCATAGCTTTCATCTTCAACATCCTGCTCATCAAAAATCCGTTCTTCACGAGGATTATCGGCCCTCTTAAAGTAACATGTTGAACAATATTAAAAATAATAAATACAAACATATCTCTGCTGTGGTAAGTTCGGTTGGTTTTGATTGGAAGATTTGTTTTGTCCGAAAGTTAATCCACCCCTTTCTATCGTATTGCATTTTGATTTAGAACCAGCCAATTCTTTCTGCTTGATCAATTCAAAAGGTGTTAGGTCTCCTTTCTTTATTGAAGAATTAGTTTCTTGTACTAAAACCTCAAGATTCCCATTCTTTAATTTCTTACTACGATCGTCTCTAAATTGCTTTTCTGCCTGGAATTTAATACAATTTACAAATTTAATACTCTTAAAAAAATACCATATTCTCAATTAATCTGCCTTCAAACTGTGCAGCATCATATGCGTCGACTTTTTCCAAATCAAGCTGTTTAACATCGTCATTTGGAGCAATATCGGTAAATTTAGAGCGATCAAAAGTTTCTAAAAATATTGTAAAAACTGTTTTAAAAATAATACCTTCGACTGATTCATCGGAGATCTCCCCATCTTCACATTCCTGATCTGAATAATGTCTTTGGCCATCCACTGATCCATCGTGCATCCTTGGTATTTTAACTAAAAAAAAATGAATTAGAGCAAAAAACAAATCCAAAACCGTGAAATTCTTGCAAATTTTAATAAAAATATTAAAAATCTATATGTTTAAAGATCAATCGTGAATTTCAAAAATAATTCAAATTTTATTTTTACACTTAAAAGTTAAATGATCACAAATAAAACCATAAAATTATTATAGAGGCTAAGAGTCATGGTGAGAATTAAATTTACCATGATGAAATGGAAGTACGAAAACAAAACGTTCGTGAAGATGACAATATAGAAATCTTCATTAAAAATATATAACTTTAAATAGAAACGTTAAAACAAAACACTAGGCAAACTACACAAAAATTTAAAGTGAAGGAGATATAAGATTTTGTAAAACGACTAGTTATTCAGGAGGTTAATATATTATTCGTCGTATTAAAACTTTATAACATTGTTGGTTGTATTCGAAGGAGGCATCAATGGTGGAGGTCTGCGTGGCGCAAACATGTCAGGAGGTAGCACTCTAATTTTTGTAAATTATAAGGAATTAGAATAACTTTAAAAAACGAACTTATTAATCAAAAAATCCTCAAACATGTGCTGTTCTTCTTTGGCAAGTTTGTGTCGCTCATCTGCTTCAGAAACATGCCTCTTAGCTTCACAAAAACTTAAATTGCCTGTTGTTAACAAATAGGTATATGTAAAAAGAATACCTCCTCGGCTCCGAAGCAAATAACCGTGGATCTAGACGACTAAGCCTAAATATTAACATTTCACTATTAAAAATCTTTGCCAAATAAACATACAAATGTGAACCGATTAGTGCTCGAAAACTTCCTCCTTGCGCCTGAGGCAATAGACGATCACGAAGCTGACGGTGAAACTCGTTCGCTTCCCAATGAAAATAACCACTCTCGGTGCTATTCAATTGAAGCTCAGCCATATAATCCTCATCGAAAATCTTACGGCAAGTGTCTTCTACAATAAAAAGAATATGAATATAAAGAGTTTTAATACCTTTGAAGCGTAAATAGCGTGCCCAACTTCCTCTAGAAATGTGAGCCTGTGTCGATGGTGCACTTTCTGCCATCCAATAACGTGTAAACAATTGCAAATTAGGTTTTAAATCATCAGCCGAGCCGGTAGCATTTTGTTTAGGATCTTTCGCCTCGTGTCGCAGTCTAGTATTTTGTTTCACATCAACTTGCCTATCTGACGAAGGAACCAACTGAACATCAGGCTTAATTGACTCCAAAACGCGCAGCGCTGCCACAGGGTGCAACAATGAAAACGAAGACATAAAGATAATCCGTAAAACAGGAATTAGTAAAACAACAAAAAATTTGAGTTTCATTCTTCAGTTGATTTGATGACAACATCACAGAATAACTTCCAAAATTTCCATTAATTATAACTAGTTAAAACTAAAGAAAATCATTAATGTAGACAAAAATGCAAAAAAATACCAAAAATGGATCAAGATTTTTTAATCAGCCACAACCGAAAATGAAGATTATTCAAAACTAAGAAAATCAATAAAAATGCATAAAATCGTAGGGACGATTCAGTACCGTCGCTTCAGTATCTGGGACATATATTGGGCCATAACTTGTTTGATTCTTAACCGATTTAAATAAGTATTATATCAATCAAAAGTTCTAAAAGTGGGGATTATTTTACCTAGCAAGATTGATTTGATCAGATCATCCAATGAAAAGTTACAGCCGAATAAGTGAGGTCAATCGTATTTGGCTTTAACTTCTGTAGAATGTTCAGATCAGTTCATTATTAAAAGATGCCGCATCTCGACTTTCGAATTACATAAGAATTACTAGAATAGGAGGGAGACCGAGAAAGTTATGACCCAAAATATGGCCTAGAATCGGCGATACTGAATCGTTCCTATTCGGAATAAAAAAGTAGGATCAAAACGCACAATTTCGAAACGTCCAATTATAAATGCCAATGTTCCTTTTAATTTTAAAACGCAATATTCAAAACAGCAAACGAAGTGCTCAAGTACAGAGCCCAACTCCGGATTAAAAATATTTAAAAAATAATTAACTAATTTTATTGATAGATCCAACAAATGAGAGTGACAGACAAATTTTGGAAATAACAAAACGGATCTAAAGTATATCCAATCAAAATTTGTATTTTTAATTATTCATAGGTCCACTTAGCCTGTGCCGAGTCCCAATCCACAATTTCCTGTGGATTAAACCAATGCGCAATCTCTTGTTTGGCCGATTCAACCTAAAAATAGGCTTTTTATTCCTTTGACTCAAGCTTTGATCACTTACACTGTCAGATCCGTGGCAGATGTTCCGCCCAGTTTGAATACAAAAATTCCCACGAATCGTACCAGGCATGCTAGACAATGGAAAGATTTATTAGTGAATGCATAATTAGTAGAGAAAAACCTTGATAACGGATCAGTAGCGCCAAGCATAACACGCCCCTGTTTTACAGCATCCAAACCTAAAAATACTGTTCATTACAATTAAATAAAATCCTTCAGACCTTCCCAAACCATCGCGACGATTGGTCCAGAGGCCATGTAATCAATCAGAGCCGGGAAGAACGGCTTCTTACTCAAATCTTGATAATGAACTTCAAGATGTTGACGAGTTGCTTTAACCATTTTCATTGCCACAAGCTTGTATCCACGTTGTTCAAATTGTTTGATAATTTTGCTTACAAGTCCTCTCTGAACACCATCAGGCTTTATGGCGATAAACGTACGTTCCTTGTTTGACATTAGTTTACGATAAATTCTGGTAATTCTATTTAGCTAAAAATAAATTTTAATTTTGTTTCAATGTCAAATTAAAAAATATTAAAATGAAAAAGTAACATAACAAGCAATTAAACAAAACGTAAATAGTCAAATATTTTATCAACCAAATAATTTATACAAGCAATAAACTAAATGCGTGCTATATATAAATAGCATGATGTCCTTCAATATGCATCAATAAGTATCCTTAATCTCAATGACAAAAATAATACTTTATCGACTCGTTAGAGACTGTTAATAACTAAAAACAAGTAGTTTGAGTCTCAAATATTTTAGTTACTTGAAAAGATTTGCTTATGCCCATCCCAACACCAACACGTGTAACTTATAAAGACTTACAATTAACATGGACATTTTTCAATAATTTAGAAAAGAAATTCGTGATAAATAAAACACTTTTAAATAATTTTTCGCTACTATGATAATCAGCAATATGATTCAATCCCTAAGACATATTCCCTTGTTCATCCTTAAATTTTGTTTACGGTTGAAGTTTCATAATCTTTTAAAAATTCAAGATTTGCCGATAATTCTGAGAATGATTTAGATGTTTCCATTTCCTGTATAAAAAATACAATCATACATATTTAACTTAAAAATTCAATCATACCACACAGTCTTCATCTTCTAGAATAACAACTTCATTTATTCTTTCACCTTCTGATGCTCCATCCATTGTTTCGTTTACATATTCATTATTATCTACGTCATTTATAAATAAAGGACCACCGTCATACTCATAATGCGCTCTCTTAGAATTGGCTAATTCGTCTAAAAATTTAAAAATTTTCTGAATATTAAACCCCCCTACCCAAGCCTCTTTGATTTACACCTTCTCGTGCTGTTTCCATCCATTTGTACCTGTCTGTTTCGTCCATCAGAAACCCACCAAGTAATAATAACGCTACTGAAATTAAAAAGTCCATTAAAAATTTTAAAGGAAATCCAGAGGATTAACCTTTAAATGTTTCAAATTGATCGTCAGCAACGGGACTTCTTGCTACGCCATTCACACGTTTCTTACTCCTTAAATAATTCACATTTGATTTCTAAATATATGTAAAACCTGTGATTAACGCCTTTAAGGATGGGCAGCAACATTTTTCGTTGAAAATATCCACGCGGCCAGAGAGAATCTGCTATCATTTGACCACATCGTCGACCATTCACCAAGTCTCTCGAGCAGTCAACGCGGTAGATTTTTTCTGTTACATCGATACCCCGGTACATCTCCAAATAAAATAATTGTAAACAGAAAATTAACTAAATGTCTAACCACATGCTTTCCCGCTTCAACAAGTTCTCGACATTTTGTTTGACAGGCTGAGAAAATTTCGCTAGCTCGCCAATGAAATATTGACTTTTTACATCCGTTTATCGTCAACTAAATTAATTAAGAGAAATTTAAAAAAAACTTAGTGTCCTTGATTACCATCATCCCAACTTCTTTCATAAATTTATAAGACAGCTCCCGGCGTCGTTGTCTGTATGCATGTCTCGATTTTCGAGCTGTTTTTATTGGATTGTTTAAAAACTTAATTGGATTAAAATTTGTCGGAGATTTGCCAGGATCCTGCGAAAATAAGTCATTAGACATCTTTAACCCATCTTTCAAAGAAGTATTTAATTGGGAAGGCATTTGCTCTCTAGCACAAGTTAAATCCGTTGAATGTTGTTTTGAATTGTTAGAAAGTCCAGTAATAATATCTTTTTCAGAATTGTTTACATGATGTTGTTGAGGACTTTTTATTGCGAATTTAATTTTATTTAAATCGTTTGTAAAAGATTACCTATCAGTTAGCGAATTCTGTGGCTATAAGAAAAATAAATTAATTTTATTAGTAAAAGAATTAAATTGCTAAAATGAAACAAACATGCAAATTTAGTTGAAATCGTCTATTCGAATTTTGTATTCTCGTTTGATTCGAACTTTGAGAAGTTGTTGGAGACGAAAAATTGCGATGCTGCTGCGAAAGTCTTTGTCTTAATAATGAACGGGAAATTGTTGATAATCTTGAAGATTCAGCAAGATGTTTGCCAAATGGTTCTAAATTAAACTGCGATTGTGCTGAAGTTCGACAATGATTTTGAATGGGTTGTTGTGCTTTTGTAATAGAACCAACTGAATTCTTCAAATCATCAACACTTTTGGTGAGTTTTTTAAGTGTCTCATTGATCGAATCGAATTTTGAATCAATATACTCAGAGAATCGGCCCTAAAATAAAATTTGGTAATGTTTTTTGAGGTTTAAAAAATTCAGACCGCAACTTTCTCGACGACAGAATTGATGATAGAGTCATCCAAATGTTTTGTTACATCCTCATCAGCATCGCCAGCTGATCGATTTTCCACTTCAAATGCATCCTCATCTAATTGATCTTCGTAATTGCCATTGTAATTGTCAGTAGAAAATAAGCGAATGGAATGATTATTCAAAATGTTAGACCAAAGCATCTCCATTGGTTGTGAAAGTGCTTGTTCTTCGTTTAAATTCGAATCATTTTGAAAATGAATATCAGTAGAACATTCTCCTGTTTTCTCTTTCGTAAGGACCTCTTCAGTCAATGATGAGAAATCGACTTCTTGCTTTACTTGAATTTTTCCGTTATTATGAGCCTCTGATGGATGTTGAAAATCTGAAAAAAAATCAAGGAATTCATTTCAGTATAAATTTTGTTAAAAATGTACTTGTATTCAGTGAATCTTGAGGTTCATCATGATCATTGTTGGTAGTCTGTGAAGATTGATCCGGTAATGTTCCGTCATCAAATTCAGTAGGGACAATTAATGGCCCGTAAAATTTATGATCATGGGGAAAAGGCAAAACCTAAAGTTAGAAAATTTGTAATTTAAACTAAAATTCACAAGTGAAAAAGGCAGAAAATGTGTCAACCAAAAACTTAACCTACCTCTACAATTTTGTGACCACTTCGGCGATTATGTCGAACACGCATTTGTACTCTACACGCATAGCCTTTTCGCCTTCTATAGATACAAGCATATTGATCAACGATCTAAAGTTAATAGCAATTAATGTTTAAATAATTCAATCACACGTCTTCAATAGTAACTCGACCCTTTTGTACACTAAAAACAAAAATAAAAAATGTAAAATAGGTATACGTAAAATCCAGACTCACATGCCCCACTTTCTATTCTGAGCATTTAACCACTTTTTGAGCTGATCTTCTGTTTCAAAACGATCAATTTCTACGTACTGATTCCTACCTCCAGTCGAAATTACCGGATGATTCTGTTGTTCGTCTTTAAAAATGTTATTTATTACCGTAAATCTAAAAAATTAACTTGACGTATGGCCAAATATTTGGTCAAGAATTTGAGAAGACGAATTGTCCATTTACGGCAGACTTTATATCTCAAATAAAAGTAAATTATAAACAAATTCTGGAAAAGTTCTTAATCCTGTTTGCTATTTTTTAGCCCTAGAAATATGTAGTAACAAATCAAGCTAAATTAACACGTTATTACTTTTACAATATAGAAGGATGCATCACAATGACAAAGTTGTGACTAATAAATGAGAGCCCCAAATCGATCGGAATGTTGTTGGTTGGTAAAGACTGCTGCTAACGACATGACAGGGGAAACTATAACAAGAGAGGCAAGGCATGCACCCGTATTATAGCTGCAGTCAACAAGGCCATTTGGTGAGAGGAATTGAGAGATAGATAGCATGTTTAATATATTAATGTCATACCACCAATGAGAAAACAAAAAATGTTTGAACGTAACAGCTAAAAGTCTTAGATTAAAACATTAATTCATCTCTTGTTGAGCATCCTAAGATATTTTTGTGCATATGGTGATAGTAGTACATGGTTATTTGTTAGTTTGCGGATTACATATTTGCGGATAATCAACTGCAATAAATGTACACCTATTTTTACGGCGGTGACATAGACATTTACGCAAATGTCTAAAAACCGTAATAAGTACTAAATATATCAAGTTATATTAATTCACATTTTCTAATTATTATTAAGCGAAAGCATGACAAACACCTGCTTTTCACTTTTAAACCACCACATTCATTATAATTACTTTCAAACATGTAAACTTTATTAATAAAATAATTCATTTTATAGTATTTATGTAATAAAACAGTTAATAATGGTTCGAAAAATTGAAAAAAACAATTTCCTCTAAAAAATTTAATTTTTAATTCCGAAGTACACTTTTAACCGTTTCTAAGTCAATGAAATACATAAGCCCTGGTTTAAACGCTTGTCTTTTATTGAGTTCACACGTCAGTCTGTCCAGGACTTAGTCTAATTGCCAGATTATCGCCACTTACCACGCATTTGCTTTACTCATTTTTTCTAATAACAATTAAAATCAAATTACACAATTTTTTAAAGTTTCCATTGAAAGCAACAAAAATTTTAATAAATCGAGCGCAATTAAATTAACACAAATGCCTTAAGATTTTTGGTAACCAATTAAAATTTCATTTTCACAATTATAGCTATAATCTATAGTTAAAAGACTATATCTCGCCAAATTATTTAAAATATCAAACAAATAAACATTGGAGCTACCTAGACAAAAAAACTCCCAAAATTAACCCATTTTCATAATCTAAATTGATGCCATATTCAAACATTGTTTTAAGCACAAAAAGCATTACGCCTCAACGTATTACATAAATGAATATTTATGTTTTATCGCTATATTAAATCCTCTCATTTTTCCTTCTTCCGTGTTCGGTCCCATTTTATGCTTATTTTCCTAAAAGGCAATTCGAAACTTTACCACAATCCTTCCATTCAAAATGTGCCACCATTATGCTTTATCGGAGAGCACGCTCTTAGAAAGTCGTTGGCTTTTGTTATAAGCTTTTCATCCAAGTTATGCTTCCAAAAGAGGAAAGCAGCGCCGTGAATAAACATCAAAAATGGGTATGAGAAATGTAGGAATATTTTGTGTTCTCAAAAATCATTGCTTATGTTGGCTTCCTAATGTGGTCATTTCCATGAATTGAATTGGCCAAATTTACTAAAAATAAACGCTCAAAAAACAAAAGGAGCATTTCTATATATAAAAAATGTTTTAAAAATTTATAAATCTCCCCAAATCCACATTCCCATTAGCTTAATGTTCTCATTGTTTTAGGTTTTTGCTGAAATGCTTATATTATTCAGCAAGATGTATAAAAAGAACTAGCGATGGGTTTGGCCACTGTTGTTGATATCAGGACACTGTGGCAGTAAAATACATCGGGGGGTTCTTTAGGTTACGATACTTCTGCCCGTTGGAAAGCCTAACGGCTTTGGGGGCGCGCTTCGCGCGCCGCTAGCGATTTTTTATGCCTGGAACAAAAGATAAGCCTTCATTGGGACTCATCCTTCCACTTAGAGTCACTTCGGGACTTCGGCCCTCGTCTTCCCCTCATTTAGACTCATCCTTCCACTTAGAGTCAATTGGGCCTTTGGCCCTCGTCTTCCCCTCGATTGGACTCACCCTTCCACTTAGCTTCACTTCGGGCCTTCGGCCCTCGTGATCCCTTCGATTGGACTCCTCCTTTCAATTAGAGTCACTTCGGGCCTTCGGCCCTCGTCTTCCCCTCGATTGGACTCGCCCTTCCACTTAGAGTCACTTCGGGCCTTCGGCCCTCGTGTTCCCTTCGATTGGACTCCTCCTTTCAATTAGAGTCACTTCGGGCCTTCGGCCCTCGTCTTCCCCTCGATTGGACTCATCCTTCCACTTAGACTCATCCTTCCACCCTTTGGCCCTCCCTTTTAGATGGGTGTCAGCTCGGGCCTTCGGCCCTCGCCCTTCCTTTTAGATGGCTGTCAGCTCGGGCCTCCGGCCCTCGCCCTCCCTTTTTGTCAGCTCGGGCCTTCGGCCCTCGCCCTTCCTTTTAGATGGGTGTCAGCTCGGGCCTCCGGCCCTCGCCCTTCCTTTTAGATGGGTGTCAGCTCGGGCCTTCGGCCCTCGCCCTCCCTTTTAGATGGGTGTCAGCTCGGGCCTTCGGCCCTCGCCCTTCTTTTTAGATGGGTTGGACTCCTCCTTCGATTGGACTCCTCCTTTCAATTAGAGTCACTTCAATTAGAGTCACTCGCCCTCCCTTTTAGATGGGTGTCAGCTCGGGCCTTCGGCCCTCGCCGAAGGTCTGAGTGGAAGGATGAGTGTTGGGACTCATCCTTCCACTCAGAGCCACTTCGGGCTCATCCTTTCACTTAGAGTCACTTCGGACTCCTTTATTCGGACTCATCCTTTCACTTAGAGTCACTTCGGACTCATCCTTCCACATAGACCCTTGTCTTTTCTTTATTTGGTCTCATCCTTCCACTTAGAGGCACTTCGGACTCATCCTTCCACATAGACCCTTGTCTTTCTTTTATTCGGACTCATCCTTCCACATAGAACCTTGTCTTTCCTTTATTTGGACTCATCCTTTCACTTAGAGTCACTTCGGACTCATCCTTCCACTTAGACCCGTCTTTCCTTTATTCGGACTCATCCTTCCACTTAGAGTCACTTCGGGCCTTCGGCCCTTGTCTTTCCCTCGATTGGACTCACCATTTCAATTAGAGTCACTTCGGGCCTTCGGCCCTCGGCTTCCCCTTGATTGGACTCGTCCGTTCAAGTAGAACAAAATTTCGAAGCAGAAACTGCTTCACAAAGCATCTCTGCTTCGGATCCATAACAGGATCCAGCTTATCCCCCATAAAATTTCCCCCAATATCAAAATTCACCTTTAAACTCTTCTACGGTTTGCCCCCATGGTCAGAGACGGAGAAAAATTTCTCCTCTCTTCCTTACATTTGACCTGTCAATCATTTTTCCTCTCTCCCTCCCATCATTCTCCGGGTACGGTAGTCCAACACTATAAATTTTCGAACATTTGTAACTTCGTCAAAATGTACCGAAAAATTTTGAAAAAAATATTTTTATACCCAGCTCAATAAGAGCTTTCGAATGATATCTCATTTGCCACATATATTTTGATTTTTAAAATTAAAATTTTTTGGCCGGAAATTTCTGCCTGAAAAATTCACTAAAATTTTCAAAAAATCATATCTCACCTAAGTATAACTTTTTTAAAGATTTTAAAACCTTAGCAGATGCAGAAAAATCTCTTTTATCCAGGAAAAATACCTTCGGCCCGAACCGCCGCCAAAAATCCCGAAAAAATTTCGAAAAACCGAAAAATTTTGGGTTTTTCGAAATTAGACCCCTACACCTCAAATTTTGACTTTTTTCGAAATTTTTTGGGCTCAAAAAATACCTAATTTTTTACTGTATTTTATAAAGCAAACCCCATCCCATTTCGATAATCCCACAAAAATTTATACCAAATTTAAAAATCCCCCAAAAGGGGTACCCCTTTTGAAAAATTCGAGAGGTCAAAAATTTTTAATTTTGACAAAAAAACGTGTTTTATAGTGTTTTCGTACACGCTGAGTACGAATCCGTTGTTGGAAAAATTCTAAAAATTTTTTTAACAAAGTTAGAGTCTGAAAACCATTTCAGTCCCAGACTCAAATCCCAACCCACAAACTTCGAAATTAGATATTTTGGCTAATCCCATTAGAATACCCTTCTAATAAGCTTTCGAATGACTACTCATTCGACTATATCCTTTGAACTTCTAAAAGTTCAAATTTTGACATTTTTATTAATCCCAGTGAACTCCCCTCACTGCCCGCTCTCGAATGACTACTCATTCGACAATATTCGGAATACCGAAAACCCCGGATTTCGAAGTTCGACTTTCGTACTTCGACTTTCGATATTATCCTATATCCCATTGATCTCCGCTCATTATCCCCTCTTGAAAGACTACTCATTCGACCATATTTCTACCAACTCTAAATCCCGGCTTTCGAAGTTCGACATCGAATTTCGAATTTCGACATTATCCCTTATCCCATTTGACTCCTCTTATTATCCCCTCTTGAATGAGTACTCATTCGACCCCACTTCCCAATCCCGAAAATACCGGATTTCGAAGTTCGAACTCCGAACTTCGACTTTAGGCTTAATCCTTTATCCCATTCGACTCCCCTTATTATGCCCTCTTGAATGAGTACTCATTCGACCCCACTTCCCAATCCCGTAAAACCCGGATTTCGAAGTTCGAACTCCGAACTTCGACTTTCATACTTATCCCGTATCCCATTAGACTCCCCTGAACATCCCCTCTTGAATGACTACCCTCTTGCCCATATCCGCAACACCCGAAAATACCGGATTTCGAGGTTCGAACTTCGAACTTCGACTTTTATGCTCATCCAGTATCCCTTTAGACTCCCCTCACTCCCTGCTCTTGAATGACTACCCACTTACCCATATCCCTCAACTCCGAAAAACCCGGATTTCGAAGTTCGAACTCCGAACTTCGACTTTCGGCTTTACCATATATCCCATTCAACTCCCCTCATTCTCCGCTTTCGAATGACTACTCATTCGACCATATTCAAAAATCCCTAAAAATCCCGAAATCCCGGATCCCTAATTTCGAAATCCCCATATAATTCCCCCCAACTAACCTTCACTCAACTCGAAACTTGCTTTAGTTTCGAGATCCCACAAATTTTAACTCGAAATTTCTCCTATCAATCACAATTTCTCTCTCACCTATGAGATTTGCCCTTAGGATTTCCTCAATTTAGAGAAATCCGACAATTATCGGTAAGACAGTTCTCTTACAAAAATTTTTGCCCCCCCATAAGTACCCCCAAGTTCGAATTTCGATTTTGAAATTTTTCCTACATATATCTACATATCCCAACTTAAAATCCTACCAGCAGAAGTTTTCCCATATCTTTATCCGTTTTCGAGTTATTTTCGAAAAACTCGAATTTTAAATCCCGACACATGCGACAATTCACCGGAAATGTCTGAATTTTGTGTCAAGCATAAGTACCCTCCAAATTCGAATTTTGACTTCGAATTTTTTCCTACATATATTAGCTTGGTCCAACTTAAAATCCTACCAGCAAAAATTTTCCTCTATCTGCACCCATTCCGGAGATAGCCCCGGCACCTCTATTATTTAGGTACCAAGGAGTTCCTCAAATCTTCCGTCTATAATTTTCCTAGGTGCGGCATAAAATTTGACCCCGGACATGTCAAACTTTCAAGCCCGTATCTCTACTCTGGAAAGAGCTTTAATTTTTCCGACACTTTTTACCAATACTTTTATATATATATATAAATAAAAAATAATTTTAATAATTCATTTAAGATTCTCTAAATTTAATTCATTTTTATTTTAATAATTCAATAAAAATCCCATCGAGGAAAAATATTTATTAAAGGCATATTGTTCTGAGTAAAAAGAGCAATTTAATATAGCAAAATTGCAAAAGTATTTAATATTAAATATCAATCCCGCTGATACTAATAAATGGTTCACACTACATTAAAAAAAGAAAAACGGCATTTAACCAGACAATGAGCTACAATCAATTTTTAATGCAATTCTTAGAATAGGCATAAGATAACAAATTTAGTTCCGTCATATAATCCCCTCGTTTTTCAAAATTTAAAAGCTTGGAAATACATAAATCTTATTCATTTTTTCAGAGATTTGTAAAAAATTTACTCTAAAGTTGTATTATCAACATCATCTGTCGAAAATGAACTCAAACATAGGCACACCTCGTCAATGGCACTTAATCCTAATTTCAATTTTTAGTGAGTTTAATACAACTAATATATATATAATTGAGAAACTTTTACCTAATAGTAATTGTAGAAAGCTTAGAACACCTTCAAAATCCACAAAATTTTAAACAAATTTTATTCTTTTAAAGCTGTTGCTCTTCTCGTATCAAGAACTTGCACCAAATCGCTACCCTTAAATGCTAAAAGTGAATTGGAGCATCCTTTATATATGATAGCGCGCCCATGGACAGACTATGCCCCGGCTTCTGCCTGGAACGGTCAATGGATTCGAAGGCCTCAAACCGCTTTAGAATCGAATCTTGGAGAAATAAGACACGACAATTCACTTCAGATACAGAAGAAATGGACACGACTAGAACCATCAATTCGTTTTTATTGAATCTCAAATCTTGCAAAACAGTAAAGTAAAAAATTTGAAAGATTATAGCCTCTTATTTGTTTGCTCGGTCCCAATAAAAAACATAAATATTTTAAATTGATATGGTTTTTTGATATTCTGATTAATTTCTGAGTTGATTTTTAAAATTTTTAGTCTAGTCGCATTCTTGATTCATGTGAGATAAAAAACTATTGTTTAAGAGTCACTTATTTAGTTATCATTTAACTTAATTCTCTTAACATTTTTGGAACGAAATCTCTATAATTTTGTCTAAAAAACTAATCTCCTTGGCAACAAAGAAAAATATTATTCAACGACCTTTTCTCCTCACATCCGTTAAATTGTTTTCAATTTTGTATACTCTTAAAAAAATCTTTTTTCTAAATTTTGTCCATACGTTGTAATTTTTGCCCATACAAATAAATGAAAACAAAATTTTCCCAATCAAAGTAGAGTTAAAAATAGCGATTACCACTTAACGTGTATTTAGATGTTGACGGATAGAAAGGTGTAAGTCGGAAAGGAAACATTTCAATCATTCATTTTCAAGTTAGATTTTTTGTAAAAGAATTTAATTCGCTTTTGATTAGTCTTAAAATTCCTTATAGCAAAATTTAAGCATTTTAAATTAAAATACAGGCTGAAAATAATAACAAAAATTGTACTTCTTGTGCTTTTTTAATTTTCTTGAAAAATAAAGTGAGGAGAAAAGTAACAAGTCATTTTCTCATTGAATTTCGCGCCCCTCACAATTTCATAATACACTGCTATTCTGGGTAAACTCACTTTCTCCTCATTAAAACGTCACAGTCGCACTATCCTCCTAGCCCTCACTATCGCCAAAAATATAGATTCACCGCAATTTTCTATCATTATCTTAAAGTTTCCTGTTTTTCATTACTTTTTACTTGTTTACGTCTTTTTTTCAATTTCTTTCAAATAAGCCCACAGGGAAGAAAAATTGAATAGTAAATTTGACAGCCGACACTTTCTTACCATCTGTTAAAAATTAAAAAATTCGATCCATTAGTGTTCCTTATTAAATTAGAAATTTCCAAGTCTAGAAAAATGACTTCCTATTAGATATGACAATCTCTTATACTTTGGATGTGTCACGCAGGACCGGATGGGGCAGCTTTATAAGAATCCTTGCAAGATGGAGAGGTTCTGTTTGGAAGGCAGTATGTATTGAACTAACACTTTGGTTGATCGTCTATCTATTAATTTCACTTATCTACCGTTATTTACTATCATCATTTGGACAAGAGAAGTTTGAACATTTAGCACACTATCTAGATGCAAAAATGGATACTACTTTACCTCTTACATTTATGCTTGGTTTTTTCGTAACGCAAGTAGTTTCTCGTTGGAGTAGTATACTTAATGGACTGGGATGGATTGATGAGTTAGTGAATTTATTAATTCTTAAATCTTAAATATTTAAAGTTCGGCGCTTGCATTTGCTAATTACATCCGTGGCGCTGATATAGAAACACGCATTCTTAGACGAAATATGATCAGATACATGGTTTTGAATCAGGCAATAGTGCTTCGAGACATTAGTATGCAAGTACGAAAAAGGTTCCCAACTTTGGAGACACTTGCTGCTACTGGTAAGAATGCAAACAAAATGTTTTACTAATATAAGTAATTTTTTTAACAAAAAGGCATAGTTTCTATGAGTGAGTTAGAAATGCTTGAGCGCGTTCATGACCCTTACTCGCGTTATTGGACACCAATTCACTGGTGCTATGCATTATTGTAAGCGTTTATGAAAAATCAGTTAGTAATTTGCTAGATATGAGGCTCGACTTCATGGAAAAGTAGCTAGTGATTTTTTACTGGACAAGATAACGTCGGTAATCTTCTTAGAATAATCTAATCCTTCAAATGAAAATATCACATTTAAATTCTCTAGGAAATTCGACAATTCCGCCATGGACTTGCTTCATTGTTGAAATATGACTGGGTAATTACATTTCAATTATTGCATATTGTTTTAATTTCAGGTGCCCATCCCACTTATCTATCCACAAGTAATTCAAAAAATTCCATATACTTGATAAAATTAAAACAAATTATCTAGGTAGTATTCCTTTCTGTTCGTATTTATTTCATTATCTGCTTAATCAGTCGGCAATTTATTACCAGGCAAGAGTCTCCGCTCAAAAGCGAAGTAATTTTACAATATTAACTTAGCCTAAAACTGAGCAAAACTTAGATTGATCTAATAATACCCATCGGTACAATAATTCAATTTTTCTTCTATGTGGGTTGGATGAAGGTTGCTGAAGCTCTACTCAACCCGTTTGGCGAAGATGATGATGATTTGGAATGCAATTATGTTATAGACAAAAACTTGATAGTATGAAAATATTTATTCTGTCCAACTAAAATTCTTTTAATAGACTGGAATGACACTAGTAGATCTTGGGAGCAACAGAATACCAGATCAAAAGAGAGATTACTTCTGGGATGAAGACCATATAGTTCCACTCTATTCACTAGAAGCCGCAAAACGTACTGTTCATCCTATGATAGGATCAGCATCTAAAATAAAGTTTGAGCTTACTTAAAATAAAAAATCAAAATACTTAAAAACAGAAATCACAAAAAATCCTTTTAAGCCTGGTGGAAAAACAAAATAACGTAACAATGGCACCACACAAAAGCAAATTGAGTAAAATGGATGAACAATCGCAAAAAGCTCATATTCATATTATAAATGTGGAAGCACACAACAGAAGACACTCAAATGAGTTAAAAAATGAAAAGGGAGCTATTGATGATGATACCGCACTTTCGAAAATCAGCAAAAGAAAGTAAGGAATTCCAAGTAAAAGTCATGTTTAATAATATTTTTATGTTTCGATTTAGCACAAAGCAGAATTGGTTTGGAAAATTGCTTCGTCGACGTAAACAGAAAGGTCATCAGATACCAGTTCAATATACACCAGGAGTTAATGAAAAGCGTCACGATAGCCCCGCAGGTTATAAAAATGAAGTCGAGAATTTATCAAAACGAATTCAGCAAAAAATTTAAAACATGACCTAATGTTTCTAAAAAATTCCCTCTTTTAAATTCAGGCGATGAGCATTTACCTTATTATCAAAGATCACCTCCAAGAAGCCCACCACTCGATTATACGCTTGGCGAAACAAGACGTGACTATTCACCATATGGTAACTAGATTTTAAAACAATGCTAAATTATTTTTAAGGACAACGAGGATCTGAGGGAGGTACACTCGGATTGAGAAGATATTAAATAAACTTTTAATGTTCGGAACTCATTAACACACAATTATTTGAATAACCCATCATAAACCAAATAAAAATCAAGAACACTAGTTCAAACACTAGAATAAGTTTCAAACAAACAGGAATTCACAAATGCAACCAAAAACCGTAAAATTCTTGGTTCAGAATACCGATATTTCTAAAATTTTAAAACCTACTTTAATGAACAAGATAAGCGTCCAGTCTTTGACTCGTAAAATATCCATCAAGTTAAATACGCTTTCTAACACCATTAGATTCACTCCCAGCAAATTCAGAAAGATTAATGATCATAAAACCCAATTTTTGCAGATTACGTCCAGCACTGTCTTCCTAAAAATGTTTTTCAAAATTAAATTTCTAGAAATTAAAAAAACCTTTCTTAATGAAATTTTGCATCGACAGGCCTAAAATTAAGTACAAAATTAAAGAAAACAAAATTAAACAAAACCTCAAGTTCTCCTGAATATTTAGAATCATAAGGGATATAACAATAAAAAGAAAATGGTTGTATGTTCTTTTCAGCATAAGCCAAATTTCCAAGTTCAACGATAAAGTATTCAGGCTAAAAAATTGTTTAAACAAATTTTTCGAAGTTTCAGAATTTTAGAGAACCCAATTTTGCTCAAACCTTCTTAACCCATCACTGATATAAACTAGAGCTCAGATCGGACAGAGACTAGATCTCGTTCAAAAATATCCGATATGAGATAAATATTCTTATGTACTTGTGTGAACTAATATGAAATCCTGTGAGAGCTATCCAACTTAAATAACCAAAAATCCACCCAAGTCTGAAAGATCTCAAATAAAGGAGCTCAAATAAGCAAAAAATAGATTAAAGTGTACAAAAAACATTAATAAAAGACCTGATCAGAATCGCGACTTCTATTCTGTATTAGCTCATCAAATTCATTTTTAATCCCATATTCTTCTACTAATAAATGCTTGTATTTTCGATTGCGCGCTTCAATTTGCTCCAAAAATTTTTGGTAACTTGCTTCATCAATTTGGCTGTTTTCTGCTTGTGCTTTTAAAGCTTCCTCGAAATCGTCCCATTTACGAGGCGCATCGTCTAATTCACGTGGAGAACGTTCAGTTAAAGAATGTCGCCTTTCAATTTGTTGAAATTTTCTATGAGAAGCTGGAGACGAAGAAAATTGTTAATGTTGTTGTTGTTCTTGTAAAGAATTCATGGAAGAGGCAATAGAGGATCCATCAATTATGTCTGTTGTACTGCGCCTAAAAAAGGAGAAAATGGTCATTCGACTCTGATTGGGCTTATTGTGAGATAATTTTGGGTTTGATAAGAGAAAATTTAAAAATTTGATAAAAGCAATGGTAAAAGTCGCTTACAGGTCTTTTTTCCTCCTATGTTTATTTACTATTAAAGTCCAAAATGGTCAGACTTTATTTACTTTACTCGTTGCCAGTTCCAGCAATTAAAAAGATCAATTTTTATTTTGTTTTGACTGGAAGAAAACGAAGTCTGAGCATTTTCTCATTTCAAAAGGAAAAGCTCAAGGATAAAAAAAAGGGACCTGTAAACAACCATTTCAACAAAGAGCAAGTCTTTCAAATACACAACCCCAAAATTTTAATAAGCTAAAAACCTATGAACATTTGCATTTGGATAAATTTGTCCACTGTTTGTCCTACTTCTCATGCGAATATTTGAAGGTGCAGAACTATTAAACCGTCTTGAAACTGATGGACTCATAAAATCAACTTGGTGGGAACAGACAGGCCTATGCAATGTAGTGCCAACAAAAGAACCACATTCGAGTAGACGAACCTTTAAATTTTATAAAATTTGAAAAATAATGAAAAGAGAGCAAGAAAATCGTGACGGCCATATCGGGACAGCTACTCTACTAGTTTCACGCCCTAAGCACAGGGTCCTCAAGAACCAACGTAAATACACAAGAAGTTAATTTTGTCGCCTAAATTCCGATATGTCCGTTCCAGACAAGTCTCCCAATCCCAAAAATTAAAGGACAAAAAATACCTTTGCAAATATCACAGCATTTAATAACGGAACATCAGTCAATTTTTCCACGACCAATGCAACACTGAATTTAACCTTCTTTTTTCGAAGAAAAGCCATCTACTGAAGTTGATCAAATATAAAGCAATAAATATATAATTTTTTAAATGCAATCTAAAATGAAAGGAAAGTTTTATTTTAATGATGAAAGAGAAGAAAAAAAGCTGATTTCAAATGATTCAGCAAAAATGAAAAGCGCAAACAATGTGGAATATGGAAAACGGTGGAAAAAAATGAAAAAAAGCGCATGGTGAAAGAAATATCGGCGGGGCAGTGAAAATTCTTTAAAGAACGCTTTAAACAAACAGTTTAAAAGTTTAAAAAAACGTCAATCGGAGACCTTATCTACACACATAAGGAAAGTAGCACAAGCGTTCACTGTTAATAATATTGCAAAAAAAAGTGAAAAAAATGCCCCAATACAGAAAAGAAAGTGCTTCCCCTATTAAGTAACGAGAAAATAAGCAAGACTCAAACGCTCCTTTTAAAGAAAATTTCTCTGACATCTCTAACAACGCTATTTTTTAATTAGGATAAAATGTCACATATATAAACAGAATGCCAAAAATTTAAATTTAAAGAAAAAGAGCGGCATGACCCCACTCCAAAGAATATGTCAACCCTGAATTTTTCACCCCTAAGCATCTTAACCCCCATAAGATTTCGTTTCAAACACATTTTTTTAAAAAACTCTCACAAATTTTTGACCACCATATTTTGACCATACGACAGAGAAGATCAACCTGTTCTAGAAAAAAGGCTAAAATTGAAAAGACAAGTTAAAAATGAGTGGACAAAGACAAAGGACAAAGACAAGTGAAAAAATAGGCAATCCCGGAGAATTGGGGTCCCTGCGAAAAAAAAGTTTAAAAATAAGAAAAAGGATTTTTCTATGGTAAAAAAATATGCTGATTACGAATCCGAGCTCAGATTTTGGAAAAGTCGAATCCCGAACCCGAACCAAATTTCGAACCCTGAACCCGAATTTCGAATATGCGAATGATAGCTCGTTCGAAAGAGCTCGTCGAGCTGAATCGATTGACACCAAAATCAACGTGATTGAACCTGTTTAAACAAAGTTATGACATAAAGTATACTTATGGAAGTACTGTAGGAGTCGGCGACTTATGTCATAACTTTGTCAAAACTTGATCAATCACTGTAATTTTGGTGTCATTCGATTCAGCTCGACGAGCTCTTTCGAATGAGCTATCATTTGTAAAAACTTTTTTTTACTCCAAAAAATCACCCATGTGGTTTACAATATTTAGGGGTCTGTATCTCGGTTCAATCCGGTCGGATTTCATTGATTTTGGTGTCATTCGATGCAGCTCAATGAGTTCTATGATTCTATTGAAAGACTGGCCATTTTGTACAATGTCTGATAATGTTCGGGGTCAAAAGTCCTGTTCGGGATCAAAAGTCCGAATTCGGGTTCGGGATTCGACTTTTCCAAAATCTGAACTCGGATTCGTAATCAGCATATTTTTTTACCCTAGAAAAATCCTTTTTCTTATTTTTAAACTTTTTTTTCGCAGGGACCCCAATTCTCCGGGATTGCCAAAAAATACACGAACAAAAAAAGTAGAGGGTAGCGCTCGCGCATTTGAAGTTTTGCCAATTTTTTTTGTTTAAAATTAAAATTTTTCGTACCAGAGCCAGTTGAAGTGTTGAGACAGCGAGCCCACCATGTTGAGCACCACAGAGCTGGAGTTGCACAGCTGGAGTTGCAACACACATGCTTAAAAACCACCCCTCCCACTTTTCCCTTAATTTAAATAAAAACTACACCACTAAACCATCCAACCAAAAGCATATTGACCAGCCATAGCATGTTCTCCAACCACCCAGAAGCATGTTCTCCAGCCAACCAAAAGCATATTGTCCACCAACCATCCAGAAGCATGTTCTCCAACCACCCAGAAGCATGTTCTCCTCCAACCATCCAGAAGCATGTTCTCCAACCATCAACAGCAGGTAGACCTAGCTAAAAATACCCACCCTCCTCCCTTATTTTTTATTAAAAAACGACCACACCGCCTTCCACCATAAAGCATATTGACCAGCCCATCCATGTTGACGTCCTGAACAAAAAAATCAGCCATAATTGAAAGACATCAAAAAACCATTGTGTTGAGTCAGCAGCCGTCTTAAAAGAAAAATGGAAAATTTCTAAAAAAATTTACAAAATCAAAACCTCCAAACATCCATTGAAGTTGGACCGCCACCACTGGGTGAAGAGCATGTTGAAGGCCACCATCCAGAAGAGCATGTTGAAGACCACCATCCATAAGTGCATGAAGAACACTGAAAAATCAAAATTTTAGAAAAGTATTTAAAAACACAAAAGGTTAAACCACACCACCACCAACATCAGCAGGCCAGGATGAGCATGCTGGAATTTGAGGGGATTAACTTTTTTAATCAAAATTAAGTTTATTTTTAAAATTTTACGCCGCGCGCGCATCAAGGGGGATAAAAAACACATATAAACACATAAAAACGAAAAAAATTGAAAAACCCGTACCGCGGTACGAAATACCCCTAGAGCTCGAAGAAAAAAAACAAAAAAATTGTTTTTCTCTAACCTGCTCGTTTTTGTATTTTAACGCTTTTCCATTTTCACATTTCGTGTCGAAACTTTTTATTTTGGCATACTGTATTTATTATTTTTTATTTTAAATAACTATACTATTTCTTTCTTCTTTGTCTCTCTGCCAATTTTACGTTAAAATTTTCCAAGCGGAAACACACGTTTTTATTTTGTTGGAAATTTTTGCTTGTTTTTAACTGTTTTATTGTTCTTTTTTATTTTAGATTGTTTATTCTTTAATTCTTCGCCGTTTGACACTTTATTTTTAATCAGAACATGTCTTCAGATTTTGGCAATCCTTTGAACAAATTCAAGCTCTTATGTATTTCTTGGAGAACAAAGCGGTTTATTTTTTTTATTCTGGGTTTAGTTGTCCTCCCTTAGTTTTAATATTTGCCCAATTTTTCTGTAGACTTTTTTGAGGGTTTTTAAATGAATATAGGCTGTACCAATGCTTGGATTTTCGCCTTTCCCTAAAATCAGATCCAGGGGTTTTGGTTTATCTATACATCGGGATTTTTGTTCATTCGACTTTTCCAGCTCCCAGATATTATTTAGGACAACCTGGCCAAACTCGGGGATTTTCTCTGCTTTCAGGCCTCTCGAATTCGTTCAGTTTTCGTTTATTTCCTTCTTTAAATTACTTTGAAATTAACTTTTTCTTACATTCCGTCACCTTTTTTATAAAATTTACTTTTTTTCCAGTTGGCAAGACTTCCCTCATCACCAGATTTATGTACGACAGTTTTGACAACACATATCAGGCGACAATTGGCATCGATTTTCTCAGCAAAACAATGTATCTTGAGGTGAGCCTTTTTTTCTATTTTCTGGATTTAAACAATTCAAGTTTAGGTTCGTTTACAACTTTGAGACACCGCCGGACAGGAGCGTTTTCGATCTCTTATTCCTTCCTATATTCGTGATTCTACAGGTTTTTTCTTTGCTTTTCTGAATTTTTTAATAATTTTTTAAATTTAGTTGCTGTTGTTGTTTATGATATTACAAGTTTGTTATCAATTTTTAAAACTTATTTTTAAAAATCTGGGGAAATCTTGGATAAAATAACATCGGTATTTTTGCAAGTTCTTTGAAAAATCGAGACTGGAAAATGCTGTCTCGGGATTTAGGCAATGATTTGGACGGTTCAATACATGCGTAAATAGATGATCATGCGAAAACCCAGGTTTATGGTTCCCCTTCTTTAACACGTCGATACAGATTTCAGAGCCATTTTGCGGGCTTCCCCAGAAATACCCCCTCGATCTTTAAAAATGGCTCAGAAATTTGGCCTGCAAAATGGCTCAGAAATAGCCCCTCGATCACTTTCGAAAAAAGTGCGGATCGTCTTTCGCCTTTTTTGTTGTTTCGTCTTTTCTTTCTAAAATCAGTTTCAGCACACTCCTGATCCATACTAAATTTTTCCTTCGTATTCATATTCAGTTTTCCTCGTTTTTTGGGCCTAATTTTATTATCCTACTTGCTTTGTAAAAAATATTTTTTTTTAATTTCAGACGCCAACTCTTTCCATCAAACTTCCAAATGGATTGACGATGTTCGCACTGAACGCGGAAGTGACGTTATTATTATGCTTGTTGGAAATAAGACTGATTTGACTGAAAAACGGTTTTTTATTTCTCTAAAGTCTAATCTAGAAATAATTTTTTAGCCATACTCCTCTTAAGGAAATTTCCATGACATCTCCAACAACGCTATTTTTATTCGGATAAAATATCACGTCTAAAACAGGATGCCAAAAATTTAAATTTAAAGAACCAGCACATTCAATTGAATTTTAGCCAATTTTTTATTTAGAATTGAAATCTTTCGTATCGATGCCAGTTGAAATCCATAAAATTGTTTTTATTTTTAAATACCCTTTTATTTTTCCGTCCTTCTCACTCTTACTTTTAAACCTTTCTTCATATAAGCCTTATTCAAACAAATAGAAAAGCAAAGCACATGATGCGCGATTTTGCAATCAATCGTCGGATCTCATAATCGGCATCGAGAATCGAGAAAGCTTGGCAACAATGTGGAAGAATGACAAAAGGCAACCAAAGAAAAATATGGTAGTGAAAATATGGGTTCTCCGCCAACTGCCAGATTAGCAGTAAAGCGAGCGCATTTTGGCCTTTTTGTGAATGTTTGTCGCCGCTGATCGGCGATACTGCAAACAAGGACATGTCATCATCGCTATTTTATGGCCACATTTATCGAATAAGGAGAACCCAATGGAACAAAAAGGGATAAAAGAGGACATAACCATGGATCCGGAGCTGGGGCAAGAATTTATGTTATTTAAAAATGTCTGAAGTAATAAAAATATTGAACTTTTTTACTTTAAATTGTATTTATTGGCCTTTTTTAACCTACTTAATTCTTAATAATCTTGACATCAACATTTTCATTCAATGCTATTATAATCCACAGCTTAACCACTCATGACTGCTTAGAAATACATATAAACACAAAATGAAGAGGATTAGAAAATTGGCGATAAATTAGCGATTGGGGAAATTGATAAGCGAGCATTTCTGATTTCAACACAGATGTGTTTGTTTAAGTGTTATTAAACATTCTTAATCCGATAAAATTTCTTATTGTTTATTTTTGCATAAACATATCTGAAAATGAGAAAATGATTTTCAAAAAATAACTATTATGAATATTTTGCTCTTTATTACCCACATTATATATCAATTGCGCCTCTTCTTTCAATTTAAAGTGAATGAATGCCTTTGTGGTCCAAGTGCCAAAAATAATATCCGCCAAAGGCAAGAAAGAAAGTTGTTTTAGGGCATTAGACAGGTTTCTTTTCCAAATTTTTTGCAATTTGCCGATGGAAGGAACCACCAAAAATGGAAGATGAGAAAACAAATTTGGGAAGTAATCATAAAATCCAGAGAAAAGACTAGTTAAATTAATTCTAAATAAATCACATGCAAATTATAAGGCAGTGGGAAAAGATAATGTCAAAAGATGAAAGTGTTAAAATAGTGTCTAAAAATAATTAAATTTATGGTTTTCCTTTTTGTGTGGGCCGTTTTGTGTAATAAATAATCACATTTTTTATTGGAGACCTTTAGCTTTGGGCCAATTTTTTCTAATTTGCCGTTCGCGCTTTTTAAGTGTATAGGTCATCGGGATCGTAAAATCTGAATAACGATGATTATAGAGGGAAATTTAAGAGTTGAAGGTGTTTTTGTCAAAATAAAAGAAAAACTAAGGAATATTTCTCAATGGTTCGATGAAAAATAGATAAAGTCAGAGATGTGATAAGATTGCAAATTAGATATTTAAAATGATAAAACAAAAATCTAAAGTGATATTAGACGATTAGAAAGTTTTCCCAAAATCCAGGTTCTATAAATTGTGAGCATGTATACAAAAACTTTCTTTGAACATGCATGGACTAAATTTCATCAAAAGTGTGCTCTACAACCAATCAGAGGCAACCAACTACCGAACCGCACGCCCATCGCACAGACACCGTTGAATAGTACAAGTTCTACTCCCGTTTGACTAGCACACACATCCACTTTTCTTCTTTCATCGCTTCCACAAACTAGTGTATGCTCATCACTCGCTGTTTGCTCCCGCAACTAAAAAAAACTCCGCCCAACCACTTTTTTTAACCACCATCTTCACAAAGCTATAAAAGCTACCTCTACATTTTCCCAACTTTTTATTGTTAAGGAAAAAAGGAAAAAAGAATCATCTATATATCAGCATGACAAATAACACAAGTGTTGGCTCCCGGTAAACCCCTTTTGTTCGATCGCTTACGAGAACTGTCAGCAAACTCCTTAAACATAGTAAAAATTCTCGTATTTTAAAGTGAATTATTCATATATTAATGTAGCTTTAATTCATTCTGTCACGCTTTTATCTTTGTATCCCTTCATAAATTTTTCTTTTTTCGTTTCACTAATTAATTATCGCAGTAATAATTATCACACTAATCATTTTGTTGAACTCTACAGTTGAGTCAACAATATAAGTGAGAATGGACCTAATTATCACTTCCATTTCCTTGTTATGATAAGAGTTTTTAACATCAAAAGATGCCGCCAAACCACTTCCAGTCATTTTATTTTTATTTTTAAAGTTTTTATGGTCCTACGCTTTTTTAGTTTTCCTTGAAAATCAGCTAAAAAATCTTTTAAATGCATGAAGAAAATACCCCAAATATGCTCAAAATGTTTAGATAACCTATCAACTAGTCTTTAAAAAATGTTCAGACTGAAAGGCATTTAAGAGCATCTTTATACCTTAAATAGGGCATTTTGCACTTTCACAGCTGCTCAGTTATTTTACAACCTTAAAGCTAAAAAATTAAAAATACAGCCTTTAAAAATTACAATATAATTTTCTTTTTCTCGTTTACTGATTTTTTGCCAATTCATAAAAGCCGCCGCCTGATTATGCGCAGAAGCGGCGCGCATTGACTCTAATTTTGGGCCGAGCCGGAAATTGGCTAACAGGATGGGAAAGATGGTCAATAGAAAAAAATAAAATGAGCAAGAGCAAGGGGAGAAAAAACTGAAAAAATGGCTGGCAATTAATATATGCAGCTGAAAATTCTATAGGAATTAGAAGAGATTGTTGGAAAGGAACCCGGCTTAGATTTTTAAAATATTTTGTTATACTTAATTTTCATTCAAATATTTTCAGATGTTTTATTCTCCTGACCAGCCTCATCATCATAAACAAAATCGCAAAAAATGCAATGATAATACGCCTCAGACTACTGTTCCAAATGGGGCATTTCCTTACGATATTAATTCAATCTACCCTCTATTCACAACGACAAATACGATGCCACCAAATTTGTCATTCGGGATTTTCCCATCACCGCGCTTTCATTCTCCAGCCTTACTCCCATTATTGGCTTTACAAAATATGACAACACAAATTGCCAATTATTCTGTGAATTCACCAGCTAACCAGACTACAAATAGTAGTATTTTTCCACAATTGCCTAGTATACAACAAAAACAACAAAAAATACTTGAATGGATTCAGGCCATGCAACAACAACGACCAATCGCAGAATCGATGGTACATCAGTATTTAACGCCAAAAATGCACGAAAATACTAACTCAATTTCAAACAGTATTCTTAAAAATGAAACAAACGTCGTCAAGAAATTCGACTTTGCAGATATTTCTTCATGTGTTGGCAATGATCAAAAATACAACAGAGGTATTCTTGCTTTTTATTTTTTTATTTAAATATTCAAATTAAGAGATAAAGACAGAAGCCGAAGGTTTAGAGGCAAAAGATTCTGCCTTTACTAAAACGCACGTCTCCCCTGAAGCCTCCTCTGCTTCACTTTTTGAAGCAGCAATTGTAATTGCTGCGGCCGCAGCTTCCGCTGCAGCTGAACAAAAAACTACAGATACATTCATACAAGTGAATATTCATCAAACAACTGATAATCAATCCCACACGTAAATTTAGAATTATTCAAAGTTTACATAATTTTTAAATTAAGCAAGACTGTGAACAAAAATACACAATCCGCTGTTAAAGTTAAGCCAGAAAGAGGGATACCCCCTTCGTACCCCCCTCGCTCAGTAAGAAGTCGGCGACAGCGCAAGCAATTTATTTGTCGTTATTGCGGACGCCAATTTACTAAATCTTATAATCTTCTGTAAGTTTTACAAACAAACAAATCCAAAAATTAAAAATATTTGACAGTATCCACGAACGCATACATACTAACGAGCGTCCATTTCCATGTGATGAATGTTCGAAATCGTTCCGTCGCCAAGATCATCTACGCGATCATAAGTTTGTTTTTGTCCCAATCATTTCAATTTATAAACTCTATACTTCTTCAGGTTCACACACGCCAAAGAGAAACCTTTTAAATGTAGCGAATGTTCACGTGGTTTTTGTCAGCAACGTACATTGTTGATTCACCGGCAACGAGACCATGGTGCCAATGTCGTTTTGCCTCCACGCAAAAATGCTAGTAAATTGAAGATTCTTAAAGAAAAAGTACAATAGATATAAAAATTTTTAAAGAAATTGTGACACTTTTTAATTTTACTTGATTGATAAACAAGTTTATAATACTGTATTATGTGGCCCTCAATCACAAGACTCAATTTCCCATATTCATGGGACTCAAGCGACACGAGAATTTTTCAGAAAAGCCTTTTTTTGGGCGTCATTTACTTTTTTCCCTTGCTTTAGATTAATTTTCTTTTTTTTAATTTAGAAATTTGATCTTATAATGTAAATCTTCAAAATAAATTAGAAAGATGTTGGGAATTCCATTTCTTTCCACTTACATTCAACGTATTGTTAAGGTTCAGGCTGTAGCTGATTCAGTGGACTGGCTTAATTATTATTGTACTTCTGTGCTTCTAGCCTTTTTTGCATTGGCAATTTCAGCTAAACAATATTTTGGTTCACCTATTCAGTGCTGGACGCCTAATGGTTTTGTATTACCTTATTAATAGTATCGAATTGTTTTTTAGAGTTCAAAGGAGGTTGGGACAAGTATGCAGAGAATTACTGTTTTGTGTCGAATGCTTATTATGTACCTTTTGATGAAGAAATACCGAGAGATTTGTCACACCGCCAGGATCAGATTAGTTACTATCGGTATATTTTTTGCTTAAAGAAACGATTGTTTCCTTAAATTTAAAGTTGGGTCCCCGTCGTATTAGCTGTGCAGGCTCTACTCTTCTGGTTGCCCAATTGGATTTGGAATATTCTACATAAACAAACAGCTATAAATCCACGTTGTCTCCTCAACGAAGCGCAGAAAAGTCGAAAATTGCATGGAGCTGACCGTGATAAAGAAATTGGTGAAATTGCGTCTTTTGTCTCTGACACAGTTTGTTTTTTCCTTTTTTCAAATTTTACAATTTTAATCTATCAATTTCCAATGTAAGCTTTCCAACTTTTCACCTGACGAAAAATTTGGTTATCGATCCCGACATCCTTCAGGGTTAAATGCTACTTTTCTTTACCTTGCTCTCAAACTTCTTTATATTGTAAACTGTTTTGGTCAATTAATAATTTTTAATCGTTTTCTTGGTGGCGAATTCCATAGCTGGGCATGGCAGGTATAACAAATTGTTGAAATTTCAACAAATTTAAATTCAGGCCGTTTTCGACTTGTTCAAAGGTGTGGATTGGGGGGAATCTAAATTATTTCCTCGTGTTATCATGTGTGATTTTTCAATTCGACGTTTGGCCAATCCTCAACGACACACAGGTTGTTATTGATAAATATTGTCATTTTTGGTTTTAAGTTCAATGCGTAATTATGTTAAACATGATAAATGAAAAGTATGTTTTTTATCTTTTAACTTGTTTATTTTTTTTTATTCGAAGGCTCTACTTCTTCCTTCATTTTTGGTTTTTGTTTGTTGGTATTGTAACACTCGTTAACTTTTTCTACTATTTTGCTATGCTCATGATACCAAGGATGCGTACAAATTTTATCCGACAAAATATTAACAAGCATCAACAGAAGGTAAAATTTTTTGAATGTCTAGATTACTTCCTGAATTTATTCTAAATTTTTTAAGCTACGTGGTTTTGGTCGTCGTGAACTCCACCGATTTGTCCAGTGTCGTTTACGCCCGGACGGAGTTCTTCTATTTCATTTTATACGGCAACATGTTGGTGGTCGCTTTACTTACGAATTGCTTAATGAGTTGCTGCGTCTACATTGGTTGGCACAGACTAGTGGGGCAACACATCATGGTAGACTTGGCAATATTAATATGGTTAAAGGAAGTTCTAACACTGCAACAACAGCACATTTTATGGGTAATGGTTCAGATGGAGTCGAAAGCACCACTAACTCACCAGGTCGTGGAGATATTCTGACTATTGGACATCAAGATGAAAACAGTTTTTCTCGCCAAAACACTTATAAAGTAACTTTCTTGTTTTTTTTTAAATTTTATTTTATAAATTTCAAAGCCTACCGCTTATGGGCATTCACTTGGATATGCAAACATGTCTATGGGAATCAATAAGTCATTATCTGATGTACCAGTTGCGCTACATGAAACACAAAATTTTCCCATAATGCATCAGAATGCCTTTAATTCTGCCTCTCTTCTGCGCACTATCAGTGGGACAGCTTCTCCAACCAATGCTTTTGGACAACCAAAACTGGCAGAAAATCAGTATAGTGCACCACCAACTTTACAATTCGTTGATGGAGGTGATGAGAAAAATCGATCGAAGCAACATAATCAGTCTATGAATACAACTCCATTAATGCAACCTCGACGTTCAAAATCTCCATTGGTTTAATTATTATTTTAATAATCTAATTAGGTTTTTTCTAAAAGGTGACTGGTCTTGGCAAGCGTCTTTTGCAATCTCCACAGGGGCTGAACAATATGGATTCTCAAACAAACAAAGAAGATGTTTCATCGAATGATGAAAATAACACCAATACCAATTCTGATGTTTGATTAAAAATAGTACAATTTTTGAAAGGTTTGATCAATATTTTTTATCTAATTTATATATTTTGGCTTTCTAATTTATTTTTGAATCTCCTAACTTATTATATTTTTTACTGCCATTAATTCTTATTTTTAACTATACTCTGGGATTCTAATTCAAGTATTTCACTTTAAACACCAATGTTGCTTTAACATTCCATTTATTTTTGCATTTATGAGGATTCTACCTAATTTTATACTATAACCTTAATATTTTCTAATTTATACTTTTTGTAACGCTGATATTTTGTAACGAATAAATATTTTTCAGTTATTCTGCCATTTCTTTCTTTTAACGGAATTCCTTAATTTTACTTTATTGAATAGAAAGCTGATGATAATTGTGAAACTAAATTTAATAAAATTTTAACAGATTGACTGTCAAAAATAACTAAAGTTTTAACTTGTTAACTTGTGATGGAGGTTGAAAAAGGCGTAGTGCGTCGATGTGTTTGTTCAATAGTTAGGCAGGTTTGAATTTAGAGCTTTAGTGTTTTTTGTATTCCAAGGTGATTTTGGCATATTCCCTCGGGTTGCCTTTTCGTAATAAATTCAAAATTTAAGTTTGACTACAAAACAAAGGAAATAAACGCAAAAGCTCTCAAAGAACTTGTGGGAACCGTACGAAGAATGGAAAGTATAATTCCTTCATTTGTTGATATTTTGTTTGAGCAACTCCGTCAAACTGATTGTGATGTACGACTTTGTGTTCTGCACGTTTCCGGGTATTTCTTTCAACGTTCCCACAGGTTTCGTATTGAGTTGATCAATGGAATTCAGGTTTATTATTTTTATTATAAAAGAAAATAAGGCTTAAGGATTTCCTTGTCTACACTTTGGAAACTGACCCTCTTCATTACCCTTTGCCTGGACCGCCTGAGGCAGCTTGTTTACTCAAAAAGGAAACAATTACAATGCTTCGTTGTTGGATCGACAAATTTGGACTGGGTTATCAAAAATTGAAATCACTTGGAAATTACTTGAATAAATCAAAAAGTCTGGATTGGGAAAATTCCAATACTACTTCACATGTATTTTGTTATAAAATGAAGTAACTTTAAAATTTTTAAGATTGAACGGGAGCGTGCTGCAAATGAGGCTTTCAAACAAGAAGTGAATGCTCGAAAGGTTGTCGAGAAAATTACCAAACTTTTTGATGAGTCACGAGCCGATATTGAAAGGATTCAGGTTGAAGCATTCCAGGTTAGATAGCTTTTTCTAAGCAATTGCCTAAAGGTTTTAGTTATCAGAGCTTTTACTTCCAAATTTTTGTTCTTTTGATAACAAAAAAGAAATTGGTGGTTCTTCAGAAGGAAACGAAAGATCATTAAAGGTAATTTTTGTCACATAACTTATTAAAACCTAATAAATTTAGACAAATTCCGTCGACTCACATGAAGCGTTCCTGCCCAGCACTGATGTTACAATATATCTTAAACCACAAGTTGAAGTTGAAAAAAGCGCTGACAATGTTGATCTAATCCATCAATTGTATGAAACCACTAAGCAGCTTGAAAAATGGACTAACAACGTTAACAATTGGTATTGTGAAGTTGCGAACTTTAGTGAATTAGAAATATTTTAGGCTTAAAAAACTGTCTCAAATCGGAAGTAATACACAAACTTCAACAACCGCCATTACAAAACGGTTAATTGATACAAAAAGAGGATTAATGGAGGAACTGGAAAAATGCAAAGAATTTAAAATTAAAGCAAAAACTGATGGAGATATTGATGGATCAAGTTCCATTGATTCTGAAGATGAGGAATTTTTGGATGTTGAAGAAAAAGAAGGTTTTTAATTTTGAATAAAAAATTGTTTAAAAAATTATTTCCTCAAGGTTATGAAGCAGAACTAATGCAATATTCATCTGAAAATTCAAACAAAAATGAGGATCCTCTCATCTGTTCCACAATTCCAGGCCCAAGTAATTATTATACACAACACAAATCTTCTCAACAATTTGACCAAGCATTGTTAATTAGAAAAGATCAGAAGAATGAAAAGAACAATTTAAATAAACCAAAACGTTTGGCAATGGGTTTGGATTTATGCTATTGGGGGGAAGATTCAGGACGTATAAATCCTGAAACACAAAGGGTAAATAATCAAGTAGCTGATGATTGTTGGTGGAGAAAACATTCTGAAGATGATAAGTGAGTTGTGTTTTATTTCATTTTTAAAATGATCTGTTAGAAACGGAATATTTTAGTTTCTTTTTTTGAAATTTTAGTTGCAATAATGAAGCGCGTGACAATTGTGATGAGAAATCTTATGTTCCTAGACAGATAACATTTGTTGGTGAACTGCCAATTTTACAGAAAATGTGCCGGTATCGCTATATAAAATATAAATTTTTACTAAAATATAACATTTGCAGTGCACCATTACCTAGTGGTAAACTCTGCCCACGAATGGAATACGATCGTTGTGCGTTACACGGGTCGATCATTGACCGAGATGAACAAGGATTCCCAATGGAAGAGCAAATTGAGTAAGTACTTTGTATGACAAAATTCTCATAATTAAAAAATAGGGCTGAAAATGCTGACAACAAGAAAGCTGATAAGAAGAAAGCTGAAGATGAGGAGGCCTATATCCGAGACATTGAAGATGCTACTGGCATGAGATTAGCAGGAACATCTTCGAACTCGCTCAATACCAAAAAGTGCAATAAAACTGCAAGACAACGACCAAAACCAGAAGGTTTATTGGGACGAGAACGCTTAAAGGTGTAGTAATTAATTAGGAGAATCATTTAGATTTTTATTTAGACAAAATTGTTCGACAAGCGAGCACTCAAAAGGGTTTCTGAGACATTAGGGCAAATACAAAAGGCTAAAGCTGAAAGAAATTTTTTACATCAATTTAATTATGCTATGACTAGACGATAAGAGTTAGGATTTATGTTTAAGAATTTTCTAGTTTGTATTTTCACCCGGTTTAAAATTTTTTATTCAGTAATTTATAATTTTTTAAAACCTAAAAATCGTCATCTGAATCAAATACATCTCCGCTTCCAGAATTTTGTTGTTGCTCCTTTTCTATTTGTTTTAGTTTCGGCAAAAGCTCACCACTAACTTTTTGTATATATGTGAAGAATTTCTTCTAAAATATTTGAGAAATTATAACTGAGGCCAGTTAAAGCCAAACTTGTAGCCTTTCGCTGTCTTCTGTACTAAAGTTTTGCGATGCCTGTTCACATACAAGTTCGCAAATCTGACCAATTCGAATTTGAATTTTTTCCAGTTTAAATATTTCTGCAGCGTTTTTTTCTCCCATTGCACCAAAGTCAGCATCCATTAGCTTTGCAAGGGAATCACGAAGAAAATTTGAAGATCTTTGTTCTAAAATTTTGAGGTTTATTGACATTTTCTCCCAACATACCGCCTATTGTTTTGTCCAATCCATATTTGATAGCAGCTAGGGCAATCTGGGACGGAGGATATAACAACATCACATCACCATATAAGCACATCTAATAATTTTTGTAATATTTTTCAGTCAATAAGCTTTTTACCCTAAAAAACTCCGTAGAGAATGGCCTTATTGCCTCAATGTCAAATTTGAGTGATGAGAGCTGCAATCCCATTCTTGTTTTTATTTCGATCATGTGCCCTTCGAAGGGACGAAAAGGTGAATGCACAGCCAAGTAATAGTCCAGCTTAAGCATAATTTCAGGTTCTAAATTCAGCACTGTTTCGATGTTTGATTCGCGCGTGCCGCTGCTTAAAATAAAATTTCAAATACGCTGATTTTAAGTTTTTAAACCTGAGATTGTCAACAAAATTGTCAATGGTGACGTTGAATTCATCTACCTTTAAATTGGATTAAAAATAACTTTAAAAATATCAACCTTTGCTGCAAGATAATAACAAGAAACCATAACATTCTTAGGCGAATACTCCATTACAGAATGTCTCATGTAGAACCGTTTGAAATAAGCAAATGCAGTCCATCTAACTGAAGGCCACATCTCAGGGCGGAATTCGTCTCCAAAACTAAATAATTGTTTAAAATAAGGAAAATAGGTAATTTACCGAATTCCAGTTTCAGTCACTATTCGACAGAAAACGGCTTCTTCATCGGCAGTAAGAAAGTCTTCCTCACTTGCTACATAGGGATATTCCGCCAATATTGTCTTAAATCTTTAATATTTGAGTTTGATTAGTTGATAATAAGTTTATTACCTGTCAATGTGTGCTTTATTAACTGCCTTTCGCATTTCTGATAGTTCATTTTTGTTCCCAAAAATCCAAAAACGTTTTTGTGTACTCGTTGGAAACATTTCTAACAAAAATTATTAATAGGAATATTCCACTCAATTAAAAAAGAAAATTCCTTACATATGGATATTTAAAAAAAATTAATTAATAAAAAACCATTTATTATCAAAATATATACTGAATAAAAACTGTAAACTTTTCTAAATAATATTTTAAGTTGTCAATTGAATAATCGAATTTCTTATTAATTTCCCATAAAACATATATAAATTGTGTCTTTACAAATACGAATGATCTCGATTATTTGAATCTGTAGGAAGAGTTGTATTACAATTATTGCCATCATCACCTTCAGTATTTTCTCCCTTCTCCCCTCCCTCATTTACAACTTGATTGAGTTGCATTGATTCACCGCCTTCTTGAAGTTTTTGTTGTGACGATTTGTCCTCCTTTTCTTGCTCTGATTCTTGCTTCTTTATCTCCAATTCCTTTGAATGAGTAACAGAAACTGACTTTTTCGGCGAAGAAAGAATTGCAGAACGAACTGGTTTCTTTTTTGGCGATGGATGCGGACTATAATATTTGTTTGAAAAAATACTTTAGTTAAAATAAAGTATACCTTGAAACATACCCTGGAAGAACTGGTCCCAAAATATTTCGTTCACTAAATAAATTAAATTTTTCCACTCATATCAGAACATAAAATAGTTACTTACATTTTTGGATCTGGATAATACGGTCTTGGATTTGTCCAACTAACAATCTAAAAATAATTTGTATTAATGAATATATAATTAAAAATTACTTTGCCAGTTGAATACATTATACGACCAGGATTATAAGGATCAACCAGCTGCGTGAGCATATCAGCCTTTTCCTTATCCATACACGGAACGTCTGCTCCCGGTGCAACTTAATAAGAAAACTCAATAAAATAATTTTTAAGTTATCACTCACCAAATTCATCAGGTGCCAAATTTAATTTCTCACAATATCTAAGTTAAATTTTATTTATTGTTATCTTTAGATTTTTTTTACCTATACATTAAATGAACACGCATATCAGAGCAGAAGAATGCACCAGCATCGCAAAGCGAGCAACGAACACGAATAACTCTAATATGCGAAACCATATGACGACGACCATCCTTTAGGATTGTAAATAAAATATAAATAAAATTTTAAATATTACCTTGATATTTTTGCGAACATCACCACACTCTCCACATTGACATAATCCATCCGAACTAACATTCTTGTTGAAAAGCGGTTTCAATGGTTTAAAGAAAAGATCACGCTGCGTTTCCGTTAAATAAACTGGAATTTGTGCAAGATCCTTAAAATAAAAAAATATTTAATCAAATCATTTTTTAAACTTTAGGTTTTGGTGGTGGTAACGGACGATTTCCAGATGTATTTGTTACTGATGGAGAAAATTTAGTTATTTTCTCTTTCGCATTACTAGTCCCAAGGACTGAAAGTTCTCCATCCGCTTCTTCATTGGTTAATTCGTTCAAATTTTGTTTTCGATGAGAAGACGATTTGTCTTAAAATTGTTTTTTAATGTTAATTTACCTTTGTGTAAAAAATATACCAGAAGTGGTCGAAGTTTTGGTTTTAGTCTCTTTAAGCACTTTAGCCCGTGGAGTATAAAGCACCAATTCTTCTTTGTACCGATCAGTAATAACAGAAGGGAATTGTTGCTTTTCCTTTGTTAAAACTGGTGGAGTTTCAGATTGCTCCTCATTCGCAGAGTTTGAGTCAGTTCCACAAATTTCATCCAACATACTACTTGTTAATTAAAAAATGTGTTGGAATTTTCAATATTTTAAATAAGAACACAAAAAGGTTCTATAAAAATCATTAAATAATTTTTTATGTATACCGATCAATTTGTTGTTTTGTTGTTGCCGCAACGCTTCCTCCTCTAGCACCATTGGAAAATTCTGTTGGTGTTTCACTTCCTGATTTATCAGTCTTTATTGAATCGGGAAGAACAAAATCTCGAAATTCGCGAAGAGCTGCTGCTGCTGTTGTCGGTACAGTTACTGCTTGAGGCGCCTTCTTTGCTTTAGTAAGATCAACGTTTTCTTGGTGAACAGCTTCTGCACTCGATGTAACAATTGGAATTTTTTGACGCTTCTGTCTCATTCTGCGTTCAGCGGTTCCGTGAGACAAAATTCTTCGTTTACCAGCAGAAAACACTTTAATCGGTGTTTTTTTCGCAGTTTTTTCTGGACTTTTTGGTTCTTGTTTTGTTGGTGTTTTATCGGACTTTTGCTTTGGTGCTAAATAAAACGATTTTATAAAAAGAAAATGTTTTAAAAATACTTCCTGATCGTTGCTTCCGTCCTCCCTTCTCACCACTGCCAACAATTCCAACATTTTCATAAATATCGTATCTCGTATTCGGACGACGCTATTAAAATTAGAAAAATTCATTAATACCTATTTAACAAGAAATTACCGAACGGTGTGGACGATTTATCAACAAAAGGTCACTAGTTGCCGGAGATGGAGTGCTAGTATTGCTCCGATCAGCCGATACTTCACTTGCATGACCATTTTCTTCTTCTTCTTCTGGAGCTTTTGAATTTAGCAGCTAAAATTGTGTGTTATTTAATTTCGTGATTTTTCAAGAAATCATTTCTTCTGGGCCCTATTTCAATTGTCCACAGATTCTGCGGTCTGCGTTCTGTGCACAGACCACAGAACCACAGAAATTCTGTTTCAATTATTCCACAGATTCTGCGGAAAAAGAAGTCCGCAGATTCTGTGGAAACATGCACAGAATCTGTGGAAACATCCACAGATTCTGCAAAACATCCAAAAACATGCAAAAACCACAGAATTCTATTTCAATTATTTTTCTGTGCACAGAAAAAAATCCACAGATCTGTGGCTTTTTTAGTCGATTCTGTGCATTTCTGTTTCAATTATTTCTGTGGTCTGCGGAAAATACACAGAATTCTTTAAAAAATCCACCCTAAAATTTTTTCTGCGAACTTTCTGTGGAAAAACTTTAACAATTTTTTTCTAGGCCTAGGCTTAACCAAATTTCAAAATTTTTAAAGATTATTAAAGTTTGAATCATTCTCTATTTTTTGATATAAAAATTATAATTTTATTACCTAAAATTATTGCTTAAAATTAATTTTGAAAAAGGTACATCTTTTTTACGCAGTTTTTGTTATATTCAAGCAATAAAAAAATAAAAAACGTGAGAGATTCTGAAATTTAGAGCTATGATGTTCTAATCATCATGGATATCTCTAATGAGGGGATGTTTACCAGGATCTATAGAAGATATCTGTATAGCGTATACTGGGATATCTCCCATGATCTCTCATTGATATCCGTCATAATCTCTCCTCCTATTTAATGATAGATTTCCTCCTTAATCACTCCAATATATTAAACCTCAAAATCAATGGATATCCCACTTAATCACTCCTCTACGATTTTAAAGTTCCGATTTGACTATAATTTTGGATTCCAGGCATTTTCGATTTCCAGGAACCTCAATTTCTGACTAAACAATCCCCAGTTTTGTAACATTTCCCTCCCTTGCAACAACTTCTATCGTAGTTTGAAAAAGCCACATGTCGGATCGACATCTCCTGATTTTTCCGATCCGAACCCTGCTTTAGGACATTAATTTAATTGGAGATTTAAGGATATTGGATGAACAAGAAAATTAAGCGGTATATCAGCGGTTTTAAAGTGATATCAAAGAGATTTAAAGGGATGTTATGTGATTTGGAGGGAAAATTTTTAAATCTTTACAATATTTTTCAGTTTAATTTAAGAATTTTTAAAGTTTTACTTCAAAAAATCAGGTACCATTAATACTGCGGTAGTACCGAACTGTCCAAACCATTTTTCGTTTCAATAAAACTGTTATTTTCAAAAACGCGGAAATAAAAAATTTGAATTTAGAAGAAAAAATACACAGAACCACAGAAAAATAATTGAAATACAAATTCTGTGGATCAGTGGAAAAAATCCACAGATTTTTATATTTTCCACAGAAATTTTCATCCACAGAATCTGCGGAATGTTTCCACAGAATCATTGGATGTTTCCGCAGAATCTGCGGGCACCACAGATTCTGTGCACACAGAATTTAATTGAAACAGAATTTCCACAGAATCTGTGTTCTGTGCACAGAATGCAGAATCTGTGGACAATTGAAATAGGCCCCTGGTTTCGTTTTATTTAAAATTTATAAGATTACCATATCAATTTTACGAGCTTCGTCTTCGTCAATAAGTCCAATTTGCGTTGAATCACTCCCAGTTTCAACATCATTTAACATGTCTTTTGAACACGTAGGTTTGTCGTCCAAATGAATGTCTAATGATGGATTAACTCCTTCACTTCCTCCCATATCATTACTTGAATTTGTCGTTTCATCGATGTTCCCAACCCAATCCTTTCGTTTTTTCGCTTCAATAAGTGCATAAGTAGCAGAAAGTTGCTAAAAATTAAGATTTTTTATCTCCCCTATTATTCAAAACTCTTACTTGTTTAATCTCCTCCTGTTGAGTTAACCTAGCCTTTGATGTTGGCCTTGTGTATCTGTTTCTTTTCGTTCTTGTGCTAGTAAACCCTCTCTTCCTTGAAGGTTTAACGATAATTTTCTTTTCGACAGACTTTTCTTCTTCAAAGTTTTTAACAAAAAATGGACTGAGACTTCGTGCGCGATAAGTCGAGACTTCTTTATCCTGAGCAATTGGAGAAAAATTTAAATCAGATACACTCATTTTTATCAATTTTCTTTAACTAAAAGTGATAGTAGTAGCCGTCTCATTGAACTTATTTTTTAAATTTTTATCTCTCTCACATTATTAGCCTTTCAAGTTGAATTTTATCGAGAAAAATATTTCAAGACTATCCCGTTTTGCTCAAACTTTTTGAGAATCAAAACGCCTAATTCAAGGACTATCAGAATCGCTAAACGAAAAAGATGTGTTAGATAAAAAATTTAAAAAATAAGTTGTTCAATGAGATGGAAATAAAGCTGAAAACAATTATAAAATTTAATCAAAGCAAGGACTGATCTCGGAATCGGCTTCAAACTTTTTGTTTAATTAAGAACATTTCGCCAGACTCAATGTAAATAAAATAATTTTAAATTTTGTGACTTACTCTGCGCCTACTAGAGTCTGAGCTAAACTTTTCAAAACGAGCTTTTATGTGTTGTTCACGAACAGATGTGTGAACAGTATTGAAATGTTTTTGAAGATCTTCTAGTCTAGAAAAAGAGAATATAAAATGGAAAATTAAAAAAAATTTAAAAAATGAAGAAATTTTAAACTTTTTAAACGCAGGTTCATCACACAAAAAGCATTTAATGTGTGGTGCCGGGTTTTTCAACAATGCTTCTTCAGTATATTCAGTTTGATGTTGAATTGCAAGATGATGAGCGAGAGCAGCTAACATAGTAAATGAACTCTGGCCATTTGTTGTGCATCTAAAATGGTTTATTTTTTTAATTTTTTTGGTAAATTTTCCTGAAAAGTTGGTCAATTTTTACCTTTCATCTTCACAACGTAAATGAACAAAATCAACAGGTATTGCAGATGGTATGCGTTCCAATATGGCAATCTATTTGGAAAATATAATTATAAATTTATCGTTTAAACTTGTTCCAATGTCAATTCATGAAGTTCCGCGTCTCCATTTCCACTGTTTCCACCTCCATCCCCGCCATTAGCCAATTTCTTCAATTGTATAGATCGTCGACGCCTTAACTGCATTTCGCCGCAACGTGTGCTGTTCTCACGTGGGATAACTAACGCTACGCGGTTTTCCGGTATTTGTTCCTTTATTGTCATTCCAACGGGAAGCTGTTCAATAACCTAAATAAAATTTTGTAGAAATTCAGAAAAAAATTTTTTTAATCGTAGAAAAATTACTTGTTTTCCATCAATAATTGTAGTTTTTGCTACTTGACGAATAACTTTTGGTAAAGTTTGTATCTCAATATTGGACTAGAAAAAAATTTTTTAAACAGTTAAAAACTTGAAAATTCTTAAATTATTTACATTAGCCTTTTCAAGATGAACATTCACTGGACGAATATGCTTTGCAATATTCCCTACTGGATTAAATCGACGCAGTGCTCGAACATTTTTTACATTTCGTTTTGCAACAAGGTTATTGTTTCCATTATTTCCTCCACCATTAGCACCAATTTCTTCGTTTTCTGGTTGTTGATCACTAGTTAGGCCTTAAAAATTTATTTTTCCTGTTTCTTATTAACTTAAAAATTACCTTCTTTGGCGTTTTTGATCACCTCAGAAAGTTGTTCTGCTTGTATATGTGATTGTAAAGAACGGCAAATCGTACGCTTGTGAGCGATAAAGTTGATAATTGAACGAAAAAGAGCACGACAATAGCTAGAATTGAAAATTTAAAAATATGTTAACTGAAGATTTGGCATCTTTTAGATCAATATTTAATATTAAGGCTGTGAAACGGACTGTGAATAATTTCTAGGCATATTTTGTTCCTAGTGGATTTTATATTTATAAGAGATATTAATTATCCGAAATCTCTTAAAATTCCAATATAAAGCAAAATTAATGTTTGAGTATTACCTGCACTCATAAATCACACAGCATTCGTTCTTCAACAAATTCTTCACTTCCTCGGTACCATTTTGGTAATAGCGAACAATTGAATCGACACCAGAACTGCCAGTAGAAAGTGTTGGCACTTGAGAAGCTGGATCTTTTATATAATTTAATGACATTAATATTCAAAACTGAAAATTAAAAAATATGGATGTGTTAAAATTTGGAAAAAATAAGAGTAAGAATGATTTTGTGGACAGTGGTGCCTCGATAATTGAAACACCAAATTTCTTAAAAATGTATAAAGTTTGTAAAGTTTAAGCGTTCATTAAAAATAAAAAATCGTTTGATTTCAATTTATGAGGCAGTGGCACTGCTCATTGTTAAATTACATAGGATAAGGAAAAGAACCTTTACATTTGTTATAAATTTGAATGAATTTAAATTGCACATTTCTTTATTTATGTGCAAAACTGTTAAAAACCCTTGGATATCAGTGCCATAAATCTAAGATGTTTGTATTGGTGGCTTTCTCAACTGCATGGCTTATTAAACTGCACATGGTTTCTTTATCAATATTTAGGTACAAACTGTTAAAAACTCTTGGATATCAATGCTATAAATCTATGATATATGGGTCAGTAGTTTTCCTAACTGCATGGCTTAGAAGACGTTTACAACACAAAAGCAGATGCCTACGATCTTAAATCTAAATCTACAAATGCTTGAATACTCTTTCTTAGAATGCGCAAAGTTGAATGAAAATTAATCACCTATACCGATTTACTGATCGCAAGCGGATTTAATGGTATTTAATCAAAACGATTAAACTTAAGCAATGTTTATGTCAAAGGGGACTTTATTCTATAGATCTATTCTATAAATCCTTTTAAAACTTGAGTAAAACCAAAAAATTGTTAGCGCATAAAACAGTCAAGTGTTTATTTTTTGAATACCATTTGGATAGCGTTTTATTACAAGACAAACTTGATTTTGTCCAACATCGCAAAAAACTTCGCAGTCATATAAACTATTTGAATGTGCAAAGGTATGATTCTACGTGTGATTTTAATCAAGCAACTTGATTTGCGTTGGTTAGCACTTTCTGTATTGTAACATACAAAAGAATCATTATTAACCGTTAAAAGTCCGTTTGTTATGGGCTTCGAATCTTATTATACATTTGTACTTAGAATAAATTTTATCAGTTAAAAAGTTATTTGGAAGAAATCATAAAAACAGTGAAGACGTGTAAACCTTGTTTTAGACTTTTTGCATTCTTAGCGTTGCAAGGGCTAAAAACTTTTGCTTATTTTATGAGGAATCACCCATTGATGTTTTATATCTTCCCGCGTTTTGGCACATTCTACTGTAGTGACGTTCTGCCAAATTACTGTATAATACTGTAGAAACCCTTTGAGAGACCCCTACATGTTCGTCTAGTTCGATATCTGAGATTCAATTGTCGAATTTATAAGTAGTGAAGGATGCGAAACAAATAGACGGTGCGTAATTCACATCATTGGGTATTTAGACAGGATTTCAAATGATCGTGAGAATGACAAGTCTACAAGAGTGAAGAGCAAAATTGCAGAAGTTTAAATCTGGAGGCGACTTTTCAAAGAGAACAAATATCAGGAGCTAAGTTATGACTCTCATCTTAATCGAGATCTCTCGTGCAATACTTGCTGTGCGGAGTGACAAAGGATGAAGGGAATGGATGAAGGGATTCTTCCTTCATGGTAATCATCCTATGAAGGTAATGTATAAATATCAATAAGTTTATTTAAAAAACATGTATTTTTAACCAAAAACTAATTCAAAAATGAAAAACAAAATTTAAATTAAATCACTACTTTTTGACATTCTTCTTTGCAATTTTATCCGGTCTTCGCCATCTGTTCGCCTTTTTGTTTCTATTTTGTTTCAAAAATTGTTTGCCAACTTGTTTCTTTTTTTGATTCTCTTCCAAGTCTTTTAAATCAAATTCTGGATTAACAACATTATCCTCATTTAATTTTTTTGTCTGCTGACTGAAAAAAGATTTTTTAGAAGTTTTTTAAGTTTTTATTTCTAACCTTAAACATTGATATTCCTCAGGAAACGGATCTTTCGAGATCAAAATAAACATTTCTGGAGTTATTAAATTTCTTTCTTTATCATTCTCGCTTGATTTATTGTTGCTCTGAGTTTTTCTTAATACATTCCATTGAAAAATAGGTTGTTTAATTTTTTGTTTAAAAACTTCAGCAAAACAAATACATTTTTCACAACCACTGCCTGTTCCTTGAAAAATAAGTTTTCTAATATTTTCGTCCTTTGAAAAAAATTTTTTTTGAAAATTTGAAGAAAATTAAAAAACCGAAAAATCCTTTTCTGCTCTAGCTATAATTCTTTCAAATTTTGTATGTTTTTTTAAAACAAAGATTGAAACATTTTTTATTAGGTCTTCAGGGAAAGGCGAATTTGTTGATAAAATGGTGTTGTTACGTTCACTGCAACTGCTATCATCAGAAATTTCCATTCCTAGAAAGTTTTTGCTTTTAATTAAAATGAGAGAAATTGGGTACACCCAACCCAAATCACCGAGTTATAACTTCGTTCAAAATTATCGAATCCGGGATGCCTTCGTATGGTTCGATGCACCTCGACCGGCTGAATCGAACCATAACAGGGTGTCCCGGATCCGATCATTTTGAATGAGGATATAGCTCGGCGGTACATTGGCCTGCTCCCAGAGAAATTCTAGTGAAATTTATAGAATTGCAAACTTTTATTTTTTATTTTTTTTATTCAGTTTAATTTTAATTTTTGAAGAGTTTGCACCAAAGTGTCCAATTTAAATTTGTTTAACAATTTATTTTTTTAGAATAATTTATTTTTAAATTTCTTTTTAGGATAAAAAATGTATTCGAGAAATGCTTTCCTTCATCGATTTATTTATTCATGCAAAATCAACTACAGAAATATTCATAATGATCAACTCCTTTCAAGTTCAGAACAATTCGAAAATTTTGTACCAAGACAACGATTCGAACTTCCTGTGAAATTTGATCGGAAAGATTGGTCTGTTTTATTTTTAATTTATTTTACCCTTTTTTAATTTTAATTAAAAATTACTGTTGTGGTGTAGTGGTTAGTGTCTCCGACTTGAATTTGACAAAACGACCCGGGTTCGATGCCTGATAGTGGATTAAGTGTGTGTTTGACTTGTTTATGGCAGTTAGCCTGCCCGGTATTAGGATTATGTTAGGCACAGTTCGGTACTACCCCTGTACTACCTTCAGTATCGGTGCCGGTATTGTTCGGTACTCCCGGAACCGTACCGATGAAATTTTGTAAATTTCGGTACTCATCGGTACCGGCACCTTTCGGTACTCCCGGTACCGGTACCAAAAAATTCATTATCCCAACACTGGTTTAGGATATCAAGGGTGTTATGCTTTTAAATTGATCCATTTTTTAAAAAGTACTTCATTGGTTAATAATAAAAAAATTATTTTAGGTATCCAAAACATATGCATATTCAAATGAAAGTAATGGAAGGGAAGCTTCGAACAGTTGACTTGATCTTGGAAGTTCATGACTGTAAAACATTTTTTTAATGTTGATATTTTTCTAATTTCAGCACGAGTGGCTCTCTCAGGAAGGAACTCAAATTTTGCTCAAAAATTGTTTTCAGTAAGACCACATATTTTAGTAATGAATAAAAAGGATTTAATCGATCAGGAAAGATACAGGTTTTCTTGAAATTTTTTTGAAATTCTTAGAGCTTGTTAAAAAAATTTTTTTAGAGAACAAATAGAGAAACATTACAATTATCAAGGTGTTGAAAACATTTTTTGGACAGATTGCACAAAGCGTGTGGATTCACAATGGGATGCTTTAAGAGAAAAAATGTTGGAATTATTACAAAAAGAACTTCGATTTAATAGAACGGTTAAAACAGAATATCAAGTAATGGTTATTGGAATTCCAAATGTTTGTTTTTGTTTTTTATAAATGGAAAAGTTTCGTTTTAGGTTGGTAAATCTTCTCTAATTAATGCTTTTAGGAAAAATAATTTGGGATATGAAAAGGCCCATGCTGAAGGTCCTTTTCCTGGTGTCACTACAAGAGTTCAAAATCGTGTTAGGATATGGCAAGTTTTGATATTTTTTTAAATAAATTTTTACTATTTTTTATAGGGATCGACCAGCAATTTATATTTTGGATACTCCTGGTGTATTAAATCCATGGTTAGTTTTTTTCAAACCTGATAAAGAAATGTTAAATTTGGTGATTCCTTGATGGAATGCTCAAAGTTGATCATTTTGATTGATGATATTCTGGGCATATTTTTACATTTTCGTATAACTTGAGATCAACCCAGAAGGCCACAACCCAGAAAGTCAACACCCAGGAGGTCAAATGCCCAAAAGGTCAAGGATTCATTGTGATAAGGTGGAAGAAAGGACACAAAACGGAACTGTCTGATGAGGCAAATGGAAATAGGCAAACGTATTTTTGATCTTTATTCAGCTTTATCCGCTCAAATATTTAGATTTGACCTCCTGATTTTGACTTTCTGGGATAGACAAGATTAATTTAATTAAAAAACATTTTAGGGTTCATACAGTTGATGAAGCAATGAAATTATCAATATGTAATTTAATTCTAGAAAGTCATACAAGTCCCTATTATGTTGCTGATTATTTGCTTTATTATATGAATAAGTAAGATAAATTTAAAATAATTTTTTTAATTTTTTAGGCACAAAGATTTTTCTTATTTAAATCAATTAAAAATGGAAGAGCCAGTTGATGATATTAGACAAGCATTAATCCAGTGTTGCAAAGCATTCAATTTACGAGTAAAATCAAGTGTGTTCCAAACAACTGAAACAAATAAGGATCTTTGGGATGTTTTTGGAGCTAGCACACATTTTTTAAAACTTTTTAGAAATGGGCATTTTAATGATAATTTTTTGGATAGAGATTTACTGTAAGTTGAAGATTTTTAGAAAATAATTTTTGGTTAATTTAAGTGGCTTCCATGATTCTCGAACTTGTTTATCTTCGTCCAGAAATACAAAGAAAATGAAAAAAATGTGATCAAAGTTTTTTAGGTTTTAAATTATACATTTAAATTTAAATATATTTTTTGGTTTGTTTTTATTTTGTGTTCATCTTGGATTAATTCCAGAAAATTCTTTTGATTTTGCATTATTTTATTTTAATTTTTATAAAAATTTTTTGGTTTGACACTAAATGCCGCCCATTTTGTTTTGTCGCAGCATTTCTCGCGTTGGCACATTTATTGGCAAACAAACCTCAATAAACTCAGCATGTAAATTTTCAAATATGGAAGCTGATACGTTTAAACTTCAGGAATTTGCTGGAAAATACCTCGGGAATAAAAAGGTTTTAGAGATTTTCTTGATTTTTTCGAGGTTTTTTTGTTCTTAAAGGTTCTGTTCACAGAAAGACTTGAATTTAGAACCCCGAAGGATTGCGATGCAATGCCGATTTATCGATGTGTTGACTCGAACGGAAATTTTTTAGATGAAAATGAAGAACCCAAATTTACAAAGGTTTTTTTTATTTTGAAAAAGGATTATTGTTTGGTTTAGGAGGTTGCTCAAAAAATTTATATGGAGATGACAAAGTTGAATACTATGGATAAGATACTTTACGAATCACAACGTCAAGGCCGTATTTCATTTTATATGACTAGCTATGGAGAAGAGGTTGACGACTAGAAAGTTAAAAAGAAAAAAATTTTGTATTTAGGCAAGTCATCTTGGTTCAGCAGCAGCATTAGAGCCCAGAGATTTGATATATGGACAATACAGGGAGACAGGCGTTCTTCTCTGGCGCGGATTTAGCCTTGATCAATGCATGAACCAATGCTACGGAAACAAGCTTGATCCAGGTTTATTTTATTTTTTATCGAATTATTAATTTTTAAAGGCAAGGGAAAACAAATGCCCGTTCATTATGGCGATGCTGGACTAAACTTCGTTACCATAAGTTCACCTCTGACAACACAATTACCGCAGGCTGTTGGATGTATTTTATTTTAATTAGATTAAAAAATTATTAATCTCCTTTAGCTGCTTATTCCTTTAAATTGTCAAATTCCACCAAGTCGTCTGACCAGCAACGCATAGTTTGTGTGTATTTTGGAGAAGGAGCTGCTTCGGAGGGTATGGTTAAAATTGGCGATGAATCGTCCTTATTTTTATTAAGGTGATGCACATGCTGCGTTTAATTTTGCTGCAACATTGGTATATTTTAAATTATTTTTTTGGGGAAAAATTGAAATCTTTTTGTCATTAGAAATGTCCAGTAATATTTTTCTGTCGGAACAATGGTTATGCAATAAGTACGCCTACATCAGAACAATATTCTGGCGATGGGTAAATTTTAATTTTCAAATTAAAATTTTTTGTTCTATTCAGAATTGCCGGCAAAGGTATTGGATACGGAATACACACAATTAGGTATATTTGATCTTTCAAAAATATTTTAAATTTTAATTTTACCGCTTAGGGTTGATGGTAATGATGTATTTGCTGTATATAATGCAACAAAAGCAGCTCGTGTTTTGGCATTAACAAATTGTCCAGTTCTCATTGAAGCAATGACCTATCGGCTCGGACATCATTCAACTTCAGATGATTCTACTGCTTATCGGTTTTTATTTGATAAAATTTTACTCAATTTTTCTTTTAGTTCCGCAGACGAAGTTAAAGAATGGACCGAACTGGATTTACCAATTTTACGCTATAGAAAATTTTTGGAAAGTAAAGGATGGTGGAATATGGAAATGGACAAGCAATGGATTAGCAAAGTTTCTTTTGTTTTTAATTTTTATGTTTATAAATGTTTTAGATAAAATCTGAAGTATTGGAATCGTTTAACAAAGCAGAAAAAGTCAAAAAATTGCCGCCCGATGAACTCTTCAACGATGTTTATGCCGAAATACCGGAAGCTCTTAAAGTAATTTTTAATAAATTTAAATCTTTTAATTTCATTACTTAAAGAAACAAAAAACGGAGCTTTTGAATCATTTGGAAAAATATGGAGAAAAATATCCTGAATTGGAAAATTTTGAAAAATAACTTTATTGTATATATTTTTACATCCTGTGATAGTATGCCTTGCACATTTTTATTATTAGTCTGTATTTAAAGATCTGATTTCGTGCAGTATTTCTTACAATTAGAGCGTTTTAGTGGGACGAAACAGGAGTAGGACGAAGTGAGGTAGGCCGAATCTGGGTAAATATTCAGTGGGACGAATCGAGGGTTTTTGTTAAGAAGGACGAATTGTGGGTGGGACGGATTGTAGGGATCCTCCTAACTGTTTGAATGAGATTTTAGATGTTTTTAATTTGCGTTTTGTTTAAATAAGACATTATATCCCTTTTTCTTTATTTCTTACGGAGCAGTTCAACTGAGTCCGCACGATTGAGTCCCCACGATTGAGTCCGCACGATTGAGTCCCCACGATTGAGTCCCGGCACAATTGAGTCCCCACGATTGAGTCCGCACGATTGAGTCCCCGTTGTATATACCTCAATTGAGTCCCCGTGGATTTAATTTTAAAAATTCCCGGTTTTCTTTTGGGTTTGCAACTAATTTTGTTAATTAGTTGACCGAGCATCCACTCAAGTCCATCCGAGCACTGAATTTTCTCAATGAGGACGAGAGGGAGGACGAGAATCTTGTGTAGGTAAAAGTTTAATTTTTATTTTTTAATTTTAGATTTTATATTTCAGGTTGGTCTAACTTTGCTCATCACGTGTCGGACTTCATCCCACGGCTGCAACGATGGGAAATTTGAAAAGGTTTGGAATTTTTATTTTGTTTTTCGTTTTTATTTTTAAACTTTTTTAGTTGATTTTCGTCAGTTTCTGACTGGCGATTTTCAAGTTCACAGTTTCTGAAGGAACGAAGGTGGTGAACTTAGGAGAACAAATAACGAAAGAAAGGCCCTTCTTTGGCACACTAATTGAAGCTAGACTTTGGTTTTTTTTAATTTTTTTGATAAAATTTTTAAAAAATATTTTTTTATTTTTTTTTTCACATTTTGATTTTCTCCCGTATCCAGGTAAATTCTGCCGGAGTCCGGAAATTAGGAAGGAGTTTTTACGTTCGTAATTTAGATAGTTTCCCCTACCCTCCATAGCAGCACAAAAAGTTTTTCCAGCGAAGATTCTGTTGGTCAAAATTTGTTCAGAATCATTCAATCAACTTGATTTTGGTCTTATTCAACTCATCTCGTCGATCCCTTTCGAATGAGCTATTTTTTGTTTATTCGAATGTTTCGCAACAAAAATTCCCCATGGAATTCCACCAAAAAATCCACCATTTCGAGCCCCATATCTCGGCGAGAACTTGTTCAACAATGTTGATTTTCGTGTCATTCGACTCACTACTTTCGAATGAGCTGTCATTCAAAAAATCTCTCGATATCCCTCCTAATCCCCAAACCCACAATATCCATCTTAATCTCTCCGAATTTGTTGATATCTGCCTTAATTCAACCGATATCCCCGCTTAAATCTACTTATATCCCTTGATATTCACCAATATCCATCTTGATACCTCGATGTCGCATACAAGTCCCCTGATATTAACATTAATCCCTCCAAATCCCCAAATATCCCTCTTAATCTTTTTTAATATAATTAAATCCACGGGGACTCAATTGAGGTATATACAACGGGGACTCAATCGTGCGGACTCAATCGTGGGGACTCAATTGTGCCGGGACTCAATCGTGGGGACTCAATCGTGCGGACTCAATCGTGGGGACTCAATCGTGCGGACTCAATTGAGGTGTACCGTATTTCTTAGATTATTTTCCGGCTCCCATACAAAATCTCTATTCCTTAAAATCGCTATTCCTTAAAATCTCTACTGGGCTAAAAATGCTTAAAATCTCTATTCCTTAAAATAACTATTCCTTAAAATCTCTACTGGGGTAAAAATAATTAAAATCTCTACACCGCGCAAATTGACGGTTGAGTCTCAACAAAAGTACCATCTGAATCTTTCGCTGGAAAAACCAGACTTGTTAATGGATATGGATACAATTGGTTTAAAATGGCTGCCATATCCGCCTTATCCGCCTTAAATATCGAAAATATAAGACACGACTGCTTCGCTGCGGTCGTGTTCATTTTCCTTGCGTTGATCGTATCGAAGCGGCTGCTGTCGTCCCGCTAGACATGCCTGGCTGGGTTCATCCGCACCGGCAAAAACTATACAAGCAAAATAATATCAAAAGATAATCCAGAAATCAGAACAATGTTTCCGCACTTAACGTTGGTACTCAAAAGGCTTCAATGAAAAATAGACATTTTATCCTATATTTGGCAGTGTAGAGATTTTAAGGCATTTTTCCCGTGTAGAGATTATGAGGAATAGAGATTTTAAGGAATAGTTATTTTAATCATTTTTACCCGAGTAGAGATTTTAGTGCATTTTAGCTGTGTAGAGATTATAAGGCATTTTAGCCCAGTAGAGATTTTAAGGAATAGAGATTTTGAGGGGATACGTATTTTCCTGTCTCTCAACTAAACTGCATGTCTTACTTTTTTCAAGTGAGGGAGTTATGTTCCTCTGATTTGTTGTTCTTGGATTTTTTTTGTTATTCAATGCTGAACTGACATAGAAAAGGTGAGTTAAATTTTGATCGTTGTTTACATTATAAATTTTATTTTGATAAAGGACACACACACATTAATCATTTTTATTTTCTCTTCTTGCTTTTTCATTTTTATTAACAACAAAATTACAACGAAAATGGAGCAGATTAATTCAACTGACAATCTTTTAGTAAATGGAAAAATTTCAGATCAACCGATTGCCTTACTTGTAGATGAGCTTTTTAAGGTTTACAATTAATTTTTTATTTAAAATTTATGAATATTTAAGGTTGATTGGAATCCGTTTGTGGAACATAGGCGGTATATCACCATGGAAGGTATAAAATAAACATTTTTCGTATGTAATAAAATAAATTTTCAGGCCATATGGAGGTGATTTTATTTGATTCTTATTTTTATTATTTCCAACTTCATTAAGATTTATAATGCGAATGAGGAAGATCCAGAACAAATTTGGAAAAGACTATACTTTCGCACAAAAGACGGGCGTTTTCAATGGTTTGCGGTTCGTTATTTTTTTAAAATTTTTATTAACAATGCTTTTCTAGAGTCATTGTGCAGATGAACATCCAATTTCAGACGTTCTTCTCACTGGCACAGAAATCAAAGCTAATCGAGATGATTGGACACTTTTGATAAAAGGAGGCAAAGAAAACGCTGATTTATTGGTTCGAGTGCCCTCAAACGTTTTTGATAAATGGCATCAGGTATTTAAATTTAGCATTTTTTACTTCTATTTTTTACAGACACTGTTGAGTCATTCCAGTTCTTCCCTGGTAGATGCGTATATCCAACCAGTTTGGCCAGCAGTCCCGCATCGCACAAATGTAATTTATATTTTCATATTTTTTTATAAATAATTTTTAGAGAATAATTTTGCTTGAAATTGGTGGCCATTCCTTACGAGCTGGAATTCTTACTCAAAAACCCGCATTGCCCTATACTTTTATTCCTCTTCTATGTGCTTTACATTCAGAAAATGATCATCTCAAATTTGTAGCTTCTGGAAAGGAGGCAATATTGGCTGGAAAGCAAGAAAATTTCAATTTGGCCCAACCGATCAGGGTTTGTATTTTTTTAATTTAGCTATCGTTATATTTTTTAATAGATTTCCGAAGAGGAAACTTATTTGGATCGGGCAGCTATGATTTTCCTTTTGCAACGGGTTATGCAAGATATGGCAACGCAGGCTCGTGAGATGGATATTAGTTTCAGGCCACAGAATTTTTCGGTTAATTTTTATGCATAATTTATTTAGGGATTTTCTTTGAATAGGTTCTTATGTCTATTCCTGAATATATGGACATTGAAGCTGCTTCTGATATCTTAAAAATGCTGCTGGATAAATCTTTTGGCTTTAGGGTTGCTTTTAAAAAATTTTTCAATATTTGATATTTTTAATTTAAAGAATGTAGGAATTGTTCGACAACCAAGTTTGGTCCTTTATTCTTATGATGTGACAACAGGTGTTGTTGTTTTTATCGGAGAACATTTCTCGATTGTTCCTATTATTGATGGTATATTTTCAACTGATTTAAATTTATTTTTTTTGTTTAGAGTTTGTTGTTCAAGATGCTGTAAATTTAATACTTCCTTATGGAGCTAAACAGATTAGAGACAAACTACGAACTAAACTTGACTTGAAAGGATGGTTGAATGCCTTAGATTCTACTAATTCCTCTTCGGCAACATTTGAAGAGCTTTTGTTGCGATTTCTTGTTGAAAAGGTTGCACAAAAATGTTTTTGATTATTTCTTTTTTTCAGTGTTGTTTTGTCGCAGCCAATGGATATGATTCTGAGAGGCAAAAAGGTTCCAAAGAAATGGCCGTTGAATTGCCTGGAACATCACTCTCGCTTAAAGTTGATGGTGAAATTAGATTTTCCGCTCCAGAGGGCATTTTCAATCCAAGTCTGTGGGGAAAAGAATCTTTAGCTGGACTTCATCAATTGGTTTATTTTTTACCTTTTTGTATATTCTCAATATTCAGGTGCACGAAGCGATTCAAAGATGCCCGATCGACAGTCGACGACCTCTCTATAGGTTAAAAAATTTAATTGTTTTTAAAAACATTTTATTTTTAGAGCAATTTATTTAACAGGCGGTTGTTCATTATTGCGAGGATTGACTGAACGACTTGAATTGGAGGTTAACTTTTTTTTAATTGACATTTTCACAAGTGTTTTTAGATTTCAAAACTTGTCCCACCATCTATACCTGTACAGGTATTTTTTACACGTTTTATTCCTTTATTATTCTCCCTATCCTCTTGTAGGTATTAAATAGTCCTTGGCGGCGGCATTCTGCATTTTTGGGTGCTCATCAAATTTCTGCCGCCTCGGATGAATTTCCGAGAAAATGTTGTGTTGGAGAATCGGAGCTTGACGATTATTTGCGTCGTATGAGCACTCCCACAACAATGGAATAGAAAATTTTAAAATCCTTTTCTGGCTTTTTTAGGTGTAAATTAACCTTTTTTAAACCTGTCTTCCAAAAAATTAATTTTTTGTGCTTTTATTACTCATTGCCAATAACCATTATTATTAACACATTTATTTCTCACACTTGTGATTCTCTAAAAACAATTAAAATTCGTGCAGCTAAAAAAACCTTCGTAATATTTTAAGACCTCTACCAAAACTGCTCAAAATCGTTTGGAAAATCAAAACTTAATTTTGATCGTTTAACTTTACTTGATATTGAGCAGTTTTCTTTTTCATTTTTACCATATCTTTATATTTATAGTTACTATATGTGCTTATAACAAATATGTATGTAGCATAATCTCTTTAATTAACACTTTACTAAAAAATAAACGAATTTTCTTAGATCATTTTATAAAACTTTCAGATTCCTATAGCGTTTTTATCTATAAATATAGCTTTTTTTTTAATTTTTCCTATGGCCACACAACTAATAAAAATAAATTACTGCGCGGATTACAGCTTCAAATACATTCATTATGTTTCCATGCCAACGTCTGCGCAGCAGTTTTCTTAAGGATTTTTCTCATGCTATCAAAATTTTCTATTGACGAAATGTGTGACTGAAGCGCGACTTTTGGCACTCATCTTCTTTTAATTTTCTAATTAGAAAAAGTGTTTTTTGGCATCCTTCAATCCTTTCGCACTCTTTTTTGCTTAATTATCTTGAAAATATTAGAGAGGAATGGCTAAAAATTCTTAAAACAGTTAAGCCGGATTTGTATGAATTTTGAGAGAATTCTTTTCAGTGTCCGGAAAAGCTTGTCCCCCCAGTTATTACTATTTATATCAATATGGCAGCCACTCAACTTTATTACTTCCCAAGATTAGTTTGCGTAACCATTAAATCCCTCTATACTTTTTAGTAAACAAATACTATATTTCTCTTTCAATTTTCGATTAAAATTAAGTAGTCTTGGTGGATAATAATTTTAATGAAGACATAGTAGTTCTTCCTTATTATTTTTATTTGTCGTCTTGAGGCAGGGTTTCAGAAATTTATTTTGAATTTTTAAAAATTTAAATTTTTTAGATTTATTGAAAGAATTTTTAATTGCTTCTATTTTTATTTTAGCTGAGCAATTATAAATTTAGTTTTTTTTCTTTCATCTCTTTTTATGTTTTGAAAGAGTGTGCCACAACAATGGCCGCCCGTGATGGAAGAAGCAGGCAAAATTATTTACAAGAACATTCAATTCCTCAACTTTTTGAGGTAAAAAATGCTTTCAAAAAAGGCTAAAATATTTCCATTATATAAACTTTTTCAAGGGTTTGATGACTGGACTTATATACAATCAACCAATCGATCCTATTCAATTTTTGGAAAATGCAATAGCTAAACTTCGAAAAAATCCAGATCTTCCATTAAAGTGGTTTGTTTTAACGAAGCTAAAAATTTTGAAGAAAATTTAAATTACAGGGATACTTTTATAAGTGTTTCGCCTCAACAACAACAGCAACAACAACAGACGAGAATGAATTCTGGAGAAAATGCAGTTTCTTATAAACAAACCACTCCAATTGAAGGTGATTTTGAATAATTTTTAAAAAATTTTTAAAAAATCTCCGAATTTGTCCTATTTTTTAATAGTAAAAGCACGTGCTCCCATGCAAAATTGATTTAAAAATATAAAGTATGGTAGAAATATTTTCCTTTTATTGGTCTTTCCATGCCCCTAAATTGTTTCCGGTTGGAGTCTAAGGAGTATTATATCTCATATTTAATGCTAAAATCTTTCAACAATGAAAAATTATTCCTTTTTACTATTTATTATATTTCCCCTAAAACCGCCAATAATTTTTTTATCAAATAATTACTATATTCCTTTAAAACGACTCTTAATTATTTAAAATTTTTTGGAATTCAAAAAATATTTCAAAAATTTTATTTTAAATTGAATGAGTCGCTCAAGGTGTTTATCTCGACTTAAAGTGCCTGGTTGGGAACGTGCGTGCTTAAATAAAAACTTCTGAAAATTTTTAATTTTAATAATATTTAGCAAAACCTCAAGTAACTACTGCTGCTGAAGCAGCTTCTAGTATTAGAAATTCGGGCAAAAGAAGGTATAATAATTTGACAAATTCATTCATTTTTCTTTTCAAAAACAGTCCTTCCTCAACTCGCAGCAATAAAAAGAATAGTGGGCAAACTTCTGGCGTTTCAAATAGCGGTGATCAAAATCGTCGAAGGCAAAATGGAGCAACCAATTCAACAACTGAAAAAGCTTCTTCATCTTCACGTCCAAATTCTTTAGCTCAAGCAGCAAATAATGCTTTTATTGTGCCTGATGCACCTATTATTCTTTTCATGGGTGGGCCCGGTGGTGGTAAAACTCGTTATGCTACTCAACTTCAAGATCAACTTAAAGAAGAAGGGCTTGTGCATATTTGTATGCCTGTAAGCAAAGTTAGATCTTTTTAAATAGAATATTTTTAATTAAGGATTTGGTTAGATCAGCTATTTCTCGTTATAAAGATAAGCTTCCTGAATGGAGAGCAGCTGCAGAAAAAGGTCATTGATCTTAAACGACATTTACCTATTTTAATATTTTCCAGATCAACGTGGAGAACTAATCCCTAATGAATTGGCCCAACAATTAGTGGTTGCTGAAATGGGAAAGCATACACAGGCGCGTGCCTTCTTCCTTGAGGGATTTCCGAGAGAGGCTCACCAAGTGGAGGAATTCGAAAAGAACGTGAGTAAACTTCAGTGAAATCTTTATTTTTTCAATATTTCCCAGGTTCGCCCAGTTGATATGGCATTAATTCTTGATTATGATGAAGATGTATTGCGTCGTCATATGCAAGCTCGAGGACTCCTTTCTGACGTTATTGACCGCAGAATAAACGAATTTAAAGAAAAAACGCTTCCTACTGCCAAATATTTTGATGACCAACAATTACTTCATTTAATCCCTGGAGAACGTTCAGATTCTGTTATAATTGAAAGGATGAAGAAGTTAACATTACGGGCAATACATGCTGGTGTTGGAGGTTTAATAACTAGTAGTAATTCTGCAAGTTCTTCAGCAACCGGAGGTATATATACAAGGGACGGTATTGGAAGTAGAAATAAAGAAGGAAGTGCTAAATCTGTTTTGGGAACAGCAATTTCTTCAGCTACATCTAAAGAAGATGTTATACCAAAAATTATAAATGGTGGTGATGGAACTGAAAATGGTAATAAAAATTTCTAATGTTAACTAGGGGTTTGGAAAATTTTTTTAAATTTGTATCCTCCTATTAAGTTTCTAGTTGACCCTTTACCTTTTCGATAGTCATTAAAAATAAAAAAATTTATAGCTAATCGAATCCTCAACACTCCAAAAGTTATTTCAGCTACTCCAATAATGCCAGCACCAACTCCAATTTCAACACCTACTAACTCTGTTATTCAACAACATAAAGCTACAAATAATTCCAACCCTTCTACACCTCAAAGACCTCCTTCTACTAGTTCAAAAGTTAATGGCTCAAGGAAATCCACTCCAGCACCTGCTCCTCCTCCTCCAGGACTTCCGTCTTCCATTTCTTCTTCACCTGTAATAAAAAATTCTGATGAGATGAATGATCCTTTCCCCAAAGGTCTTCCATCAGAAGTACCTGTTATTCTTATAATTGGTATTCTTTTTAAGTAAAAAATTAAATAAAATTTGTTTTAAAGGAGCACCCGGTTCAAATAAATCAACTTTTGCTCAACGCATTGCTCGCAAATATGAAGGTTTTGTACAATTAAGTATGGGTGAATTACTCAGGTTATTTTAGTTTCTTTTTTAATTATTAAATTTAAAAATAGACGCAAAGTCCTTGAAAATAGAGAAGATGCTCTTTGGTCCCGTGTTGGAAAGAAAATGGATGCTGGAGAAACAATTCCACTTGTTTGTTATTTTTAAATATCTTTTAACAATTCATATTCTTTTAATATTAAAGAGAATTTGTCGAGAACTTCTCTATACAACACTACACGAACGTGGAAAGAATGCTTGGGGTTTTGTATTGGAAGGGTAACAATTTTAAAAATATTTTTTGAAATATTTTTTTCTTTTAAAGTTATCCTCGTAGTGTTGTTCAAGTGGAAGACGTTGAAGCACAGGTTTCTTGATTCGTTTTTTTCTTATTTTTAAAATATTTCAGCTCGGCCGAATTGATTTGGCAATTCTAATAGATTGCACTGAACCTTTTTGTAATGAATCCCTAAGACAACGTTATCAAAGAGGAAAGGAAGAGGGCGCGGAAAGAGCAGGTTTATTACATTAACTTTTAACAAATCATTTTTAAAACGTCTAGATGATGAAGAAGGAATTGTCCGTGTTCGTCTAGCGCTTTTTAAACTCAACACGCTGCCCATGTTGAAACATTTAGGTAAAGATAAAATGATTATAGAAAAAAATTAAATCCAATAAGCTGCTCCTGTGGTGTAGTTGGAGAATGTTAGATTTTCTGTAATGTGTCATAGGTTCGAGTCCTCCCCAGTTAGATTTTTATTTTTTAGTAAGAAAAAGCTGTTTAATATGGGAAAAATTAAAATTTCATTTTTTCAGATGATCAAGGATTGCTACGAGTGGTGAGCCTGCAACTGCACGAACACGATCCAACAAATTCTGAGCACCAGGTCCGCGGCCTCAAAATTTTTTAGTTTTTAGAGAAAATAAGTAAATTAATGGCCGCTGACCAGACAAATTCTGTTCTTTACTTTCCTATCTTTTTTGGAATTTTTAAAGCTTTCTAGAAAATTTTCCATTTTTACACTAATCTCTCACATCTAAATTAACTTTGTTTTTAAATTTATAGAGTGAAGGTGATGCCGATGAAGAAAGAGTATTCCAGGAGATTTGTGCCATAATCGACAACACTATTTTTGTGCATGGTTTTTAATCGTTAATTAGAAATAAAATTAATCCATTAAATTCAGATGATGGCAATGGGATGAGCTTAGAATCCAGTCAAAGGAATTCGACAGACAAAGTATGAGAGAACAAGCCGGTCTACATAAATAGAGAAAAGTATTCAATATCTTTATAAGCAAATAATTGTAATTATTTTTGAAAATATTTTTTAATAAAATCATCCTGAAACCGATGCTTCTTATTGATTTTTCGAAAATATTCTGCATTTGTATCTTTGACCTTAGTTAACTTTTTAATGGTGGTCATTTATTTTAAGTTATTTTATTTTAATTTCTAAGCGAATAAATGAATAATTATATTTAAAAATGGTTGCTTTAATTTATCAAAGAAGTCCTCCACTACTTCCTCCACCATCTTTTTTCTGCAGTACTGCAACTGCTTTTAATAGAAAATCAATAGCAGTTTTAGGATCTTCGTAGTCTAAAGCGCTTGATGCAAACTTTGTATATTTTTTGGCCTCCAAGTAATCTTCAAGTTTTAGATCAGGCGCTTAAATTTAAAAAATTGTTTTTTTAAATATCGTTACTAAAAAACCTGCAGGTTGATAACTTGGTGTCGGACTATTTTGACCAATTCCAGGTTGTGGCATTGGTTGGGGAGAAGGTTTTTGAAATTGTTGCTGTTGTCCACGTTGTGCTGGAGAAGGCTTTGTTGGTGGTTGTTGACCTTGCTGACCTCCCGGCAAATTATTATATGTATTAAAGTCATCTCGGGGCTGTTGGTGAAAAGGTCCAACTATTGGTTGGAGACCTGGTTTTGGTGAATAATGTTGTTGCGTAACTCCACCACCAGCGTAGGGTTGAGGAGAATGAGAAGAAAAGTCCTAAAATATTGAAAATTTTGCCCTGTGGAAAGTTATAAAAAAACCGTTGGATATTTAGGAGCAGGCGGCACACTGCTAATATTAGCTGAAGCATTAAATTCAGCACTCAAAGCATTCAACTCATTGGAATCATCTTTAAAAGTTAAATGTTATTTAAAAAATAAAAAAAAACCTCCATCTTTTCCAGACATTAGTTTTCCAGATATTGGTTGTTCACCTCTTTTTAAACAACCAAAAATATAGGTGGCTCTCCATTTGGAATATTTTCTTGCTGACTAAAATGAAAAAAATATTTGAAGAAAATTTTAGTTTTAATTGATTGAAAAAGGTTTGAAGAAAGTATAAATGGCTATTTACATTTGTAGGATTAGAACCTGCAACCTTAACACACAAAACCAAGACGTTTCCAGCTAAACCACAGAGTCCTCATTAGATCGATATTTATTTTCAATCTTTGAATGCTCATTAATTTAAAATCAGACCTGTATATTTTCATCCAGTGCACCAAACATACTAAGAACATCAAACAAATACCCGCAAGTATAAAACGCTTTCATCATTTTTTGGTTAAATTGCCCAGAATCATCCTTAATATTTTTAAAATTTAAATTTTAAAACAAAAAAACCTGAGAATTTGCATATGTGAATAAACGTTGAGCCTGGTCTTCAATGTGTGATTGAGCGACAACATCTAGCCAAATAGCCTCATTGTCCTTATTAGCTTTTTTGAGCTAAAAACAAAACTCGAAAAATATTTATTTTAAACCTGCTCGAGAATATTCATAGCAACAGTCAAGAAATTTTTTGCCTCGGGTGAAGAGCTATCTGTGGCCATTGCATCTTCGACCGCCTTGAAGAGACCTAAATGAAAAAATTGTTCAATAAACTCGGCATGTCTTCAAAAAACTTACACCAATAGTAGACAACAATATCACGATCCGCATGTTCATTTGCTATTTTAACATAATGCGCAACAGAACGAATACTTTGAGGAATTGAGCCAAGTGGTATAGTTGGAGGTGCCGTCGACATTAAAATAATATATGTAAGTCTAAATTAAATTAAAATTTTTATTAAAAACATTCGGAAAAATAAAAATTGTGAAAGAATGACTAACCGTAAAAAAATAAAGCGGATAAAATGTCAAACAAACATAATGCCAATAAATTATTTTTATAAAAATTAAAAAAAAGTAGAAGTGAGTCCCGAATATGTGACGCCAAAAGAGTCAGTATTTCCCTCCCATTAATGTGAATATATTCATAGATTGAAACATTTCCGGGAGCCAGAAAAGTTGGGGCCACTAGAAACTGAATTGTGGAACCGTTTTAGTGTCGGAACCACGAGGAACAAGCTCCGGAACCCCAATACATAAATGTGCTCATGGGACAAAAATTTATCTCTACAATAAACAATTTTTTCAACGGATATTCAAACAAATACCCTATTTTCTACTACCAACAATACTAAATTTGCTTAATGCAATAGAACTAGCTTTCCATCTCTTTTGACGGTCTTGTTGGTTTCCTTTATTTCCACTTCTACCCCCAGGGAAGAAAGATTTTCTTCTCTTAAACTCTTCGCCGAAGCTGAAACGACGTGAGGTTCTTCGATGGCTTAAATTTATCTATTTTTAAATGTCTTTCATTCGACTTTTCTTACCCTTGACCCCAAGACAGTTTTCGACCAGTTTGAGAAGAATCCACTGTATCCATTGACGAGTCACGCGGATGTGAAACAACCTTAAATACATTATTGTGAATTTATCATAAACTTCAAAAAATTCACCACAATCTCAGGCACACAATCAGCTAGTTCCGCCATTTCTTTCTCATCATAAGTCGTCTGAGCAGGAGTAACTGGTTGACTTAATTGTTTTCTTCTCATTGGAACAGCTTGATTGGGTGAAGGCAAAGTTTCGCTGCTACTAACTTGTTGTTGAACATACCCACCTTTAAAAAAACAAAAATTAAAAAAAATTAAATTTTTGAACCATTTCTAGGTCCTTCTTTAGATGCCTTTTTATCTCTAAATACCATTTGTTGTTGGCTCACGCGTTCAGGTGCTGGGTAAATAGGCATTGCACGACCCATTTCAGCTGCCTGTAAAATAAAAATTAAAGAAAGATTGAATATTTAAAAAAAACTTTTGGTGAAGAGGAAGAAGTTGCCAAAGATTTTGGTGGTGCATGTACTTCTTGAACACGAGCATTTGTTTTGTATATAACAACAGCTTTGGGAGCAACTGGATTTAAACCCAAAGCAAGAGGAGCACCTCCAGTTTGACTGTCGTACAAAGCAAAACGATATTTTTGCTCTTCAATTATTTGCATAGTTCTTCTAAAAAGCGGAAATTTTTTCATAAATTCTGAAAAAAATTTTTTTTACCTAAGCGCTGCATTTTTCCCACCACTAGAGCCACGAACAAGCCATCCATTGGCATATAATGAAGAGCCAGAAGTGAGAAGAGATACCCAGTAGGCAAGAAAAATCATACAAAGTCCCATAATTATTGCTATTGGAATGAGAAAGCGGTTGAAGAACTTTGAGGAAAAATTTTATTTTTTGGATAATTTAAAGTTAAACTTACACTAGTAGTGGGATCGAACCTTCAAAAATAATTTTAACAAAAAAAATTAAAATTTAATTAACCTCGGATATTGTTCATGACTAATTATTTGCCAACCAAGTCCATGTGTAAGTTCACTCAATTGTGAATTGAGCATATCTTTTAGTTAAATAATTTAAAGAATTAAAATTTTAAAAAATACCAGAGAGAACCAAACTTGGAATCATTGGTTTTTCAGGACCTTTTTCTACTGGAATCTTTAACAGAAAATTTTAGTCTTTAAAAAATTAAAAAATTTACAGCATCATGTGGAAGAACAACATAAAAACGAAAATTTAATGCACGATTCTCACGCCGTGGAAAGCCTTAAATTTAAAATTTTTTGAAATTTTCTAATTTAAAATTATTTACTATCAAGCATGACCACTTGAAATTTGTTAAAAGTAACACTAAAAATATGGAAAAATAATTTTAAAAATTAAAAATAAAACCTTTTTTTAATTCCACAAACTGTCGGTGTTCGACAATGTCTATTCAGCATTCGAGCTATTGCCTCTCTAAATGGATCAACCAAGTCAATAACAGCAATTTGTTGACAATCTTTAAGAAAAGGAATTTAAAAATTTTTATTTAATTTTCTTACAAGCCATTCGAACACCACTAGTCCAACCAAGAAGAGCCAATTCTTAAAATTAAAAAAAATTTCTTTGCTAAAATAAAAATACAATACCTTGCTGTGTTCGATCTGATTGTTGCCCTCCAAGTGCAACTTGGCCATTTATACAACAAAATTTAATCAAAACAATAATGGTGATGGAAAAAATAATTTTAAAATACATGGGAAAGGAATGGAAAAAATTTTTTTAAAGAGGAATTTTAGAAAAGAAATAAACCTTCCTCCCTAACTTTTTTTAAAAGTAAAGCAATTTCCAAAAAACAATAACATCAAAAACATTTCTTTGCCAGTTTTATATAAACTGCAGAGTCAGTTGTTACCTTGATTTATATAAAAAAAGAGATAAAAGGAAATGGGAAAGTTTTGCAGAAAATGAATTATTAATTCTTCTATTACCTCCCTAAATTAAAAATCATAATTAAATTCTCCTTTTTATTTTCAAAAATAAATTTAAAAAATTAAAACAAACAAACGAGAAAGTAGTTCTCAATAAATTTTCTCAATACTTTTTAACACTCACACATCTTTCGTACTTGATCCAATGTTGGCATCCAACGCACATCTCCATAACAGACAAGAGAAGGCCGGTTAAGTAACATTGTATCAGCAATTCGGGCAATATCATCAATTTCGACGCGGTCTGAAATAAATTTTTCCTAACTTTGAAAAAAAATAGTAAAAAACCAATTTGTTCAGCATGTTCCTCAGGTGTTCTTCGCTGCCCATATACAAGCATTTGTCTAGAAACATCTTCAAATTGAACAGGTTTCATCTCCAAATGCATTAATAGTTGTGACTTTAATTGAACTTTTGCACGTGCCAAGTCTTCTTTTCGAATTAGACCTGCACTAAGGGAGCGCATTTGATTAACAAAAATCGTTGTTAATTTTGTGGCCTAAAATAATGAGAGAAAATAATAAACAAAACTTAATTAAATTTTACATATTCAGGGCTAGCACTTCCTTTAATACAAAATAATCCACAATCAGTATAAGAATGATATTGAGCAGTAGCATTATAGATCCAATAATGCCTAAAAGTAAGAGTAAATTTTAATAAAATAAAATTGGTAAAAGAAACTTGTTCAAAACATCCATATAAAGTTGTGAAAACATTCCTTTTCCTGGTCCACCAGCACTAAAACTTCCGCCACCACCCATTAAAGTTTGCAAAACACAAAATGGTACAAAATCCTCATGAAGCATTCCAACGCCCTTAAAACCATCTTCTGAAAATAAGTGAAAAAATAAATAAACCTGAAAGCCAACAACTAAATGAGCCAAATTAGGAAAAGGTGTCGGGCCCAATGCAACTTGAGATAAATCCTTTTCAACACGAACTTCACCGCCGGTGTACATAAAAATGAATAAATTTATTTAAATATTTTTAATAAAAAAAGTTACTGTGCCAATGAGTCATCCAACGGAGGAATATTTTTAAGTAGCCGTTCAGGCTGTTGAACCCAAGTGCTGTCTCGTGGATCGAAAAGTTCCTTCGCAACATCAACCAACCAGTCTTGATCAATACCGATACCTTTAAGAAAAATTTAAAGAATATTTTTGAAATTTTTATACCGGTAACAACAATTCGATCAGGCGTATAATATTGGCTCAAATAACTCAAAACATGACTTGATGTAATTTCCCCAACTCCATCTGACGGACAATAACGAGGAAGACCAATTGTGTTTGATTGAAATGCTGCTTGATGTATCCAATCAATAAGAAGAGGATCGGGTTCTGGTTGCCTTGCAAGAGTATCATTTTCATATCGAATTACGTCACGACAAATAGCGACCTAAAAACGAGGAAATAATAGATATTTTGGTACTTGTGTAGTTTACGTCTCATAAGCCCTGGCCCTTTTCTTCTCTCTTCCTTTAATTATAAAGTGACATTTGGGTCAATATTTTGATTTCTATTTATTTTAGCCTGTCGCATCCTGCGAATTACTCATTTAATTAAACTTATGAAATTACGAAATCTGTTAATCACTGAAATTCTTTATTCACTTTCTCACACAAACACATTACAAAATACTTTCCTGTAAATCAACCGCTATAAAAATAGCTGGCTTTTCCCCGTTTTATCGGTCTCAGCGGTCATTAAAATCTTTCCTTGGATCACAATCTGTCCCTTTTTATAAATTATATGCTTCTTCCTTTCTCAAATAAATTGTACTTTTCATTGCGAAATAAAGAAATAATTGAACGTTCGAATTAATTATAAATTAGGAGTCCCAAATATAGGAAACATTTCCTACAGCTCAGCCGGATCAAAAACCTGAAAAATGTCCGCACCGTGCTGTAATGAATTACGGCTCCTTGCCGAAGACGCTACCGAAATTTTGAACAATAAAAAAGAATTTAATCTCCCCGAACAAATAGGTAGCATTTCTCTCCACCGTGCAAACATTCGCTCCCTCAGTACATCCCTCGAATTAGAATTAGGACATGTATCCGAAACAATTACAGATATATCCTCAGCCCATGAAAGATGGATGACCGTCCGAACAAGTATGACAGGTGCAGAGCGCCAAGCCGACACCCCAATATACGAAGCATTTACTACAGAAACCCCATTCCTTAATAAACTCAGAGATTTAAAAAGATATTCCCGTAAACTCCTTTCCGAAAAGGCTAAATTAACAGAAGCTCTTCCCGACCCCTCCCAAATCACAAATACACATTTTCATCTCCCGAAGCTCTCACTCCCCAAATTTAATGGAAAATGTGTTGAATTTACTTCCTTTTGGAACTCATTTAAAGTTGGTGTCCACGACATTCCAGATCTTTCCGATGCCGTTAAATTTAATTATCTCAAGGAATGTTTAGATGGACCCGCATATTTACTGATAAAATCCCTTCCTTTAACCAATGCTTCTTATCATGAGGCAATCCGACTTCTAAGAGAAAATTATGGAAATTCCGATGAAATAAATAGGACCCTTCTCCATTCAATAAGAAAATTGCCTACAGTACATTCAAATAATGGTCCCGAAAATCTTTGTATGGAACTACGATCATTCGTAGACAAATTTGAATTATTATATTTACAAATGATTGAACAGGAATTTGATATCAACACGCTTTCCATCCAAATGGAATTAGAATCGAAACTCCCACCTCCTATTTTTGAAGAAATATTTAAAGCTAAGGAAGAAAATGGAGCAAACTGGCAGACCGATCAATTACGGACAACATTAAAACAAATACTGAAAAGAAAGGAAGGAATAAAAGCTCTAGACGACCAAAAGAATGAGCTAAACGAGCAGATAAGTCACCCTTGTACTCCAAAATCACCCCGACCCGTTAGACAGACTAGCCCACCTAACACACCACAATCCTCCCTAACATTTCATACATCTCAACAAAACAATAAAACAGGGAGGTTTAGATTCCCCTGTATTTTCTGTAACCAACCCGACCATTTATCCCACCATTGCTCTAACTATAATTCAATCCATTCTCGAAAATCCCGCTTATATGAGAAAAATTTATGTTTTAATTGTTATAAGCCCAACCATATTTCGAGGAGTTGTCAAAGACCAATTACTTGTTCCCATTGTAATAACTTACATCCCAGAGCACTTTGCTCGAAATTATTTAATCCACAAATTAATGAACCCTGTATAGATGAAGATTATAATGAAGAAACCATTATATCCCCACAAGAAATTCCCAAGCAACATACAATTAATCACTCACAAATAATGCCAATTACACCCCCACCTATAGCTCCAATCCCTTTATCGTTAATAAAATTGCCGGATAAATTTTATACCGCCAAGTCCTTTAATAATTCCTCAAAAACCGAAACCAAATCAGGCCACTTAAATAAAAAAGGCGAAAGTAAATCCTTAATGCCCGAAGAGTCACGATTAATCTATAGCTCAATTAAAATTTGCCCAAAAATAGACGACAATCAAAATCAATTACTTAGCCCCGATCCTATTAAAAATCCCATGAGTCCCATTCCTCCAAATATAATTAATCAAAAACACGGTCCACTGAAGACCATTGAAAATAATAAGTTAGAAATAAAAATTTCAGTTCCCACAGATAATGTGCCTAGAAGAAAAGGACTAATTAAATCTTCAGGCCCCCCAGGTGATGTTCCATCAGACAAATCTCCACGTCCGACTTCCCCCACAACAGAATTGGACTCTCATGATCTACCCACTTCCCCGCCTGTTGCTACTGACAAACATCAAACACAAAATATTCCGACTACAAAGCCACAACCGCATGCTCCTTCGAAACTGAAAATGATTTTGGATCCTCCACCGCCTCCCCCCAGCTCTCCAATCAAATTCCCAATCAGTCGTGTTCGAGTTCTCCCTTCTGGCTGTGTTGAACGCCTTCCAGCCTCCTCCATAACAAAAAATCAATTGTCAAAATTACAGAAGAATAAGAAATTTAAGAAAAGAAATATTTCACACATTCCACGATTAAACTCAATTAAATTTACGGTCCCCCCTATTTTGCCAAGCATTATAACTACTTATAACAATGTAAACCCAAATTGGCCCATTCCTAATCTTCTCCGTTTATTCAACATCCAGCCAATATTTTGTTATCTCCCATTATTCAATATCCAACCCATTCACTCAATGTTTGCCGCGGGAGTGTCGCATCCTGCGAATTACTCATTTAATTAAACTTATGAAATTACGAAATCTGTTAATCACTGAAATTCTTTATTCACTTTCTCACACAAACACATTACAAAATACTTTCCTGTAAATCAACCGCTATAAAAATAGCTGGCTTTTCCCCGTTTTATCGGTCTCAGCGGTCATTAAAATCTTTCCTTGGATCACAATCTGTCCCTTTTTATAAATTATATGCTTCTTCCTTTCTCAAATAAATTGTACTTTTCATTGCGAAATAAAGAAATAATTGAACGTTCGAATTAATTATAAATTAGGAGTCCCAAATATAGGAAACATTTCCTACAAGCCCTTTTCCTCTCCTTTTAAGGAAAGGGATAAAAAAAGTGAGGCTAAGGGACGTAAACTACACGAGAAAAAAATATTTTAGTCAAAAACCTCTTCTTCTAAAATTTTAGGCCTTAGAACAGCATCGGCAATCAATCGAAGAATTTCATAAGCATTGCTTATCCTACACGAAGAAGCATACAAAAATGTATCTTTGCTAGCCTGACAATCGACCAAAGCACCACATTTTTCCATAAGTTCAAGCGTTTTAGACTTGTCTTCAAAATTTTTTGTTGACTAAAATTAAAAAGTAAAAATAAACATAATTTAAATAATAACCGAAAAAGAAAGTTTTTCAACAAAATGTGAAGTTCCAGGAGGATAATAAACTTCAAATCGTGAACCAGCAGCAATAGCAACTAAAATTGTAAGATTATTCAAAAGTTGAACTATAAATTAAAATGTTTTCAATTCCCGGTAAATTTTTGGAAGACAAAAACCCTCCATAAAAACCGAACCGGTATAACTCTCCCCATAAACGCCCAATAAAAAATGTTAAAATAAAAATATGTCAAAAACCTCCAACTGTGCAAAACTGTCCATACGCAGAATGCGAAGCGACACGAAGACCAGTATCGAGAATAGAATGTACAGTTTCAATGCTGTTATTGCTCGTTCTTAATTTTAATAAGGCTAATATTTTTAGAAATTAAAAAAAACCTTTTCAAATTCTCAGCAGCTTTAACAGAATAACATCTTTTTAATTGAAAAGTTGACAATCTTCTAGATAAAGTTAACATTTCTGAAAAAATTTTGATCTAAAAATTTTGAAAAAAAAATTTAAAAAATTTGAAAAATCTTGATTTAAAACACTAAATGCTTTTAAAGAAGATAAGAATAAAGCGATAGAAGAATAAAACTTTAATTCTCGGAAAAACATAGGTAATCCTCGGATTTTCCGCTCTCAATTACAGCACTCAATCGTCAGTTTACACCTGGCCAGTTCCACACTTATCATGTTTGTGAAAAAACTTGCAAATCACTCAAAGACGATAAATCAAGCACCCGCCTTGCTAACATTATTTAAATCAGCATCTAATTGTATCTACAAAAATCTTGCTTTAGAAGAATGGATCTTCCGAAATAAAAATTTTTCTAATGAGGATATATTGTTTATATGGAGGTTATTTTATTAATTCTTGAAAGAAATATCCAACTAAAAATATTTTCAGAAATTCCCCTTCAGTTGTCATTGGAAGATATCAAAATCCCTGGGTTGAGGCAAATGTGAAATTTTGTAAAGAAAATAATATTAAATTAGTTAGAAGATACAGCGGTGGTGGGGCAGTTTACCATGACGAAGGTTGATTTTTTTGATAAAAATTAAAAAAAATTTCTTAGGAAATTTCAATATTAGCATTTTAACTTCCCAAGACCGTCATAATCGAAAAGGAAATTTACAAAAATTGGCCAAACAATTAAATATAGATTTCTATCAATATTTCAAACCTTTTAACAAAATTTGTGTAAATTCAAGGGATGATTTAATTTTTGAACTGAACAATTCGAAAATGTCGGGAACTGCTGCAAGGATATCCCAAGGAAAGGCTTACCATCATTTCACACTTTTGGTAAATCCAAATATGGAAAATTTGCATTTTTCGCTTCAATCACCGTTGAAGGTTTTTATTAAACTCTTTTTTGACCTAAAATTAAAATTTTTAAGGAGAAAATTGAAACAACTGCAACAAAAAGTTTTAGGGCAGCATCTGTTAGTTGCCTAACAAATGTTTTGAGAATAAAAGGAGAGAGATTAAAGGATAATGAAATTATGGAGATGACCGAGAAAAGTATTTTTAAAGCATTTTCTGCGAATTATGACAATTTGAATATTAAATTGGATGTTTTTCCGAATGAAGAGAATTTTCCAGGTTTTTTTAAATTTTTTCTTAAATTAAAACAAGGACCCTGTAACTCCTTTGGAATTAACCCAGGACTTCTTGGAGACCCAATTCCTTTTTTTAAAAATACATTTTTCAAGGAATTAACAAAATAATTTCGTTATTAAAAAGTGATGAATGGATATTTAATAAAACACCAAAATTCACTCTTAAACTCAACAAGGAATGTTCAATACAGGTTAACAATGGAATTATTGAAGAAAGTTTAGACAAAAATTTTCCTGTTGGTGAATGTTTTCAACAGGCATTTTTACGTGTTTTTAAGTGATTTTCTTGTTATTTTTTGTTTTGCTTTGTTGTTTTAAAATGTTCAAATTTTCATGTTAAAAAATTTAAAAGTGACTATTTGGGTGTTCACCCCAGTAAAAAAGGAATCTAAAATTCAAGGGGATCAAAAAGGATCCCGATTCAGAACCTACGTTAAAGGAAGGCGAACTTTCGAAATATTCATTCTAGTATTCCCTTGGTTCCAAAAAATAATAAAAATCTTGTTATTTCTGTATATATTTTATTTAATTTTTTTTGACATTTTAGACTTTAAAAAACAAAAAAAAACAATTATACCTTGAGAAAAATCCTAATATATGTCTGGCATCTGTTCATATTATAATCAAAAATTCCCGTTTCAACAATATCATAGGCATTTATTTCTTCGTTTCACTAGATGTTTCACCAGAGAATGTAGAGTATCCAAACGATCCAAACGACCCTGTTGATGAACCTTTGCATTCATGCTTAATTGTTTTAGTGTCCAAATCCCTAGTAATGGTGCATTTCCAGCTTTGGTTTTGCATTTCGTGCTTACAGTTGCTCCACCCCATACCAATACCTAGAAAAATTAAAATCGGGAAAATCAGAAAAATTAAAAACAAAAGCTGAAAACGTTGGATGGGAAACAACATAAATGGAAGTGAATGGGAATTTAAAAAAAGGTGCAAATTTCAGTAGCAGACATAGCCAAAGGTCTGAATCAAGACCAAAACCCCTATCTGTAAGCCCCACTACCCCTAATCATGGACACAGTTAAACAAATAGAAAATTAAAATCATTCAAAAACTAACCAATACCAGTTCCAAGCCAAATAGGCCATGTTTTCTTCGCTCGCGAAAAAACCAACGATACGATTGTCCCAATTGCTGCACCACCTAAATGGGAAAAATGTTTTATCCCACAAATTACATTTTAAAAAGCATACTTGCAATTTTTAACGCGGAATCAGCCATGCAATAATCTAATTTGTGTCCAAACACATCCTCCGATATTTCAACTTTCTGATCCTTTTCAGGTTGCGTAGACATTATTAAAGATTATTTTTTGAAAATACAAGCTCCAAAAATCTTTTCCTAATTAAAAAAAGTTAGTTAGCAAATTCATTCAGCCAGCAAAATATTGGCATTTTAACCTTAATTTTCTATAGATTAAATTTAAACCAGATTGCGTTTTTATACGTACATGAATGAATAGAATCTATAAAAAAATAAATGATCAGGAAAAAATTGAGTTTCTAGACCAAACAAAAACTTTTGGTAATCACCAAACTTTGAAAAAAATTTTGAGGGAATAAAATGGAAATGAAATTAGGAGCCGGCTAGATTACAAAATCTAAGATTTGACGATTAACGAAGCCTTGATCAAGTTTTTTAAACAAAATTTGATTAAAGCTTAGATTTTTGTGGGTTAATGTTTGTTTGGTCCAGTCTCAATTAAAATGAATGAGAAATAATATATGTTTTGGGAAGAAACAAAAAAAGAATAAATATATAAAATCAATCTCTCTCCAATCTTCAGCCAAAATTAAATTTAAAGCTATATTGTCCTCCGTCATCTCCAAATGGGTTAAAACCTTCACCAAACGGAAATCCTCCTTGACCACCAGACCATTGCCATTGTTGGAAACCATGATGACCACCACCGCCGCCTTGCGGATCCATTGGGTCCTCACCAGAGTCGAATCTTTAACGAGGAATTTTGATAAAGAAAATTGACTAGATAGGAAACAAGAATGTCAAGGGTTACCCGAAACCTAATCTGAGAAATTTTCCTAAACCTTACCCGACTTTTTCCCCTCCTACTCCTCCTAACTGACCTAACCTTAATACAACCCGAAGAGAATCTTGAAAACCTTACCCAACTTTTTCTCAACCCGTGACATCCCTGATAGGAAAAAAATGTTTTTAGAAGAATAAATACAAAAAATTATTTAAAAAACTAACATTCTCCTCTTCTCGGGGTCAGTAAGTACATCCTTTGCAGCAGCAATAAGAATAAACTTTTCTTGTGCACGTTTCTTTTCAGCATCGTCTTGGAAATTGTCTGGATGCCACTGTTGTGCTAATTTTCTAAAAATAAAAATTGATTCAAATCAATATAAAAATTAAACCTATAAGCTTTCATAATTGTCCGTTTGTCTGCATTTCGACGTACTCCAAGAATTTTGTAATAATCCCTCTTTTTAGCCTGTTTTTGCAATTTCAACGCTCTGTTCAAAGCTTCTTTTGCCTGTCTAGAGTCTTCATTTGCTTTAACAGCTTTTTGGAAGTCTTCGACCGCTAAAAAATTTTTTTATAATTTTTTTCAAGAAAAATTCCAAACCGCTATCATAATCCTCATTGAGCAAATAAGCCTCTCCACGGTTCAGCAAAACTTCCAAATCATTTTCATCAACATATTTCAACACTTCAGTACATTCTTGAATTGCCTCAGCAACGTGACCAAGCTATTAATAGGAAAATATTTTTAATAAAAAAATTTCCAAAGAAACCTTAACATTGCATTTACACCTTTGTTTATAAGTATCCAATTGGATCCGATCAACATCCTGTTCAAATTTAAGAATTGAGGTTGATTTGTCCAAACATTCAGCCCAACGTTCTTTTTGAATTGAATTGTCCAAATCTTTCCGCAATTTTAACAATTTTTTAATTTTCTTATAAAATGGGAAACACAAGGGATGTTCAGGATTCAAATGAAGACACTCGCGGATTTGTGTCATTGCATTTTCTGCATCTCCAGTCTGGTAAAATAAAAATTTTTATCAATAAAATAGCTCAACAACTCACTTCATAGTAGATACGGCTAATCTCCAAATAAACTTCTGTTGAATCCGGAACTAATTTTGCAACAGCTCGAATATCAGAAATTGCATTTTGAGTGTCACCACGAGCCAATCGAATTTTCCCACGTTTTCTATGCAAATCGGCATCCCAGTTACAATGCTAGAAAGTTTAGATTTCGTTAAAAATCAATAAAAGAAAGTCGAAAAATACCTCAAGCGCATAACTAAGAACTCGTTCGGCTGAGTCGTGATCTCCATTTTCATGATAATAATTCCCTGATTTAACCCATTCTCTAATTTGATCAATCATCTTCAATTTATCCCTAACTTCAGAATTCTCAAAATCGTGCCTCAACTAAAAACAATAAACAGTATAAAATTTATAAAAGAAAATAACCGCAAACGTATAATCATCAGAAGCTCTGTCCAAATTTCCTTGCTTGTAATAAATATTTCCACGTTGCAAACGTCCAGAAATAAAATCAGGTTTTAATTCGACAACTCTGTCCAAATCTGGCAAAGCAGCATTCATTCGACCACTAAAAATAATATTAAAAAATGCAAAGTTCCAGAACTAAAAAACCTGGCTAAATGAACAGTTGCACGCCGAAAATATATTTGGTAGTCATCAGGATCTAAAAAAATACATTTTAAAAATATTAAATAAATTATAAAATTAACCAAGTTCAACCGCTTGATGATACTGATGAAGAGCTTCTTGCAAATTTCCTTTGGAGAGCAGAACCTTCCCTTTTTCAAGTAGACGTTCAACTTCTTTCCGCCTATTTTCTTCTACTTTACCCATCGCTAAAAATTTTAGAATTAAAAATTTTTGAAAAAAATTTACCAAATTGATAAAGGCACAATGTGATGAGAGAATAGTAGGAGAGTTGAGTGAAAGAAAATGCTGTTCCGAGTGCACCCATCGGTCTGACCCACTGTTCGTCGTAAAAATATGTCATTTAAGGGAGAATAGTTTTACTGAAAAATTAAAAATAAAAATATTTTTTAAACGTTTGACAAAAAAATTTTTTTTCAGTTTTATAAAATTATGTATAACAAAACAAATGATATTTTAAAATTTCTAGGGGGATTAAAAGATTTTAATAAATTTATTGACTACTCAAAGTTAGTGTGACAGAAAAGAATTAATTTTATATAAAGATTATAGACAATAGAAGATACGTAATGAATGTACACGCGAATTAAATCATTTAACCAGTTAAAGAGGAAAACGACAAAAATTATAAAGCAAAATTTACTCGTAAGTTAACGTTGACAAAAGCATTACGCCAAAAATAAATTTAAAAATAACGGAGCAGTTCAACTGAGTCCGCACGATTGAGTCCTCACGATTGAGTCCGCACGATTGAGTCCCCACGATTGAGTCCCGGCACAATTGAGTCCCCACGATTGAGTCCGCACGATTGAGTCCCCGTTGTATATACCTCAATTGAGTCCCCGTGGATTTGATTTAAGAAAAAAGAGTAATTAAAGAATAAAATTGTAATATTATAATAATCTATTATTTCAAACAGGATGGCGGATATTTTAACTGAACGTGGAAAGCCTAAACTTGTTCATGATGGATTTTTATTTGTGTTTCATAAAATGAACAAGGACGAAGACATCAAGTTTTGGAGAAAAATATTAGTGAACTTGAAATCCGCAAAATATTAATGAACTTGAAATCCCTGATCGGTACCAAAATTATCAAAGGACAGACGAACTTTACGACCAATTTCTTCTAGCTGATTCTGGCGTTTATACTGAAAATAATGATCCAAGACAACATAGGTTTATTTTCTTTTTTATTTTTTTAATAGATTATTTTTTAGAATCCTCATATTTGGTCGTATGTCATCTGGGGAGTGGTCAGAACAAATGGAACATGTTTTTGTTGATGGGAGCTTTAGCGTTACTCCCCCTTTATTCTATCAAATTTTTTGTGTGCTTGCAAGGTTGGTTGATGTTAGTTTGCTGTAGAAAAAACAGTCGGAATTAGGAAAGGGTGGGGACTGGTTTTTCTATTTTAATTTCTATTTTAATTTATTTTTTCTATTTTTAATTTAGAAAACGGAAGTGGGTGTTCCCTGTGCTCTATGGGTTGCTGACGAATAAAACAAAATCGACATATGCTCGCTTTTTTCGACTCGTCAAAGAAATTTGGCCGCAGTTCAACCCACGTGTTTTCTCAACAGACTACGAACCTGGCCGGTTGTCTGGTCTGTTCCACCTGGTTAGGAATCTTAAAAAAGCAATTTGCGATGCTAATTTAATGCAGGTTGTTTTTTATTCCCATTTTCATTTGTACTCCTATTTTTCAGCGTTATAAAAATGATCCTTTGTTTGCCGCTGATGCCAAATTAATTACTTCAATAGCTTTCCTGCCTATCTGTGATATATCTTTGGCAATCATTGCTTTAGAGACCTATCTCCCACTTGAATTACAACCTGTTCTTGACTGGTTTGTCATGTATTTTAATTTTTATTTAACGTTCAGGTTTATTAAAAATTATACTGGCCGTTTGCGTATGGATGGTATGCGAAACCAACCGAGGTTTGATCCAGCAATCATGCGTTGGTCCAAACGTATCAGGCCGCAAATCCAAATTTTGATCACAATTATCAATTTCCAGTTGCTTATCCTATTCACCCAATTATTGATTTTTTAAGAGGTGTTTCTCATAACTATAATATGGATCCTTGAATTTTTATTTATTTGAGAATTTTGTTTTAAAATTAGTGATTATTGTTTATTAGATTGAATAAAGATTTTTGATAATTTTGATAAAATTTTTAATTGTGGGATTTTACAAAATATCCCGCAACATTTTTGAAATAATCACGCATGGGGGATTTGGAATTTTTTAAAAAATTTTTAAATTAAATCCACGGGGACTCAATTGAGGTATATACAACGGGGACTCAATCGTGCGGACTCAATCGTGGGGACTCAATTGTGCCGGGACTCAATCGTGGGGACTCAATCGTGCGGACTCAATCGTGAGGACTCAATCGTGCGGACTCAATTGAGGTGTACCGTAAAAATAAGGATCATTTGAGTATAGAAATCTCTCATTTAAGAAGAGAGTCGAGAGATGTAATAGAATGGGGAGAGTAGTCAGTTCTGGAGTTCTCTGTTCTGGAGTTCAAAAATCTGCGCTATTTGGCATAATGCAAAACATTAAGATTAAATGACACTTCATCCCAAAAATCAATAATCGATTTTTAATGACTCATCTAGTGTTCTCTGTTGTCCATTTGTAGCAAAGATGTGCATGGTTTTGCATGGCTGGCATTTCCTTTTTTGGGATTAACCTTTCTTAGGGATGTAGGGGTAGTAATGACTTGCGGACAAGACTTGCTTTTTTTAATTTTTAAAAAATTAATGCAATTTTTTTCAGTTGTTCAGCAGCCGATACAAAACGTTTGTTTAGGGTTAATTTTTAAAAATAGAATCCCATTTTTAGTGTTTGGAGCGGAGCAGCAAAAGTCCCACTCTTCGCTTCGGCGATATTTGGGCAGAAAAAGTCCCACTCTTCGCTTCGGCGATATTTGGGCAGAAAAAGTCCCACTCTTCGCTTCGGCGATATTTGGGCAGAAAAAGTCCCACTCTTCGCTTCGGCGATATTTGGGCAGAAAAAGTCCCACTCTTCGCTTCGGCGATATTTGGGCAGAAAAAGTCCCACTCTTCGCTTCGGCGATATTTGGGCAGAAAAAGTCCCACTCTTCGCTTCGGCGATATTTGGGCAGAAAAAGTCCCACTCTTCGCTTCGGCGATATTTGGGCAGAAAAAGTCCCACTCTTCGCTTCGGCGATATTTGGGCAGTCTGGCTTCACTCCAAACAGTGCTCTCGTCTACATTAAACTCCAATGCTTTCGTCTACATGGTTTGTGTTTTTACTTTATTAAATATCCGCAAGTCTTGTCCGCAAAGTTTCTCCCTTATATAAGTTTATCCCTTATTTGAATGTTTAAGCCAATCAAATGTTGGCCAGAACGAGAAGACGCACAGCAGATGTTCGATGGTTAGATGTATTGATTTGCTTGTTTTGATAGCTGATCTTTTGATAGGTTGTTTTTATTTTTAAGAGTTTTTCAATTACTTAATTTTCAGCTTTGAGAGAGTATTGAGAAGCTGTAAAAATTTTAAAGAGGTTATTTTTAATTATTTCTATGGCTTCAAGATTATTTTTTAGGCCGGTGAATTGTTGCGGGAAGACAATCTTTTTGATGAGAATGCTTTGGAAGAACAAGAATCAGCAGAAAAAATGACCGAAGAACTGCAATCTTTTGTTAGAATAACAGCAAATTAGGTTTGCAAATTAATTGATTAATTTGATTATTAGGTTTCCATAATTGTTTATTTTTTTTTCAAGTTCTGTCCCTTTTGGAACTTGCTAATTTAAAGAATCTCTGTTATGGATGTTTAAATCTCCTTCCAGTTGCTTCCCTTGGGTATTGTGACTTGTAGGGAGGTTTTTGTTTGCCTATCCGATTTCGACAAATTATAAGTCATTAGAAAAAGCTCATCGAGCTGACATGAGTCGATTTGGGATAAATGGTTTGGGCCATCCAATAAGTCAAGGGCGTAGCAAGGGGGAGCTTCTAGGGCTATAGCCCTCCCCCATGAAATTTGGAAAATGAACTCGGTCCCCTAAACGTCCGTTCGGCCTCTTCCGCCGAGCTATCGAATCAGCTCGCCGAGTTCTTTCGAATAACACCTCATTTATCAAAATCGGGTGTGCCACCAAAAACTCCCTATGTCACAACATTCTTCAGTTTTTCGTTACTGTCCATTATTCCTTTTTAGACATTTTTTCACTTTTGGTCTATCGGTATTTTGTTAAGCTTCCCCTTTTCGACTTATTCTTTCCGACTTTTAGGCATTCTTTCCAATTTTTCCATTAGTTTTCTTAATTTTCATTTTAGTACTACACAAGCCTCGTCATCAACTTCAACAACAAATTCCCGGCATTTTTGTTTCTTTGAAGAAGCGATGGAATTATAAAAGAAGCAAGTGTTGGCATAAAAGAAAAAATTGGATTTATGAACGAATATGGAGACGAAAACATAGTTTTTTTCAAATTTTTTTTGTTTTTAATAAAATATAGTCGAATTAACCTAAAAATCTTCGACATTTCTCAAAAATGAAGAAAAATATTTATTTTATTTTCAAATCTCTAATTTTGACTATACAATTATTTAAATTTCGCTTGTTTTTACCCAAATTTTTATGTGTTTGAATAAATAAAAAAGAATTTGTTTTTGCTGAATTACAATTTTTGTTAAACTTTATCGAGGACTTTAAATTGAAATTGACTCCTAGAAGAATTTAACGGTTTTATACCCTAATTAAATTCCAAAGAGACCATTTCTCATGTTGACAGACTCTTGTATTCCTTTTTTTTTATTCCTTTTTTTCTTACTCCTTTTCAATATAAGGTGGAATGTAGCATGTAGAGAAGGAAAATGAGTGAGGTAGTTGAGAAGTTGGGATGTAATGTTAAAAATAAATGACACTTTGTCCCAAGAGTTAGAGAAATTCTATAAAACAAATAGTGTACCTAGAGAAAAAAATAAATATCAAATGTTTAGGACGGTTCAGTGCTGAATTCAGAGAGTGCGAAGTTACTGTATTTGAAAATAATTTTTGATAAGAATTTTAAAAAAATTTATGTTTGCTCATTATTATCTTTCAAACGCCATGTTATAGGTTTTTAAGATTTTTCTAGGATGTAAGATCCTAAGAATTTAGTGTCCAGGTAAGATTTCTCCGGTTTTTATATTTACATTTCGATTGATGAGTATTTTTACTCAGTTGGACATTTTGAGATGTGTCATTTTTGGAGAGAGAATTTTTGGGTTTCTATTCATGGGGACATTTTCTGGGCAGTCCCTTGTTGTCTTTATAAACAAAATAATAATTTATACAAGGAGAATTGATTTTATTGATAATATATTAATCTTCGACAATTTTTTATAAATATTTATATCCTATTTAAAAGACCGCGTAATAAAAGATCACTAAAAGACCGAACGGTCAAACAGTGGTTAGAAGATCGGTAGTAAAAGATCGTTGCATTAAAAGACCGGAACGGGCAAAAAGTGATTAGAAGATCTGATAAATAAAAGAACGTTGCACCAAGAGACCGGAAAGGCCAAACAGAACTGGCGCAGCCAGAAATCGATAGAAATTGATAATTTCGAAGCTAGGCGAGTAATATCCGTTGCATGGCTTTTAAAAGCCCAAAAATAAACAAACATAAATTTTTTAAAAATTCTTATCAAAAATTATATTTCAAATACAGTAACTTCGCACTCTCTGAATTCAGCACTGAACCGACCTAAACATTTGATATTTATTTTTTTCTCTAGCTACACTATTTGTTTTATAGAATTTCTCTAACTCTTGGGACAAAGTGTCATTTATTTTTAACATTACATCCCAACTTCTCAACTACCTCACTCATTTTCTTTCTCTACATGCTACATTCCACCTTATATTGAAAAGGAGTAAGAGTAGTTCTCAATACAAAAAGGAATACAAGAGTCTGTAACATGAAAGACGGGCTCTTTGAAATTTAATTAGGGTATGAGACCGTGAAATTCTCCTAGAAGTCGATTTAAATTTAAAGCCCTCGATAAAGTTTAATGAGAAATTGTAATTCAGCAACAACAAATTCATTTTTATTTATTAAACAAATAGAAATTTGGCTAAAAAACAACCAAAATTATATAAAACAAAATAATTGTAATACAGTCGAAATGAGGATTTTGGCAATTAATCCGATTTTCTTTTCATTTTTGGGAAAATGTCGATTCCAAAAGTTTGATTGGTATTTCGACTGTGTCTAATTAAACAAAAATGAAAAAAAACTGTTTTCGTTTTCCTTTCCCAATTTTGATATTTGGTGCCCAGCACTTCCTTTTTATGTAATTCAATTGCTTCTTTATTGCCCAACGATCAGATGTTGTCTTTGTCTTTGTGGGCGGTCAACCCTTGTCCATGTTTGACCATTTGCTTCTCGTCTATACGTTCTTTAAACTGAAAAAATAAATCGTTAACGAAACAAAAATGTTAGAATTTATGCTGTTTGCAAACCCCTAAGCTTGGAAATCTTAAAAATAAAAGGAAGGTTTATTTGGTTCGATCTTGAGAATAAAAAGATCCCTGTGGCTATTATTTGCATTTTCGAATTTTTCATCCCAAAATCAGCTACTTTTGTTTTCAGGAGTCTGTAAAACTCGGTCCCTGTACGTCCATCCGCCTTCTTCCCCCGCTCAAGTCAGCCCGACGAGCTCTTTCGACTGAAGCATAATTGTGAAATCTGGTGGGCCAACAAAACCCACTATAACGAACACTACACAAGGGAAGCAATCGTATGGCGATTTAAACATCGATAACGGAAACTTTTTAAAACAGTAAGTTCCAAAAAGGGCAAACCTTGAAAAAATAAACGAAAAACTGTGGAAACCAAATAGTCAAACCAATTAATTTTCAAACCTAATTTGCTGAATTCTAACAAAAGATTGGAGTCCTTCAGTCATTTTTCCTTTTGATTCTTGTTCTTCTAAAGCATTCTCATCAAATAGATTGTCTTCCCGCAACAATTCACTGCCCTAATAAATACAATTGATACCATAGCAATTAAAAATAACCTCTTTAAAGATTTTATCAGCTTCTGGATACTCTTTCAAAGCTGAAAATTAAGTAATTGAAAAACTCTTAAACATAAAAACAACCTGTCAAAAGATCAACTATTCAAAACAAACAAGCCAGTACACCGAACCACCAAACATTTGCTGTGCGTCTTCATAAGAACCTGGCAATCTTTGATAGGCTTTAACATTCAATTAAAGGATAAACTTATTTAGGGGGGAAACTTTGCGGACAAAACTTGCGGATATTTTATAAAGTAAAACAAACCATGTAGACGAGAGCATTGGAATTTAATCGTAGCACTATTTGGAGTGAAGCCAGACTGCCCAGATGTAGCCGAAGCTAATAATGGGACTTTTTCTGCCCAGATGTAGCCGAAGCTAATAATGGGACTTTTTCTGCCCAGATGTAGCCGAAGCTAATAATGGGACTTTTTCTGCCCAGATGTAGCCGAAGCTAATAATGGGACTTTTTCTGCCCAGATGTAGCCGAAGCTAATAATGGGACTTTTGCTGCCCAGATGTAGCCGAAGCTAATAATGGGACTTTTTCTGCCCAGATGTAGCCGAAGCTAATAATGGGACTTTTTCTGCCCAGATGTAGCCGAAGCTAATAATGGGACTTTTTCTGCCCAGATGTAGCCGAAGCTAATAATGGGACTTTTGCTGCCCAGATGTAGCCGAAGCTAATAATGGGACTTTTTCTGCCCAGATGTAGCCGAAGCTAATAATGGGACTTTTGCTGCCCAGATGTAGCCGAAGCTAATAATGGGACTTTTTCTGCCCAGATGTAGCCGAAGCTAATAATGGGACTTTTGCTGCCCAGATGTAGCCGAAGCTAATAATGGGACTTTTTCTGCCCAGATGTAGCCGAAGCTAATAATGGGACTTTTGCTGCCCAGATGTAGCCGAAGCTAATAATGGGACTTTTTCTGCCCAGATGTAGCCGAAGCTAATAATGGGACTTTTTCTGCCCAGATGTAGCCGAAGCTAATAATGGGACTTTTTCTGCCCAGATGTAGCCGAAGCTAATAATGGGACTTTTTCTGCCCAGATGTAGCCGAAGCTAATAATGGGACTTTTTCTGCCCAGATGTAGCCGAAGCTAATAATGGGACTTTTTCTGCCCAGATGTAGCCGAAGCTAATAATGGGACTTTTGCTGCCCAGATGTAGCCGAAGCTAATAATGGGACTTTTTCTGCCCAGATGTAGCCGAAGCTAATAATGGGACTTTTTCTGCCCAGATGTAGCCGAAGCTAATAATGGGACTTTTTCTGCCCAGATGTAGCCGAAGCTAATAATGGGACTTTTTCTGCCCAGATGTAGCCGAAGCTAATAATGGGACTTTTTCTGCCCAGATGTAGCCGAAGCTAATAATGGGACTTTTTCTGCCCAGATGTAGCCGAAGCTAATAATGGGACTTTTGCTGCCCAGATGTAGCCGAAGCTAATAATGGGACTTTTGCTGCCCAGATGTAGCCGAAGCTAATAATGGGACTTTTGCTGCCCAGATGTAGCCGAAGCTAATAATGGGACTTTTTCTGCCCAGATGTAGCCGAAGCTAATAATGGGACTTTTTCTGCCCAGATGTAGCCGAAGCTAATAATGGGACTTTTTCTGCCCAGATGTAGCCGAAGCTAATAATGGGACTTTTTCTGCCCAGATGTAGCCGAAGCTAATAATGGGACTTTTGCTGCCCAGATGTAGCCGAAGCTAATAATGGGACTTTTTCTGCCCAGATGTAGCCGAAGCTAATAATGGGACTTTTGCTGCCCAGATGTAGCCGAAGCTAATAATGGGACTTTTTCTGCCCAGATGTAGCCGAAGCTAATAATGGGACTTTTGCTGCCCAGATGTAGCCGAAGCTAATAATGGGACTTTGTTGCTCCACTCCAAACACTGAAAATGGGATTCTTTTTTTAAAATTAAACCTAAACAAACGTTTTGAATCGGCTGCGAATTACTGAAAAAAATTGTATTAAATTTTTAAAAATTAAAAAAAGCAAGTCTTGTCCGCAAGTCATTACTACTCCCCACCCCTCAAAAAGGTTAACCCCAAAAAGAGGAAAAGCCACGCTCCAAGTTGTAGAACATCTTTACATAAATGGCAACAGAGAACACTAGATGAGTCATTAAAAATCGATTATTGATTTTGGGATGAAGTGTCATTTATTCTTAATGTTTAGCATTATGCCAAATAGTGCAAATTTTTGAGTTCTGAAATAAATATTCTTAAATGTCAAAGAACTTTTTTGTTTTGTAAAATTTATTTTTAATTCAATAAATTGATTTTCAAAATCAATAAAAAAATAATTAACTCTTCTTTAGTTATTAAATTTTATTCAAAAAGGCACAAGAAAAAGTCTAATTGGACAGATATCAAGAAAGTTATGGCTAAATACTGAATCGGCGATACTGAATCGTCCTTTACAACAACAAAAGGAACATTTGAATCCTAAATATAGGAAATAAAACAGGCACTTGAGTCTTATAAATAGAAGCTTCATAAAACAAGCAGGACTTAACGTTTCTAAATTTAAGTCTTTATTTTCATTTTTAAAGGGAAGAATTCTTTCTCAATATGCCTTCTGATGCAAAAAAGCAACGCGATAAAGCCAAAAAAGACAAGGAAAAAGCTGCCTCAAAACAACGTAGAGGAAAAAAGGGTGGAACAAATTCAGAACAGAATCCAGTTGAAGACGGATTGAATGACAACAAAATTGAAGAAAATGGAATTTCTCAAGCAGAAATGGATGCCGTTACGGACGTTTTGCATCGTGTTGAATTAGAAAATGCTAAAGCTCGTGCAGTTGCTGGCGTTTTAACTTCACAAGAAAGAAGCATAAATTTAAAAATTGATCAACTGACAATTACCTTTCATGGACGTGAAATTGTGACGGATACAACACTTGAAATAAATATGGGACGAAGATATGGGTTAATTGGACTTAATGGAAGTGGTAAGTATTTTTTAATTATTTTTTTTGACAAAATTTATTTGGTAGCCCCTACGGCTTTTAAGTTTTCAGGAGTCTGTATTTCAGTGTAAGGTGTCGTTACAATCGAAATTTTGATGTCATTCGACTAGTTCGATAAGCTCTTTTGAATGATTTTCCCCAATCCCCGTCAGTTTAGTTTTCTGAGATTTATTTAATTTTTTGGAGGATTTTTTGACCTCCAAGGTCCTTAGAATTTTTGTATTCAATTAATTTCAAAAATTAGGCAAATCTTCACTAATGCAAGCAATTTTCTTACGTGAGATGCCTATCCCTGACCATATCGACATGTTTCTTGTTAGTCGAGAAATGGCGGCCGTGGATTTGCCTGCACTCCAAGCTGTTATTAACGTTGATAAAGAACGTATTGCATTAGAAAAACAAGCGGAAGAATTGGCTGCTTATGCTGATGAAGGTTTTTTTTAATTAAGAATTTTTGAATAATTTTTTGAAAATTTTTTCTAGAATCCCAAACAAAATTGTTGGATATTTATGAAAGATTGGACGAAATGGATGCAGACAAAGCTGAAGTTAAAGCTGCTGAAATTCTTCATGGACTTGGTTTTACTCGTCAAATGATGCAAAAACGTTGTAAAGATTTTTCTGGTGGATGGAGAATGAGAAGTATATTTTTGTAAATTTTCAAAAAATTAAAAAAAAATTTTTAAAGTTGCTTTGGCACGCGCTTTATATTTGAAGCCTTCATTGCTTTTACTAGACGAGCCTACTAATCATTTGGATTTGGATGCTTGTGTATGGCTAGAATCTGAACTTTCCAAGTAAACAGAACTGAAATTTAAAAAAAATTTCTTCTCTTTTTAGATACAAACGTTCATTGTTGATTATATCCCACTCACAAGATTTTATGAATAATGTTTGTACAAATGTGATTCATTTGTTTCAGAAGAAGTTGATTTATTACACGGTAAAATTTAATGAATTCGAATTTAGTTAAGGGTTTTTTTTTAGAAATTTTCTTGGAAAGGCGTGCAGGGCCTAGCTATTTCTTTTTCGAAATTAAGTCGTCCAACCAATCTTGGACTTACAATTTTTCGTCCAAAAAAATCCTAGACCTATGTTTTTTAAATCTCTAATCTAACCCAAAATTTTAAAATAAAACTTAATTTTTAGGGTAATTATGATACTTTCATCAAAACTCGTTTGGAACTACTCGAAAATCAGGCAAAACGGTACAAATGGGAACAAGAACAAATTAAACATATGAAGGTTTTTTCATTTTAATTTATTAAAACTTACTTCAAAAAAGGAATACGTTGCTCGTTTTGGTCACGGAAGTGCAAAATTGGCAAGACAAGCACAAAGTAAAGAGAAGACAATGGCAAAGATGATTGCTGGTGGTTTAACAGAAAAAGTTGTTTTGGAACAGACAAAACAATTTTACTTCTTTGAGCCTGATAATATTCCACCACCTGTAATTATGGTACAACATGTTAGCTTTAGATACAATTCAAATTCGGTTAATTTAAAAAAATTTTTTTAAAAATTATAAAAATTTCTAGCCTTGGATTTACCAGGATCTTGATTTTGGGATTGATTTGGACACTCGAGTTGCTTTAGTTGGACCAAACGGAGCTGGGAAGTCGACACTTTTGAAATTGCTCGCAGCCGATTGTGAACCGACTGATGGAATGATTCGAAGACATTTACACTGTAAAATTGGAAAATACCATCAGGTTTTGAAGTTAAAATTGAACAATTATTCCAGAAATTTACCTATAAAGAAAAAAATCTATTTTTAAGCATCTTGTTGAAGAATTACCTTTGGAACTCAGCGCCCTCGAATATATGCAAAAAGCATTTCCTGATGTTCGAGAAAAGGAAGAAATGCGTAAAATTATTGGTCGTTATGGGCTTTCAGGTTTTCTGTCTTTGAAAGCTTTTAAAAAAGTTTTCAAAATATTTTCTTTTAAAGGAAGAGAACAAGTTTGTCCGATGAAACAATTATCAGATGGTATAAAATTCTTTGAAAATTTCTGAATTTTCCTTTCTCAGGTCAACGATGTCGTGTAGCTTTTGCCTGGTTAGCTTGGCAACAACCACACTTGTTACTTTTTGACGAACCGACAAACCATTTGGATATGGAGTTAGTTTTAAACTTTTAAGGAGATCTTATGTTTAATTTTCAGGAGTATTGATGCACTTGCTGAGGCTATCAATAATTTTGGAGGAGGAATGATTTTGGTATTCTTTTCATAATTTACGAATAAAATTTATTTGAAAACTTTCAAGGTTTCCCACGACTTTCGATTAGTTCAACAAGTTACTGATGAAATTTGGGTTTGCGATAATAGAAAAGTTACCAAATGGGATGGTGACATTTTCTCCTATAAACAACATTTACGTGATCGTATTGAAAATCGAAAAAGAATAATGACCGAACGATGAAGTGAAGTGTTAGAGGTCTTTTTTGTTATATCTAATGGTTATTGTTCAAGCCTTTCTCTCTCAAACTAAAAAGACGTGTAGACATTATTATAATGCTCCCGTGTTCGTTTTTTGTTTGTTGCTTATTTTTATGGTTATATAAAGATTCTGAAATTTATTTCTGAATGAATTCCTAAGATTCCTAAGATTCTGAAATTTATTGGGTATACCTGTCCTCATGAAAATGTTTCATTTTTTGATTTCAGGAGACGAAATTGGGGGATTGGAAGCAAATTTTTATTAAAAAGCTAGCTGTTTACTAATGAAAGACAAATATTATTTTAGTTAGTATTAATTTTTAGTCTTAATACGAAAAATTTTTCTTCATCTCGACACTTCCACTAAAGAGTGGATTAGTGTTGATGGTTGGAAAAGCATTTCAATCTAGAAAAAAGTTATTAAAAAGAATTATCTTAAAATTTAATAACCTGATCCACTTCTAAGCATCTTCCACCAAAACGATTTTTGAGAATCTACAATAAAAAGGAAAATTTTTTTAAAGAAATTCAAAAAATCTTACATAAAGAAACTTTCGAAACTTCCTCCGATCATCAGTTTCTCTTCGTCTTTGAATAACCAAAACATTTTCTGCCTCTTGAGTTATTTTTGCAGAAGGCCCTCCAATATGTTGAAGTTCATAATAGCCTTGCTTTAATTTAATTTTTCTTAGGATTAAAGAATTTATAAAAATAGGTAAACCTCATTTGGTTCTCTAACAGGATGTACAACCTTTTCAAAAAGTGCAAATAAAAAAAGGAAAATTAATTTTATACCAAAGTAATATGTAATTCCTGCGCGTTTGCCATTCTCCGTAACATTCCAACAAATCGATCCTTCAAAAAAATTTTTTTTAATTACAAAAAAATTTTTCAAAAATTTTCTAACCTGTTGATGTGTTCTTTCTGCTGCCGTCATTGGGTCAATATTCACTGTAGCCATATCAACAAGTGCTTGCTTAAAATAAAATTATTCAAAAAAAGAAAAGTTAACAACCAAATTATCAATAACCAAATGTTGAGTACCACAAGCCAAAGTTTGTTCTCTAATTGCCTTTAAAATTGAAAAAAAATTTTTTATTAAAAGAAACAAACATCGGCAATTTCTTTTAATGTTTTATCTCGAAATTCTTCAGTTTTCATTATTATCAAATCGCTATGAGTTCTTTCAAATCGATCCAACCACATTTCTACTGCTGAATGATCTTGGCGTTGTTGAAGAGGAACTCTGAAAATTTTGGGATTAAATGTCTCTCCTCAAAAATTTTTTTTCTTGTCCCTTCTCACGTGCCTTCCCACTATTTTTCCTCCAAATTATAAATAAAACAACATACGCACTTTGTTCGAGTAGTAAAAGTTCGGGAACGGGCAAGGCTGCGCACGTGAGAAGGACTGAAATGATAAGGACTTTAATCGAGAAAAAATTATTATTTTTTTCTTCTTTATTTTCTTTTACTTATTTTTTAAAAAACCCCTTCAATTAAAAAAATAATTTACATACCCAGCAAATTGAATAATCATCCATTTGAGAATCTGAAAAATATAAAAAAAAATTCTTAGATATTCAAAAACAAATAAACCTTTTCTTCGGGCATTTCAAAATTACAAAAAAGTGTTCGAATTCCTTGAGTAAAAAGATCCATAGCATATCTTAATTAATTTTTAATTATTCAAAATTTTTATTTTTCAATACTTACTCGCACATAAATGTTGTTTTGCCATAACTTCCACCACTTAAAATTGTAATTTCTGATGGACGAAATCCACGCAAATAATTATTTAATAAAGCATAGCGTTTCCACTTGAAATTAAAAATTTTTTAAAAATCAAAAAAAAAAGAAAGAAACCATTGTTAAACCAGAAAGTTTTGTTTTGCTCTGAACAATTTCACTTCGAACCTAAAAATTAAAAAAATAGTTTTCAAGTAAAAAATATTTTAAAGAAAGGGGAAGTCCGGAAAAAGAAAAGATAGCCTAAAACTCAGCAAAGTTCTCAAACAATAAAAGCCGTAGGTCAAAGCTCAATCAAGGTTGGTAGATTTAAAACATAAAGGGACTGACACTTAAGTAGACATCGCCAACAGCTGCCAGGCATCGAACCTGGGTCTCTCATAAAGTATAAGTCGGGGGTGTTAACCACTACACCACGACAATGATTTCTCCAAAATTAAAAAAACTAACTGAATCGCGTAAATCTTGAACAGAACGGAATCCCTTATAACGAACACGAACAGCATCTTTAAAATATTCAAAAAAAAATTTCAAATAATTTCAAAACCTTGAATATTATGTAAAACTTCTTTCGCGCGATTATCACGAACTAATTCAACTGGGCGAAGAGATGCCCTAAATATTTTTGAAATTAAAATTTAAATAATTAAAAAACAAACGTAATAATGTAACAACGAGCGGCGTTTAAATAAGAAGCATAACTTAAAAAATTTTTTAAAATGTGAGAATTTTTATTTGAAAAAAACCTTTTGGCAAAACGTTCATGAATGTGAGGAAACCAAATATAAATCTAAAAAAAGACGGAAAAATAATTTTTTAAATTAAAAATTAACCAAATCAAAATCTTCCAAATATGGAATGACTGTAGAATCAAAACGTTCCCCTAATGGCAATGAAAGTGCTGGAATGCCATTTGAAGCGTCATATACTGCCTTTAAATATTTTTAAAAAAACAAAAATAAAGGGCGGCAAAATCGCATTCCCGAACTCCCGGGATTAGTTTCAAAAGGTCGAACGGCACTGGATCCCGTGGGATTAGTCGAGTAACTACCGTTTTTCGCTTAAAAATCGGGATCCTATAAATCTGTATGAGATCCCGCCCGTGCCGTTCTCTAGACTAAAAATAGTATTAAAAAATATTTACCAAAGCATCACGTTCATTTGTGCATAAAACAATTCTTAAAAAAATAAAAAAACAAAGTTAAAAAAAAAATAAAAAACCTATTATCAAATTGTGTAACCATTTGAAGTCCAAACATTCCAGTAAAACGAACTTTCCTTAAAAAATATTCTTTTAAAAAACCAATAAAAACAAACTCTGAACTTTCATCGGGATAATTTTCTTTAGTTAATTTACCACCAGAAACTCTTCGAATTACTTTTAAGCCTAAAAAAATTTTTCAAAAAAATTTTTTTTTTAATTTTCACAAAAAATTTCTCTTACCATTAGGAATTCTATTACGAGTTGAAGGACCTCTATAACGTGGATAACAAATTGCTGGTTGATCAAAAGCATCCATATGTCCTCTTACATGATACTGAGAAAGTGTTTCCGCGGAGATTTTCTGTTTTGAAAATTAAAAAAATTGAAAATTTTATTTTAATTTACATCAATTCCAAGTTGAGCACGTAAAGAACGAAATCTGAAATATTTTTAATAGAGTTCGAACTTTCACATTGACGAGCTCGGTATAATGAGAATTTTTTCTTTAAAGCTGACTTGCGGTTTTTATAAAAGACCCGGTCTCCGAGCTACCGGGACCGGAAAACTCGGCCTCGATCCGGGTTCGAACTCTAATTTATAATTTTAAAAACGCCCAAAAAAAAATAAAGTTTAAAACTATTACTCTGTTTGATCTTCAACATTCCTTATTTCACTCAAATCAACAGCTTCAGACCAAACATGACGAATTTTTGGATCCACCATACCTCCACTTGCTCCAATTCCTTCTAATGCCGTTTGTTCCTCTACACCTCTTTTTTGACGTGGAATGTTTTGTTCCTCCGTTTTATCAGCAAAACGCAATAGTGGACTCGTTTTACTTCTTAAAAGAAAAATATTTAAATTTAAAAATTAAAAAAACATTGTCGAAGAAGGAACTGCTCGTTGTGTATCTACACCCAGAGGAGTTGTTGTAGCCAATTCTTTCCCTTCAGAAAAATTATTTCGAACACCCCCACTGCGTTCCAACAAATTTTCAACAGAATTTGTATTTTTAGCTGCTGGTGATTGTCTTGTAGGTCCAGGAGAAATAGCAGCAGTAATTGAAGATTGTTGTTCACTACCAGCACCGCTATCGTCAAAACTAGAAAAGATGAGGAAATAAAATTTTTAAAAATCCAAAACTTTAAAAAAGAATTTTTTACTTCCCCTTTCCTAAAAATACAGACAATCAATTTTTTTAAATTTCTAAAAATCCTAAACTATTAAAATCCTAATTTTATGAAAAATAATATGTAGTACTTTAAAGAATTTAAAAGAATTTTTTGAAGGTGTTTTTGATAGAAAATAGTTTCCTTATATTTTTATTTCCCCTTCCGTTTTTGGAAAAATAAAAATATGAAAAAGAAGAAAAAGAAGAAAAAGGCCAAAAAATAATTGTTTCCTTTGCAGGGTGGACAATTTTACTTTTAAAAAATACAGAAAAAATTCTAACAATAAGAATTTGTAAAAACGTCTATAAAAAGTGCTAAATTGGTTAAGAAAAAAAACAAGAAAAATGACATCGTTTTTGAGCCAAGTTCTGTTAAAAAATTTTTTAGAGAAAATACAACCCCTTCCGAAGTATCCACCCCCCCCTCCTCCCCCCAAATTTTAAATATCCACAAACAGTCTTCTCCTTTCCACAACAACAAAAGCTTCATCCGGATCTGTATCTGATGACGGAGCAATAAATACACCCATTTCCGTAAAGTCTATAGGAATTGCTTTAATACTTTTTTGGCATCTTCTACTTCCACAACTACTCCCAGCACGAACTTCACAATCAGCAATACCTCTATTTACTTTTAAAATAGTTAAAGGTAAACGGAAAAGAAAAGATGCTGGAGCAGATTCTGTAGAAGCTTCCGAAGTTGTTGATAAAGAGGAGGGAGAATGCCCTAAAATAGGACTTTGAGTAGACGATGACGGTCCCGGGGAAGACAAATTACTGCCATAAAAGTGTTGAGGAGGCCGAAGATGATGAGTTTTTGAAATTTCTTCAGACCTCGTTTTGCTTCTTTTATGAGGATCTTTAATTTGTTTTTGAGAAATTTGTTGATATTTTTCTTCTCTAAATTTGTTTTCATCAAAATCGTCTTCAAATTCATTTAAAGGAGAACAATCACCCAAAGCACAATTAGGCAAAAGAGAACAATCACACATGTCCAAATATTTGTATGTTTGGTTGTCTACAGGAAGGACAGGGGAAATTTTAGAATCTGAAGGAATAAAAGACGATTCCCTAAATTCTGTTGTTATTCCAGCCGTTTCAACAGACAATGCACGTAGTGGTGGGGCTTGATGATGATAATCTCTTCTTTGACCATTTTGGCTATTTTTACTAGTCTGAGAAATTTTTTGTTGAAAATCCAAAGATTTTTGTCGCCTCTTTCCCGGCAAATCTACATCTGTTTCCTTTAATTTTCTTGCTCAATTAGCTTTTTAAACCCTTAAAAACCTCAGAAAGTGATTGATAACGTCGACTTTGTTGCAAAGGCATTCGAAATGAAACGGTTCGTTTAGAGGGAATATTATTCATTAATTTATGTAAATTTTTGTGGTTATTAGGAGTAAAAGGAATTTAAAATAAAAGGAAGATTGAAAAAATTTCTTGTAAAAACTTGAAAAAAAATTTTTTAGAAAAATTATAAAAGGAACATATATTTTGTCTCGGAGATAAAAGACAATTTTGCTTCAAAATTTTATTTTTTTATAAACTCTTAGAAACATCGCCTTTTACCTAGTGACTTTTTATTAATAAAAGACAGCCTAAAAAACTCTCCAACTGTGCTTCCCTCTTTTTCTAAATTTTTTCCCCGTTGGAAGAAATTTATAAAAATTGCTATTTTCCCAAAAAAATCCTCCCAAAAAATTTAAAACTAACGTTGGAGCCATTTCTCCTGTCACTGTTGTTCCTCCACCTCCTTCACGAAGATTTCCCATACTGTGAAACTGTCGTCGTTTTCTTTCAAGTTGATGTGCTTTTACCATATCTAAGCACGCAACACGGTCGTAAAGATCAAAATCAGGCTAAAAATAGAAAAATAAAAAGAATTTTAAAATTAAAAAAAACCTCGTCTAATCCAAGCACAATTCGTTCAATCTCCTCAAATTCTTCTTCATCCGACATTTTTTCCCTAAAGTTCTTGGCTGTACAACTAAATTAAAAAATAATAATTTTTAAATGAGTTAAAGAAAAATTCTTTCCTTAAATTTTGTGTTATGTTTAAAACTAAATGGTCATCGAGAATATAAAAGGACGGAAATGTGCCATTATACCCTACGACGAAAATAAAAATTGGGTAAAAATAATATTAGAAAATGATAAAGAAAAACATGTGGGGGCAAGGAAGATTTAAGAGAACTAAAACAAATAAAAAGAACAACCTAATCCATGCTATTGCTGTTGTAAGGCAAACCCAAATTGTGCTTCAGATAGCCTCTCCACCTCCATTTTTCATTGCTTCATGCTTCAGCAACAGTTTCTCAGATAACCACCCCCACATAAATTTCTGAAAAAGTCAAAATTTTAATTATAGGTACATTCTAAAAATTAAAATTATCCCAAAGAAATAAACTTAAACCGCAAAATCTGAAGGACTTTAATTGTGTTACGACCCAACAAAGTATTTTTTCCATGTTTTTAAAAACATTTAAATAACAAAAAAACAAGAAAAAAAATATTTAAACTTTATTTACAACAAAAAAATTTTTTTTGACTAGTTTAATTAATTTATAAAAATGTAAAAAAATATTAAAAACGTTGAATTATTTCAACGATATAACAATAATTAATTTTTCGGCTCTTTATTTTCAAGCTTTATTCTTTTTGCTTGTTTGACATTTATTCTTTTATTTATTTTTTTGTTTTACAATAGAGCCATTTAAAAAAAAGAAATATGCAAATTAACATGCCAATTTTTTTATTTTTTCTTTAATAGGCCAGAAATATAGTCGAGTCGATATTTTTAATTGATTAAAAAATCAGAATATAATTTTAGACTATTAGACTTGTAAAACAAATCGACTACATTCCTGTTTTCTATGCCTCGCAAAAATATTCTGCTTATTAATTTTGGGGTCTTCACGACTTTAAAAAAGTAAAATTTTTTCCGAATTTATCCAAAAATTTTTTTATAAACTCAAAAATAAGCAGAACATTTTACCACAAACAAAACTAAATAATAATCAGAGGGGTCATGTTTTGAACAATTAGAAAGGGACAGGATGTGTAATGTTTAATACTAATAAATGTTATATTTTTATTTTGTGCGCTTAAAATTAAAAAAAGGACAGCGCGTCTTTTAGGAGGTTAAGATGAGAGAGGAATGCCATTCATTACATTTTTTAAATAATATCATCAAACCTTTGTTTTATTTTTAAAAATACCAAAGTTGTTTTCCCAACATCAAAAAATTATTTTTTTTATTCATCTAAACTATCGCCCATTTCTTGTTTAACATCAAAATCTTCTTCAAGTTCAATTTCACCATCGCTTCTGTGTTCATCATCATCATCCTCTTCCTCTTTGTGTTCTTCATCTTCATCATAATCTAATGAGGCAAGTAAATCTTTTGGAGTTACTTGCTCCTTAAAAAAATTTTTTCATTTTTAAATTAAATTTTATAAAAAATAAACTAACGGATGGTTTTCTCTCTCCATCTGGAATAATTGGTTGACCGTTGCTGACACTCTTAGAAACTGGTGCCCATTCAATAGTAATGTTTGCATTGGGAAAAGGTGATGTAGTCGCATGCGAAACGGCCTAAAAAATTATTATTTATTATCAAAAAATTAAAAAAAAACCTTTTGAGCGGACATTGGATCCTTGTATGTGAAGACCATAGGCTCCGTATTAATATCTAAAAAATAAAAATTTCATTTTTTTAAATATTTTAATATAAATCAATCAAACCATAGTCAAACAAATCTCCAAATTTTTCCATATAAACTAAAATTTGAAATTAAAAAATATACAAAAAATATAAAAGAATTACCAATGAGTTTTTCAGCTTGTTCTTGTGGACAATTCAAAGCATAAACCACACGGCACAATTTGAACAATTTTTTATTTGGCGTTTTTGGAGGAGAATTTCCAATTGGAGCTCCTTGTTAAATTTTAATAAATTTATTCGAAAAATAAAAAAAAATAAACAATAAACAAACCCTCCTTATCCAGTTTACTCCCATCATGTCCAATAGCATTTTCATTTGTCAAAACAAGATTTGAAGTCATTCTTAATTGTTTACCAGTTTGACGCTGTTCAACAATACGAATCTTATTTGCCAACTGTTCCAATTCAGTTTTAGTTCCTTGTGAAGTACTTTCCGACTTTTTAACAAGAGCTATTAATCGTTTGCGTTGTTCTTTGTCTTCAGTTCCTATTTAAAAATAAATATAATCCTACCAAAAAAACAACAAAAAAGACCTTTCAATTTTTCAAGCAATGTCTTTTGTTGTTCCACAAGTTTAGCATATAATCCAGTCTTCATTCGTTGAAGTTCTTTAAGTCGGCTAAGAACATCACGATCCATTGATTTTCTCTTTCCTAATTTCGCAAAAGTTCCGGCACGACTCTTCCCAGCTTGTGTTGCTATTGAAATATTTGAAGTACTTGAAGCAACAATAGTGGAAGAATTGGTAGTCGTTGATTGAGATGTCTTTGCGAGCGAATCATTTCCTTCCAATCCTTCTGCGCGGTCAACAGCAGGTGCAGATTCTTCTATTGTTGATACTGTTTGAGGTTTGATAAACGTCTTTTTGTAAGTTCCCTGTTTAAAAAAAATAATTTTAAAAGTAATAAAAACTAACTAATGGACGCAAAACAGGTCTTTTAGACAACGGTATTGTTGGGCCTCCAGTTGATGTAGTATTCGGATTTGTATTTTCAGTCATCCCAGCATTTCCATCCTCAGTTGTCGAAGCATTCTTATCATTTTGCCAAAAGATTTTAATAAAACGATTGTTCAAAATTGGTTCAACAGACTTATAAGCAGCCATTGCATCACGACGTGTTTTAAAAGTAACTAATGCTGTGTCTGGTCGACCTTCAAAATGTTAAAATTTAAATAATCATTTTAAAATAAAACCTTCATATTGAACTTGAATATTTGTAATTTGACCAAAACGACTAAAATGCTGATCAAGTTGCGCAATTTTGTTCAAATCTTGAGGAATTTTTTTCACCTGAAAAATTTTTTAATTAAAATATTATGACTCAAAACAAACCAAAAGGCTTCTTGATGTTTGATTACGATTTGCAGGAAAACTATAAGGCTTAAAACGTCCTCCACGCATTGTCATTCCTCCTCCGCTATTTGCAGTCCCAAATCCAGGATTATTTTGTCCAACGCCACCAGAGGTTTGAGAACCATAAATTGCAGTTGTTTGGGTTGGTAAAGTTGAAGCAGTTAATGAAGTAACAGTTGCTGAAGCATCTTGACCTCCACTAATTTGAGATGGACGAAAATGAACAAAACCGCCTGTCGAAGTCGTTCCACCTCCAAATGAAGAAGGCAATAAAGCATTCATAATTTCTGTCGGAAGTTGCTGTTGTGGAGGCGGAATAGTACCAGGCGGATAAATAAGATGTTGAGATGCTGAAAGTGATGTTGCTGTACGTATTTGATGAGGTAATATTGGAGGTGGCGGAACTGAAAAGTCAATGCTCGACATCGATGGTGTTGTAAGTGCAGGAGCCTCTGGATTATATCCTAAGGGAATTTTTCAGTTTAAGGAAAATGAAAATATATTAACCTTCAGAAATACTTCCTCCACCGCTCAACGGTTTTCCACTAGACCCAGAAGATTCAAGTCCCGGTGGAGGTGGGTTTACTCCATAAGAACTACTTGTATCAAAAACAGATCCACTAGCACGAACAATTTTTTCCAAAGCAGTGGCATCGGCGACAACAGGATCCTTAAATGGACGTTTAAGATATATCAATAAAAGTTAAATACCGGTCCGTGATCATATGGACAACCATCCCCACGCATGCAAAAGCCTTTCTCATGGAAATCACGACAACGATGACGACGTAATGAACGCAGGTCAAAATCAGCAACTAAGCGTTTTTCCTTTCTAAAAAAATTTAAAGAAAAATAGTTTAAAACAAACCTGCTAACATGCACAGGTGATCGAGAACGTTCACGACTCTTTGAACGTGCTCGTCTAGTTTCACGGTAATGTCTAGTAGTAACACGCATAGAAGGTCCACCACTAGTACTATTGCCAGTTTCTCTCCCAATAACTACTCGTCTTCTGGCTACAGGCGAAACACGACGTTCTGCTCCACCTCCACCTCGACGTTCTGCACTGTTAGAACGTGGAGGAGAAATACGTTTCCGGAAAGGTCGACCAGTTGGCTGTGAGGCAGTCTGTTGTTGTTGCGTTGAAGAGGTTTTTGTGGTTGTTGCAGTCGTCGTTATAGTCGACGTGTGTGATGCATGTGTCGTTGTACTAGTTCCTGTAGTACTACTTCCACTAGTTCCTTTACTACGAGTTGTTGATGTGGATTCCTTGACTGAACGGCTTGACTTGCTACCACTGTGTGGAGACGACTTGTCAGTTTTACCTTTATCAACTCGGTGTTCATCACGAATGGATTTTGATGAAGTTACCATGCCTAAAATAGAGTTGGTAAACATTAAAATACAACAAGATAACCTGATGCTCTCGTTTGTGTCTTCTTTTGATGATCCTCTTTCTTCTTTTCAACAGGCACTTGTTCAGGACTGTCAGGATCAGTCAAAACCAACTTTAAACAAAAAACGTTAAAGAATAAATAAATTTAAAAACCTCATCAGTCTCAGCAGTTATTGCATCCTCGTCCTGTTTTGTTTGTTCAACCTGCTCCTTAACATATTCTTCTTTTGCCTCTGCAGCAGTTACAACATCCTCTTTTTGAGTTAGATATTTTTCCGATCTTAGCGTAGCGAAAAGTTGATTGACGAAAGGTTCGGTATCTAAAAAATAAGGTTACCTATTAATATATTAAAAGTATTTACGTGATTGGAGAAAAACAGAAAGCTTTTCTAGACACAATTCTTCAAGAACATTTTCAGCCAGAGGCTTCTTCACCAAAGCAATAACATATTTAGCTAGAGCATCTGGTTCTGCGTCACTTCTAAAAATAAAATTTTTTAGAGGAAAAAAGATAGAAAACATACATGTCCTCAACAATGTGTGAAATCCAAGTTTTTAGGCGATTCTCATCTTGAATAATCATTTTTAATGTTATTTCTAAAAAATGACAAATTTTGAAGAAACTAATTATTAAATGAAAAAAGAATAAATTTTCTTCTAGAAGAATAAATCAAACAACACGAGGGAGAACAAAAAAACCTCTTCGATAATTAACAAGTTTTCTCCACAAGAATATTACTCTAACATTAATTTACTTTTATATTATCTGTAAAGTTTAGTAGTGCAAAAAAGCTAGAGAGTGTAAAAAGTTGGAGATTATTAGAGAAAAAAAACAAACGAGAGATTATGATAGATTGGCATTCTTCAATTTCAAAATGTCAAAAACAAAAAGAGTATTGCTAAGATTTATTGAACATTTTGTTATTTTTCTCGTCTGTAGACATTTTGAAATTATACATTTTGTTTTCGTCAAGAAACATCTGTTTTGCTTCTCTTCTCTATTACGAAACCTTGCAATTTTTCTTGTTTTATTGGTTTGCTGGCAAAAATTTTTTTTTAATTTTTCAGGAAATTTTTCGTTATTGCTATTTAATTTAATTTTTAAAGCATAATGGCAACTCCTGGGATTGAAGGTAATTTTATATACTTAAAAATAAAATCATTTTTAAGCTTCTCACGATCCTGCAGCCAATTCTGTTGATGGACAATTGACTGAAGCTGAGCGTGAATTGATCCTTGAAGAGTTGAAAAAGGTTTTTTTAGATTTAAATTTAGACTTTCTTTATTATTTTTTAGACCGAGGATGAAGTTGCAACACTTCGTCAAGTTTTAGCTGTCCGTCAAAAGCAAGTAGCACATTTAAAACATAAATTGGGGATTTCTCCTTTTAATGAGCTGACAAGTGAAATGGCGCAAGGAATTCGGACTGTTAAGGAAACACCAGCGTAAGCTTTTTCTTTAATTTTTAAGTGTATGAGCTTTTTGGGCTTAAACTTGTGCAAGAACTAAACTTACAATTAGGTGTAGAGATCGAACTCGGTTTGGGGCAGGCCCATGGAGGTTTTTTCTTTTCCCAAAGCCTCGGGCTTTACAGGTTTTCCTGGACGCCTTCAAGCCAGTAGACTCAGGATGCACCCTGATACAATGGATTCGTAAATGCCCCAGACTTTCAAAAAATCTCGATCCCCTGAGTGGACAATTTTTAAAAATTGTCAATGACTAATAGTAAGTTTTAGGGTATTTCTACCTACTCTCAAAATCTTACTTCCATTAAATCATCCTCAAAAATTTTCAGATTTCAGAAGACTAGTGAATTTGTTGGAGGAACTGCAGAGACTGTTGCCAATAAATTTAATGATATTCGCAAGTCTTCATTTTTTAAATCATTTGAAACTAAGATTGGAAGTGCTGTTAACAATGTTTCTTTTTTATTTTTTAACCTAAAAAATTTTTTTCAAGGCAAAAATGGTAGCTTCAACTTCAATTGATCATCTGGCTAATGTTGCTGGGGGTGGATCGAGAACTCCTCAAGAAACTGGAGAACGTAAAGTTGTTGGGTCGCCTCCGCCGCCACCGCTCTCATAAGAGAAATTAAATATGGACAGATATTAAAGAGGAAAATATTCTAAAAAGACAAAAAAGGTTGTAAAAATTATTATTTTTTTCTAAAAAAGGTTATCCAAAAAAGTATTCGTTGAGGTACTTTTTGGTTATTTTTCTTAGTTTTGCGGACCGATTACTTCATATAAATTTTTCCACTTTTTCTCCACTTAATTAGAGACTCGGGCCAAGCAAGATGATGTTCCCACTGACTGAGAAATCCTTTTGTGATTGTTGAGAGAACGAAGGTTTGCTATTTCGACGTTTTGGCATATTAAGAGAATTATTAGGGCTTGGGAACCTTTAAGTATTGGAATTTTCTAAAAATCCGTTCTGTCCGCAAAATTATTTAAGAAAATATCGATAAAAGTACCCCATCTTCCACCAAAAAAATTTTTCTTAAAAGGATCAAACACCTTAATTTTTCCAAAAAAATCTACTTTTTTGTATTTTAGCAAAGGTTTCTTTCCTTTCTCTACATTATCTTTTTAATATTTCGAAAATTTCCTGAACTTTATAAAGGTGTGGCCTGGAAGGGAAACTTTTGCTTCACACAGAATTTCTTTAAAGATTCATTCCTCTATTTTAAAGCCATCTTGTGTCTATTTTAGCGTTCTTTATAAATGTATTTTATTTAACAATAAAAAATGAAAAAATTTTGGGAAAATTTTTAAAGATATTTTTAAAGCCTTTCCTCCCTATCAAGAATGCCACTGAGTAATTGAGACCCGAAACTCAGACTTCTTCCGATCCAAGAGAAAATTTGAAACCCCCGACCCGAATTTTTCCGACCCTTAACATCCCTGGTTCCTGTATTTAAAATATATTCCTCCCTCTCCCTTTTTCAGTAAAAAAAATTTAATTCTCGTCTCTCCTTTCCCTTTATTTTTTATTTCAAGCAATTTTCTTCTATTAATTTAAATTTTCCCCCTCTCTTTTCCTAACATTTAATTGCTTATAAAAATTTTGTTTTTAAAAGAAAAGGGAAGAAAATTGGATTACAAAGAAATAAAAATACGAATTGCCCTAAAATTAATTTTTTTCTGAACAAAAAAATTTTGTCCAAAAAATATTTCAATTACATTTTTTCCAATTTTTAATTCAAAAAATAATCTTGGAAAATAAAAAAAAATTTCGGTCTTTTTAAAAATCCTTTTAGATAATTTAATTTTGAAATTAAAAATCCTTCTTTTCTTTCGCTAACCCTCTCGTCATTCAAAATATCATTTTTAATCCCTTGGGAGAAGAAAAGTAAACTTATCAAAAATAAAGCAAATTTTCTTTAAAAATTTATAAAGCCTAGATTATTTTTCAGCACTTTTCTATAAACGTTTTTTTTATTAACCCTAAACCTTCATAAAGTGAAAGCTTCCCCTCCGATCTTTTTCCCAAATTCTTACAAATCCAGTTAAAAATCAATCCAACATTAAAAATTGAAAAAAAAATTCAAGTTAAAAACGACATTAATTTAAATTATAATCAAATTTTTTGAATATTTATTTACGTGCATATGAGCGAAAAAACAATTTTTAAATTAATAAGTATACAAATATTAAATGCGTCATTTTTATAAAAACATCCGCCCACTTTATTTTTTATTTATAATTTGATTAGACCCCTCCTCTTGACTTTCTTCGTAATAAAAATTTATCAGCCTATCGTCTACCCCCTAAAAAATCTTTTGCCCCACAAAACTAAAAAACACAAAGGGTCACATTCAAAAATATTTTTCTTAGCAAATTTTATCAAAACGAGGCATTTAACTCACTTAAAATTTGCCTTATAAAGGCCTTTTTTAAATTATTTTCTATAAAATAATTTTAAATTAATTGGTCATAAATTTAATTATCAAAAAGAAAAACCTTTTTTCTTTTCCTTTCAATTACTCTTCCAAAAGTTTCTTAATCTCCGGCTCCAACTTTTCCGGTTCATCAGTCGGTGCATGTCGACTAACTGGAATTCCTTGCTTGTTAACCAAAAATTTAGTGAAATTCCATTTAATTGCGTCAATCAGAGTACCTTTAAATATTGTATTTTTAATGATAAAAATGAAAAATTAAAAAAAACCATGCTGCTCATGCTTCAAAAACTCCCAAAGTGGATGAGCGTTTTTGCCATTCACATCAATCTTCGCATACAAATCAGGAAAGAAATTGAACTTCTCATTAATAAATTTCTTTATTTCTTGATTAGTTCCTGGCTCTTGGCTATTAAACTGAAAATTTGATAAAAATGTTAAATTTTGGGATCAAATGTCATTTTTTTTTCGAAAACTGGATTCCTTAACGTAAGGCGATTGGAAATGGGTTTCTAAACTTGGTTTCGAATCAAAACAACCTTGCTTGGGACAAAATGGACAATAATACAAATTGGGATCAAATGTCATCCTTTCCCCAACAATGGGAGTTACCCAAAAAATTAATTTTAAATCATAAAACAAACCTGATTGCATGGAAAACAAGCAATAGAAAGTCCCTTATCCTTATACTTTTCAAGCAGAACCTTCATCTGTGGATAATTGGTCTTGGTAAATCCACATTCGGAAGCCACATTAACAATTAAGACAACTCGTCCCCTTAAAAATTTTTTAAAAAATTTTAGAAAAATTTCCATACTTGTAAACATCTCCCATCTTAACATCTTTTTCGTCAATATCTTTAGCCACAAAATTATAAATTGTGTTGGTCGCCATTTTTTCAGTATTTGTGCTAGCACAAGAAATTTGATTAAAATTTATATTTTTAAAAGAACTGCGTAATAAAGAAAATATTTGGAAATGATTGCTCAGCAATGTATGAGAAAACATTTTTATATTAATCTATAAAGAGGGGGAAAAGAGGGGAAAAAAGGGAGGAGAGGTTACTTTTCTGCTGATAAAAAAATAAAAATAATGAAAGAGAGAGGGAGTTTGTTAAAATAAGAGAGAACAAAAATATTGAGATGTTTACTTTGGAGGGAGTAAACAACAAACAAAAATATACCCAGAAGATCAACATTAAAGAAAATAAATGATGTAATGTCTAGGTGAGTCATCAAAAAGAAATTTTGATTTTTGGAGGTTTGACATTCTGGGATTTTTTACACCCGATTTTGAAACCTTCCGATCTTTTGGACCAACCCTGTATACTTTGCACTATTACAACTCTGGCAAAAAAAATAAAAATAGATAAAAAAACAGGAAAAACAAAAAGGGAAAAAGTTATTCAGCGAAATAGGCATTTCAGTCTCGCCGTTTCAGTCTGGGACTCTTTTCCAGACTGAACCGTCCTCTTCCGCATTTTGTGGATAGAGGACGGTTCAGTATAAAAAAGGCAGAAAAAGTTACAGTATATTTTTTCTCAAGTTTGGTTTCGGATATCCGAAGAATTTCCAGGAATCTACAACTCTATAAGTAAGGCAAAAGATGTTTTTAGGGGAAATTTTTAAGAAAAAAAGTAGAGTAAAAACTTGTCAATAAAAAATTTAAAATATTACAGAGGTTAGGTTAACCTTCCCCTTGATTTTTAAAATAATCTACACCATGCTCTAAAAAATTTTGTTCAATTCCCCGACTTTTCTCCCCATCTCTTCTTTCCCCCTAAAAATTCATAATTTTTGCCAAATTTAATTTAACATTTTTATTATTCATCATCTCTCATAATTCCATTTACTCTTCATTGGATTAACAAGGTACACACAAGTATGTGCGCAATAAAAAAAACGCCAAAAATCCGAGGCTTTGAAAAACGCCAAAATTTACATTTCCACTCACAAGTCTAATATAAATATTATTACTTTTAATCCATCTGCGCATAAAAAAGAGCTTCCTTCCCCCTTCCCTTTCCCCCCTATCTACCAATTTTTTTTTATTATTTTCCCCACCCCTTTTGACACGTTATTGACGCTAAAAACAAATGAAGAGTGAAGAAGCCTCTCTCTCTCATAAAAGCATATAAATGAAATGCCAACAACGGATTAAAAGCGACAACTTTTTTTAATATAATGTACATGTAAATATATTTTTTTTTAAAACATTTTATCAACTTCTCCCAATGGGGATAAAGGAAAACTTTTTATTATTTTTATTTTTAACATAACGAAGTCTTGGGGAATGAGGAAGTAATGAGGGAAGTCTTAGCGCTGAAGTGTCGAGTGACGCCGGAACTGATTTCTAATTCTGATTTTTTAATTCTGATCTGTTCTGATTCCTAATTCTGATTTTTGTTCTGATTTTAAATTCTGGTTTTTAATTCTGATTCTGTTTTGAATTTGTTCTGGTTTTGCTGATCTGTTCTGGTTTTATTCTGATTCTGTTCTGGTTTTTTAATTCTGTTCTGTTCTGATTTTAACCACACACAAAGCTTATAATGGGCGTTCACAAATCGCTCTCTAATTTGTAAATGTCAAAATATATCCCCCACAAAATAAAAAAAACAACTCATCAAAAATAAAACTGTCACAGGTCTACCCACACACAAAATTTAAAAAAATTCATTAAAAAAATTTTTCATTAATATTATAGTAAACACTTTTCTCTCCTTTCGATTACTAAAATATAATAAAACTTGTTTTTTAAAATAAAACTTTACAACAACACACAATTAATTGACTTTTGTCCATCTTTGGAAATTAAAAAAAAAACAAAGAAAAGAATTTTTACGCTCATTTGGGTTGGCAAAAAAAGCAAAAAAAGTCAATCTCGATAAAGGAACTTTAAATTTATTTTCTAAAATTATTCAAAAAATTCATTAATATTTAACATATTTCAAAAGGTGAACATTTAATAGAGAAATTCTGATTTTTAATTTTAAGTTTGTTCTGGTTTTTAATTTAATTCTGTTCTGGTTTTTTATTTAATTCTGTTTTTTTAATTCTATTCTTTCTGAACTCGTCTTTTTTCAATTCTGATTTTATTCTGGTTTTTAAATTCTGTATTCTGGTTTTCTGACTTCTTAATTTTTGTATGTTCTGATTTTAAATTCTGGTTTTGTTCTGATTTTGAATTCTGGTTTCAATTTGGTTTTTATAGTTCTGAATATTTATTTTATTCTGGTTTAAAATTCTAATTTTATTCTGATTTATAATTCTGATTTTTATTTATTTTTATTCTGATTTAATTTTATCCTTCAAGACTACACCAAAATATGCAAAAAATAAATTCTATCAAAGCCGTTCAAAAATTCCTTTTTTCATTCCTTTATTCCCCCTTCCTCTCTCTCCTTTTTTTCAAAATTCAATTTCCAGTCCTCACCCAAAACTTTATATAAAAATGTTTCTATTTTTGTGAAACCTCATGTGTTTTTTGTAGTTTAAAACTTGCACAAACCAAAAAATTGTTTTTTCTTTTAAAGAAAATTTATTTAAACTTTAGAGAATCACAATTTTTATTTTTTCACTTTCCTTTCTCTCCCATATTCTCTTAATTTTTATTTTCCCAAAAATTCACTTCAAAAACAATTTTTACAGTCTCGAACAACCCCCCCCCCCCAAAACAAATTTACAATACTCCAAGAAGAAATGTCATTTTAGTGTAGTGGGAAAATGCTTGGTTCTGTAAACAGAAAGGGCGAGGGTTCGAATCCCATTTGCGGAAAATAATTTTTATTTAAACAAAAAACTCTAATTTTTAATATAGACTTGTTTTTCTAGCTCTAAAACGTTTTTTAGATTTTTTTTCACAGAAGCAAAAAGTGCTGTGGGATATAAGTCTCCTGTCTCCTTAATTTTTCTAATTTTTAAAAATACCTAATAATTAACAATAAGCCTTAGTTAACATCTTCTTTCTAAATTTAAAAAATCAAAAAAATATTTAAAAAAGAGTAAAAAAATTTTTTTTAAGAAAAAACCAGCTGTGCCAATAAATATACTTAATAATTATTTTGTGACGAAAATTATTTTATTTTACCCCGCGCTTTTTCCGGCCTTTTTTCTCTTTTTTTCTCTTTTGTTTTGTAAAAATAAAAATAAATATTCTATAAAATAAATACTATAATCTCTTTTTTGGACCTTTCAATGAAAATAATACCCCCATTTTTTGGTTAAAAATTGATTAAAAAAATTTTTTTCCTGACTTTATAAGGTCAATAGAATATATGTATATTATACCCCCTCCCCCACACGTCAAAAAAGTTTATCTTGCCCTCTCCCTCTCTTTCGAGGATTAATATAGATCAATCAAATAAAATGCCCCAGACACATGGATTTTCACATCTCCAGTTGCAGACAAAAATTGCGGACGTGAGGGGGTATAAAATGTGATAGTACCAGAAACACTCAATACTGAAAAATTTTCTCTTTCAATTCTGATTCTATTCTGATTTTATTAATTGGTTTAATTTTTTCCCCTAAAGTAGCATCCTTATGTTAGTGAGATTTGACTTATTATAAAAATAAAATTAAAAAAAATTTTTCAAATCAAGCACACATTTGTTCCTCCTTCCCTAACCACATCCTCCTCCCTTTTCTCCCCCCAAAAAAATCAATTTATCATTTCATTATCTTTTCAATTTTTAAAAAAAAGCTTGTCAACACACACACATTTTTACGTTAATAATAATTAACTAGTTTTATGTGAAAAATAAAATTTTTAGAGAAGAAAAATATACGTTTTTCCGGTTAAAATTTAAAAAATAGAGAAGAGAATGAACAGAAAAATTTTAAAAAAATTAAGAGAGAAAAAGTAAAAAAATATTATTAATTATTTTAAAGGATTATAAATGTTTTTTTAATATAAAAAAATTAATTTAAAAGTGATTAATTTAAAAATCCCAAAAATAATCTAAAAATCCCTTCTATTAAAAAATAAAATAAAAAATTCAGGAATCCAAAAATGTCCATATAAGTTTACTTTTTGCTTCTAAGAAAAAAATAATAGAATTTTCATAAGAACGAAAAATTTTCGAAAAATCAACGAAAAAATTTTTTTTCAGATGGGAAAGAATAACAGCAAATTTAATCGGAATAGTAACACAACCGGCGGAAGGACAACAACCACAGAACAATTAACAAATAAAAATTCTTCGAATTGTGGGGGAGGTGTTGAACAAGAAACAGAAAATGTGCCAATAGGGAATGGGTCAAATAATAATTTAAATAATGGAGATAACAATAATAATAAACAAAAACAACAACAAAATGGTGGGGGGAATAATAATAGAAGATTAAAAAAAGAAAAAAGAAAAAAAGCAAATAAAAAATTAACACCCGAAGAATTAAGCGATTTGGAACAAAAAACTTATTTTACAAGAAAAGAATTGAGAAAGTGGTATAAGGTGAAAAATTTTACGAAAAAATTAAAAAATTTTAAAAAATTCGAAAAAAGTTTTTCAAAAAATAAAAAAAAATTTTTGAATTTCAAAAAAATTCGGAAAAATTTTTTTCAAAAAAAATTTTTTTAATTTTTCAGAAAATTCAAAAAAAAAATTTTTGGAAAAAAAATTCTAAATATTTAAAAAAAAATTTTCTTTTTACAAAGGATTTTGTACGTGACTGCCCTACAGGAGAATTAAAGGTAAAAATAAATTTTCTAAAAAATTTTCTAAAATTTTCAAAAAAAAATTATTTATTCAAAGCTTGACGAATTCCAAAATATTTATCGCCAATTTTTCCCAAATGGAGATCCCTCAAAATTTGCAGCCTTTGTTTTTAATGTTTTTGATGATAATAGGGTAAATTTTTTTGAATTTTTTTTTAATTTTTAAAAAATTATAGGATGGACATATTTCATTTAAAGAATTTATTGCAGGTTAGAAAGTCAAGAAAAACGATTAAAAAATTAATTTTTTTTCAAGCACTCTCAATTACTTCGAGGGGGACATTAGATGAAAAATTAGAATGTAAGTAGAAATTTAGAAAAAAATTTTAAAAATTGTTTTGCCAAGTTGCCTTGGCAAAAAAATATTTTTAAAAATTTCTGTGAGAAAAAATATTTTCAAAAAAATATTCTGGTATTTAAATTAGTTGTCTAAGCAACTAATTTAAAAAAGAAATTTAATTTATTTAAAAAATAAAATTTTTTATAGGGGCATTTTCTCTATATGATGTAGACAAGGACGGTTTTATTACAAAGGCAGAAATGGCAGACGTAAGAAAAAAAATTTAAGAAAAAATTTTTTGAGATTGTGAGAAAAGATAATAAAATTATTTTCTGATATTGAAACAAAAATTTTTGAGGGTGAGAAAAAAATAAAAATATTAGAAAAATTCACACCCAAAAAATTAGAAATATTTTCTGACATGAGTGTGGAGAAAAAATTAAAAAATATTTAAGAAAACTTTGCAGATATAAATTTAAAAATCTAAGAAAAAATTTCTTTATTTCCCTCTAGATTGTTGATGCAATTTATAGCATGATAGGGAATATGTTGGAATTACCCAAGGATGAGGATACTCCCCAAAAACGAGTGGAAAAAATATTTGCAAATATGGATTTGGTAAGAAAAAAATTTTAAAATTTTTAAAAAAATTTGAAAATTCCAAAAAAAAATTTTTTTAAGAATTTTGATGGTAAACTCACAAGAGAAGAATTTAAACAAGGCTCCAAAAATGATCCATGGATTGTCCAAGCATTAACCATGGATATGAATAATGGTGAAGAAGTAATAAGCCAAAAAGCATAAAAAATAGAAGAATTCTTTTTTAAAATTATTCCGCCGGTTTGACAAAAATTTTCTTTAAAAAATTATTTTTTAAATTTAAAGTTTGTCCATTTTTGGGAATTTCATTTTAATTGTTTTTTTTGTATATATTTTTCAAGCATTCCATTTTTAGTTATATTTTTCTCGAAATGAAGCTCTGACTCCCTTTTCTCCTAACACTAGGGTTGGCGGTCCTGAGATTTTTTTAAAATATTTTTTGGATATCCGGCCTTCTTTGGATTCGGATTCGCCAACCTCTAATCCTCCTATCTATTGTTTAAAAAATTTTCCTATTTTTCTCTTTTTTCAAGTCAAAAAAAATTTTTTAAATGAGCTTTTATCATTTAAAAAATTTTCTATTGAGAAAACCAGTCATTTTTATTTATATATTTTAAAATCATTTCAATTATAAAACTATAAATTTTTTTATTTAATTTTATACTATTATTTTTTTGAAAAAATTAAAATAAAATCAAAAAACTCATTTTTCTACTAAAATGAGACCAGAAAAATATTTTTTTAAGTAAATATTTAGTCATTTAAATAGGTCACCAAGTACTCGGTTAAAAAATTTTTTTTTCAAATAATTTTTAGGTTCTTTAAAAAATCATAAAAAATATAGAAAAATGAACCAAGTACTTGGAGATAAAATAAATTTTGGGAGAAAACTTTAAAAAATTATTTTTCACATTATTAAAATATTTTCTTTAATTAATTTTTTTATTTATTTTTCAAAATCTTTACCTCTTTTTCTTTTCCTTTTTTGTTGTTTTTTCTCATCATTTTTATTTTCCTCCAACATTTTCTTTTCTTTAAATTGTTTTGAAAGTAATTCAAAGGGAGCAAGTACTCGAGAACGATAAAAATCAAACAAAGTTTGGACTGGCAATAAATGCATTTTTAGAACTTGATGGACTGGATTCTATAAAGAAAAAAGAATTTAAAGAATTTTTTTGATTAAAAACTACTCTTTAAAAATTTTAAATTAAACAAAAAGGTGTTTTTTAACAAGTTTTTTACCACTAATTAAAAGTTTAAATCAAGTTGGAATCGAACCACCACCCTTTGGGTATAAAAGACCGAATCATTAACCACTCGACCATCCCCACTCATAGAAAAATTATTTTTAAAAGGCAATTTAACAGTTTTTTAACACTGAAAAATAGACTCGAACCAACAATCCCACAAAAGAAATTCCAAATCGCTAACCACTCGACCACCTCACACAACACGACAATAAAAAATATAAAACCTTAAATTCCGCTGAAGGCTTTCCTTGTTTCAGTCGATTTCCCAACATTTTAAGTTGTTCACACATTTTATTCAATTTTCCATCCAAAATTTTAGTTAAGGCATCAATACTTCCTCGATCAATTTCTTAAAATTATTTAAATTAATTGTTCATTTTTAAATTTAAAAAACCAGAAAATCCATGAAAGAAAGCACAACAACAAACAGAAAATTGAATTGATTTTTTAATTTCATTGTCATCCAAGGGGGAAGGCAAAGGTTGTAGTGAATTGTTATTACTACTAGAACATTGCTCTTTGCTTCTAAAAATTGTAAAAAATTTAAAATGTCAAAAATTAATGTTTAAAAGCTAAAAATGTCTAATCGATTTATTTGTCAAATAAAATCGATTTTTAAAAGTCTAATTTTTAGAATGAATTTTTGATTTCCCTAGTGGTGTAAGGAAGGAAGATACTTCTGGTTAGCATTTAAAAATTTACCGAGTAGCAGTTTAGAATTAATAAAAGAAAAACTGAAAATAGCACCTGCACATGGTGAGCGATACTAGCAAGGGAGGTCGCAGGATCGACGCCTGTTTTAAGCTAAACCTTTACCTCTCCTTCCTCTAATCTAAATATTAATTTATACCTCGATTCCTCGTCAATAACAGTCGTCTCTGAAAGCTGTCCTTGTACCACCACAGCCTTTTTTGATTGAAAATTTTCCATAAAGCGAAGTTGAATCGCCCAAACTGTGCGTTCATCAATCCCAAGCCTTATAAAAATTTAATTTATAAAAATTTTTTTTAAAAACCTTAAAAGTTGTTCAGGTTTTAATTCATCAACATTCATTTAATAATTTAATTAAAAAATTATTCTTTCAATTGATATATACAATAAAGCTTAAAAAGATTAAAAAATTAATGATAATTGTTGGTGAAGTTGGTAAGTGAAAATGGAAAAAATATTTCACTTTAAAAATTATTTATAAATATAGTAATTGATCCTTATTTGGATAAATTTTGTCTTAAACATTATCTACCTTTAAGATAAAAACATTTTCCACTGATAGGATTCGAACCCGACACCCTTAACTACTGGAAACACAACACTAACCAACTACACCAACCGACACATTAAAGATCGATAAAATATTTAGCTTGATCTTAACTAATAAAAGTTATAAAAAATACAAAAATAATTTTATTTCAATAAAAAAATATTTTAAGCATTTTTTAAAGAAATTGAAATTATAGAAATTTCATCTCGTGGACGTCCACTTTTTTCATGAACAGGAACTTGATTGATTTTCTTTGAAAAAAAAATTTAGAAATTATAATGGAAAAAAGCAAAAAAAAAAGACGGTAAAATGGCCACCTCATAAAGCCGTCAAAATGTTAACAATGAAAATGACAACTAAAATGGCAAACCCACATCCGTTGTTTGAACAACATGTTGACATTTCGTCAGTTTTTGAGAGTTTGGTATTTCAATAGTTTTTGGGGTTGTCATTTATACGTTTTGCCATTATGACCCGCTCCAAAAAATGTTTATAAAAATGAAGAAACCTGTACAACATTAAACCCTTCCAAAACTTGTCCAAAAATTGTATTTTTTCCATCTAACCATTCAGCTGGACAAACTGTTATAAAAAATTGTGAGCCATTAGTATTTGGTCCAGCATTTGCCATTGAAACACGAAATGCTCTGTCATGCCTCAATTGTGGATGAAATTCGTCTTCAAAATCATCACCCCAAATTGAATTTCCTCCTGTGCCTTTTCCTGTTGGATCACCAGTCTTAAAGAAAAGAGAATTTTAATGGAATGACCCACACCGTTACTGTGCTATATATGTAGTTAATAGATAGGATAAGGGTCTTATCAGGGTCCGATTTAAACAATATAATTCGCCTAGGATCTCAAAATCCTGGCTGCCTAATGCGGTTGGTTCGATGTTAAGACGTTTAGGGTCATAACAATGAACACGCTAAAACACCTAGGATTCAACAAATTTCTAAACATTCTTAGGCGAAGGGGTGCTCTTTGAAAGATCGGCCAATCCCAACCAAAAAAATTAAAAAAAACCTGAATCATAAAATTTTTTATAACTCGATGAAACGAATGTCCATTATAATAACCACGTCTCGCATGCGTACAAAAATTCTCGACAGTTTTGGGTACTTTGTCTGGATACAATTCTATAACAATATCCCCATATGTGGTGAAAATAACAGCTCTTTAAAATAAAAAATTATTTTTAAAAATTTTGTAAAAAAACTGTGTGCTCAATTTTGATTGTTGCATAGCATTTTCATATTCAACAGCAGTTATCATATCTTCTTTCAAAGGTTTTTCATTAAATACATCTCTGTTATAACTTGTAGAACCATCAATTTCTTCTGCATAAGGCTCTACATTTGTGAATAAATAAAAACGATTTTTTCTGTAAGCGGTGGCGACCTTTTTGAAGAAAATTATTTTAGAAAAAAAATTTTTTTATACCAGCATTGGATCAGGTTCTGATATCCTCAAATTTGGATTTTCGGCTGCTTCAACACGCACACTTGTTGCTGCGCCTTGTAATTTTTCCTTTAAAAATTTAAAATTTTTAAGAATAATTATTAAATCAAACCGTAACACTTGGAACTGCTCGACACAATGCAATGCCTTAAATAAGTTTTTGAAAAATTTTTCATTTATTCAAAAATTTTCCACAAAATGTTTTAAAAAATTTACATAACGACAGCAAAATAATAACCACCGATCGGATTCGAACCCACAACCATGAATAATGGAAAACTAAAAACTATCCAACTTAACCAAAAGAACAAAAAGATTTTCTCAATTTTTAGAAAAAATTTTCAAAAAATTTTTCTAAAAAAATCCTCTCATGAATGTTAATTTACAACAAACAAACAAACCAAATAATCTCAAATTTTCACTCGTCCCAATTTGTCTAACCAATTGTTTTGTGACCAAATTATAAACAGAAATTCCTAACGGAGTTGGATAAATAATAAAGTTGCTAGAATCATCAAAAATTAATTTTATGTAGCGAAACACGGAAGAATCCCTTGTCGCCATTTCCTTTTCTAAAGCAACTCTACGAGTCCATTCCATTGGTGGAAGTCCATTTCCTCTATTTTTAAAATAAATTTTATTCAGTTCCAGAATTTCAAAGTGGGTCATTGGTGAACATATAAAATAATGGCCATCAATCGGATTCGAACCCACACCCAATAAATAATGAAAACTGAAAACTATGCAACTTAACCAAAAGGACACAAATGGCCATTTCAGTGTGCGAATTCAATGAGAGGCATTTAAATGCGGTTCTCATACATATATTGTTATTTAATTTTTCATTTTAAAAATAATAAAAATCATTAAAAATTTCAAACTTTGTTTCATTTCCCATTTGAATATATTTTTCAATCGTTTCATCCAATTTTAAAATTATTTTGCCACTTAATAAATTAAAAATATAAATAAAACAATTGCTAGCAAAAATGGCAAATATTCTTCCATTTGGACTTATTGACATTGAACGTGGAATTTGTTTTATCTAAATTTGAAAAAAATATAAACTGAAATTCCCAAAGGAGTTGGCTAAAAATAAGACCACGAACGTTATGATAAAATAATGAACACCGACCGTATTCGAACCCACAAGATGAATAACGGAAAACTGCAAACTACCCAACCTAAACAAAAGGACATAAAATGGGCAAAACATTTAATAAAATAACGATATAAAAGAGTTGAAGAAACTTATTTTTAAAAATTTTTACCTTACAAAATTCATACAAATCTGTATCCATTTTATATTTGAAATCAACAGAAGTAGGAAATTCATAATTTGATTTTGTTCCAGACCAATATTCAATCTAACAAAATTTTTTAATTTAATAAAAGAATAAAATTAATACCATTCCCATGTCATCTATAGAAATTGTAACATCGGGAATTGCTGCATACTTAAAAATTGAAAGTTATTTGAGAAAATAAAAAGTTAACACTAAAGAACGTTAAAATAAAAATATGACTAGTGAACGGGTTCGAACCTCAACTAGTATAAAAATGGAAAACTTCCAAACTACACCCACTTTACCAAAAAACTACAAGCTATCCAACTTAACCAAAATGCGATAAAAATCAAGCTATTTAATTTCTCGAATAAAATAAATCCCTCGAGCGGATTCGAACCTACAACCATAAAAACGGAAAACTACAACTACCCAACTTAACCAAAATGCCATAAAATGGCCAAACATTTAAACAAAAACCTGCATTAAAATAACAGGCCGTTGGTGTAGCTTATCAAGCAGATAAATTGGTTCATTATTCCCATTGGAGTCAACAATAATTATATTACCAGAACGGGCATCAGAAACAGCTAGAGCATTGACAAGATCAGAACCTAAAAAAAATTTTTTTTAATTAGAAAATTAAAAAGAAACCTTGATGAACAAAACAAACAATTCTTGGATTAAATTCAAATTTAAACATATTCTAAAATATAAATTAAATTTTAGAAAAAATTCTTTTACTTACAATCATATCAAAATTAACGACATCAAAAACTTTGACAGAACGATCTTGTGTGCAACATGTAGCAATTAAAGAACCATTATGGTTGACAGTTATATCAGAAAATTCTTCTAAAATGTTTATATTTTTTATAGGGAAACTAAAAACTATCCAACTTAACCAGACATTAAATGGGCAATTATTGTTTAGTGTCAAATAAAATAAAAATCTCGACCGGGTTCGAACCCACAACCGAAATGGAAAACTACCCAACTTAACCAAATGACAAAAAGCTTCCAAATGGCTCGAAATAAAAAACAGAGGACAAAATACGAGAATTTTGAAAATAAAAAAGGGACTCGTAAGCGACATTACCACCCAATTAAACTTAAGTTTAAAACCCTGGATTTCCCAGAGGAATTCCTAAACTAATATAAAAAATAAAAAATATACTTAAATGACATCGAAAATGTTTAACAAATTCAATTCCTTCATTGTGCTTTTTCTTCCAAAATTTCAAGTGTCCATCTTGACTTGCCGTTACTATAAAATCTTTTCTAAAAAATATCAAAAATAATTTTTTAAATTATAAATTAAACTCTGTTGCCAAAACGTGTGTAATCGTATCTCTGTGCATAAATGATTTTTCATATTGCGAAGCCTTTGGAATTGCACGTAGATAAACTTGTTCATATTTTAAGGCTTAAAAATGTTAAATTTTTATTAATTTTTTGAATAATCATTAGAGAAATAGGTCAAAAAATGTACATGTAAAAATTCGTAAATTCTTAAACACTGTGGATAAAACTTAGATTATTGGAGCGCTTGCTCATTTTCGCCCGCCATATTTTCTGGCCAAAGGGTTCTAATTTACAAAATTCAAAAAAAAACAAACTTGGATCGTTCCTCAATTTCTTAGGTTCTGGGGAAATTGCATCCTCTTTTCTTGATATTTTATGTATTGAAAATGAGGTTAAATCAGCTCCATCACCAGCATCATGAATAGAACATTGGGGCACTTCTGTTTCCTCCGAATTGTTTTCGACAATATTTGACATGTTTTAGCCTATCTAAATAGAAAAAAATGTGAAGAAACAAAAAAATCAATAGGCACCAACATTCAAAGAAATCAAATTGTTTTACATCAATTAAAAAACAAAAATAAATGAAAACATATTTTTATCTAGAGGTATCGCGAATTACACAATTAAAAATCTAAAATAATATTTTTATTTCCCAATTCTTTGTAGTCTTCTTCCTTTAATTTTGATGCAGTGTATTTAAACTTGAAGTCGTAGCAAAATATAGCACCATCATGCTTATACTCGAATATTTTCATGCAACCCCAACTTCCTCTATTCAAAATCACCTTTTCCGTTTTATAATTCCCCAGTTTTTGTTCGACTTCATTTGGATCAATTTGTTCAACTATTTGAATAAATTCCTCCACTTCCTCAATACAAAAGGATATTTCATCGAAGTCTGCTATATGTTTACTGAAAAATATTCTCAATATAATAAAAATTATCAAAAATTACGATTTTGCTTTAAAAAGGAGATATTCATCCAACAACCCTCCAGAACATTCAATTAAGATTTTACTAAGCACAATGATGGCACATTGTGATTTCACATCAATAAAAAAATTTTTTGCAAAGTATCTTTTAACGCAACATGCGAATCCACCCCACAGCTTAAAAAATTCACATCTAAATTGGAAATAATATAAAAACCTTTTCGATGCATTGATTTATTTCCAAATTCGCCTTACATTCACGAGCCTTTTTCATCAAGTCCATAGGCAAATATTTCACCTATTTTGAAAACAAATTAATACAAATAAGAAAGGAATAAAATAACTTTTTCAAATCCATTCTCAGTATATTCATAAAACACAAAATGCTGATTCAATAGTTCAAAATAAAAATCAGCATCATAAGCAGACTTTCTCTTTATTTTATCCAACACAGAAGGGTTTTGAGAAGCAAGAAAATCACGGAAATTTTTTAATTTCCTTTCAATATTAAGCGATCTTTCAAGAGAAACCTATAAATAATAAAATAGAAGCAGGAAAATTATAAAAAAACCTCAAACGTTTTTATTATATGATCAAATTCCTCAGCCTTCTTTTCTACTTCAGAAAACTTTTTTTCTTCAGCAAAAATTTTGGCAAGCAAATCTTTTAATTCAATATTTTTCAACTCCTCCTTTTTTAATTGAATATATTCCGATTCGTCAATAGAAACTCTGCTTGATGGCGTCTAAATTAAATTTATACAAAATATAGCAAAAGCAGAAAATAATAAACCGAAGCATTAGACGAATTTGAAGCTGAGAATGGCGAGGATGAATTGGATTGGCTGACTGAATTCTTCTTTCCTTTCTCATTTTGAAACTAAATTTTAAAGATTAGCATAAAGACATAAATAAAAAGATTTTCCTCGACATTGACAGTAAAAGTCGTTTGGTGGAATAGGCCCCAGGGAGTCGGTTTCCGGAGGGGGTAAATACGCTTACATATTAAGAGAAAAATAAAAAGGCAAAAAACCTTGTTATTTGAATCCAACGCTATAGTAGGCTTTGATTGTTTTTGAGAAAGTTTGTCCTTGTTTGAATCAACAACTTTTTCCTAGAAATTTAATGATTTTGCAAATATTATTTTTTAATGAAACCTGCACATTCTGCCTATCACCATAAACATTTGTGATCTAAATTGAGATAAACAAAAAAGATACAGACAAAATGGAAAATAATGCAAACCTTAGAAGAAACAATTTTCAGCAAATGCTGCAAATTTGAAGGTCTAGATGAATTGCCTTGTCCATCAAAATTTTCTTTTCCCTCAGCCTAAAATATTAGCATAAATAAATGTTAGAAATTCCAAGCTTCGTGCCACCCCCCATTTTTCATTTAATATATACATAAATAATGATCTGTTTTCTTCTTTCTCTTTTTTCACTTTATTCCCTTGTAACAAATTCAACTAGGGACATTGATAGAGTAATTAATTTTATGGTCGTTTAATTTTTGTTTCAGGAAAACATATCAAGGAATTTCTGTTTAAATGCAAATAAAGAGGAAGGAGAAAACTGATCATTATGTATATTATTAAGGAAAGAAAAGACGGAAAAGTATGGGGTTTGGTAGGCAAATGAAACTAAAAAATGTAGAAAAACCTTATCAGAAGAAAAATTTTTTGCATCTGGAAGTGACTGTGATTCTTTTGCCCTCGAGTCATCAGTTTTGTTTGTCACGTTCTGTTGAGACTTTGTACCCTAGAAATTTAAATTGATTTTTATTTTAAATTATGAAATTACTTGAGCATTTTCTTTGTTATCTCCGGTCTGTGGTTGAAGAAAATTCCTCCCTCTTTTCGGTTTGCCTCCCATTTTTTGAAAATTTTTTTTTAAAAATTGCAATATCAAAGGATCTAAAATAAAAATAATTGCTAGTTACAATTATGCACGGCGGAGAGGGCATCTTATATTGTTGCGTTGTGACGAGAGAGGAAATGGATGTAAAGGAAGGATCTGGACTACATCGTGCCAGAATAGGGAGTTTATTCGATTGGTCACCGACCCAATCATTACAGTCTTAAGTTTCAAGCGACCTGTAAAAAAGGACCTTTGCGACAAAGTGGTCCCGACAAAGTGACCCGCGACAACGTGTCCGTTTTTAGCTTGAATAGAAAAAATTTGAAAAAAAAAATCAATAGGCACCAATATTCAAAAAAATCAAATTGTTTGAATCAATTAAAATACGAAAATAAATGAAAACATATTTTTAAAAGAGGTATTGCGAATTATACAATTAAAAATCTATTAGAAAAAAACCTAATTTATGTCAACAAAAAATTAAATAATATTTCTATTTTCCAATTCTTTATAGTCTTCTTTATCCAACTCTGATGCTGCATATTCAAACTGGAAGTCGTAGGAAAATATAGTTCCAGAATGCTTATACTTGAATATTTTCATCCAACCCCATTTTCTTCTACTTAAAAACACCTTTTCTTCTACTTTGTAATTCCCCAGTTTTTGTTCGACTGCATTTGGATCAATTTTTTCAACTATACGAATAAATTCCTCCACTTTCCCAATACAAAAATATAAATAATCTAACTCCGATGTTTCGTAGTAGGACGTGTGGTTACTGAAAAATATTCTCAATATTTTTAATAATAAAAATTATTAAAAATTACGAATTTGCCATAGAGAGGAGACGTTCATTCAACAACCCACGAGAACATTCCATTAATATTTTACAAAGCACACTTACTGTACTGTGTGATTTTACATCAATAAAGAACTTTTCAGCATAATATCTTTTCACACAACATGCGTATCCACCCCACAACTTAAAAAATTCAGTATATAAATTGAAAATAATATAAAAACTTTTTCGCAGCCTTGATTTATTTCCAACTTAGCCGCATATTCACGAGCCTTTTTCATTAAGTCCATAGGCAAATATTTCACCTATTTTGAAAGCAAATTAATACAAATAAGAAAGGAATAAAATAACCTTCTCAAATCCATTCTTGGTATATTCATAAAGCACAAAGTGTTGGCTCAATAGTTCAAAATAACGAAGAGCATTATAACCAGATTTTCTTTTGATTTCATCCAACACGGAAGGGTTTTGAGAAGCAAGAAAAGCACGGAATTTTTCCAATTTGCTTCCAATATTAAACTTTCTGTCGAGCATAGCCTATAAATTAAAAAACATTAGAAGCAGGAAAATTAAAAAAAAACCTCGAAAGCTTTTTTCATATAATCAAATTCCTCAGCCTTCTTTTCTAGACCAGGAAACTTTTTATCTTCATCAAAAATTTTAGCAAGCAAATCTTTTAATTCAATATTTTCCTTCGCCTTCTTTTTTAATTCAATATATTCAGATTCGTCAATAACTTTGCTTGATGGCGTCTAAATTAAATTTATACAAAATATAGCAAAAGCAGAAAATAATAAACCGAAGCATTAGACGAATGTAAATTTGAAGATGGCGAGGATGAATTGGATTGGCTGACTGAATTCTTCTTTCCTTTCTCGTTTTGAAACTAAATTTTAAAGATTAGATAAAGAAATTAAAAGATGGTTAAATAAACCAAAGGGATGCTTAAATCAGTTAGGCAAAAAACCTTGTTAGAGGAGTCCAACGGCATAGTAGGCTTTGATTGTTTTTGAGAAAGTTTGTACTTGTTTGAATCAATAGCTTTTGCCTGAAATTTAATGATTTTACAAATATTATTTTTCAAGGAAACCTGCACATTCTGCCTATCACCATGAACATTTGTGGTCTAAATTGAAATAAACAAAAGATACAGACAAAATAGAAAATAATGCAAACCTCAACAATTTTATGCAAATGCTGCACATTTGAAGGTCTATATGAATTGCCTTGTCCATCAAAATTTTCTTTTCCCTCAGCCTAAAATATTAGCATAAATGTTTAGATAATCAAAAGATTTTTGTTCAAATGAAACAAAAAAATGTACAAAACCTTATCAGAAGAAACTTTTTTCGCAGCTCGAAATGACTGCCACGCCCTTGCATTGGAATCAGCAATCTTGTTTGTCATATTTTGCAAAGACTCAACACTCTAGAAATGTAAAATTGCTTTTGTTTAAAATTATTGAAACACAAATAACATGCAAAAACCTTATCAGAAGAAACATTTTTTGTATCTGGGAGTGACTGAGAAACTTTAGGTTTCGAGTCATTATTTTTGTTTGACACATTCTGTTGAGACTTTGTACCCTAAAAATTTAAAATCGCTTTTTATTTTAAATTATAAAATTACTTGAACTTTTCCACTGTCAGGTTTTCTTTCCATTTAAATCTTTTTTGAAAATTTTTTAAAATTGTAATTATCAAAGGATCTAAAATAAAAATAATTGTTAGTTACATAAATAAAAATGAAGAAAATATCAAGTTTAAGAAACAATAAAAAAAACGCAAAATGAATTATGGAAAAATTTGCTCACAAAAAAAACGAATCATATAACTTTTAATATTTTTATATAGGGAACAGAAAAAGTGATGTTCTAACAAAATTCGACTGTACTTTAAAAACAACAAAAACAAAAATATATGTATTTCAAAATAATTCTATTTTTCTCCTCGTCTTTCTCCAATTGGAATCATATTAGCACCGGTTCCAGCCTTTCTTTTACTTTTAAATTTATTTGTAATTTGATTTGAACGGAAATTTTGTTGTTCAAAAATTGGTTTGAACATTTTTGGTCTATTTTGTTGTAAAATTCTTTGAGGAGAAGTTTTCAATAATTTATTTTCTTTTAATAATTCAACATTAGTTGTTGCTTCTTCTTTAATTTTTCTTCCAATTTTTATTGCTTCAGAAAACATTTTCATATAAAATTCAATTGAACTTATTGAATCATCATTTCCAGGAATTGGATAACTTATGTAACTTGGGTCTGAAAAAAATTTTTTTTTATTTTGATTCTGATAAAATTAAAATCATTTCCCACCAAAAGGATTCGAACCCGAGACCCCCTACATTCACAAACGAAACTCAAACCCACTACACCACAAAACACAAATATGAGATTCATGCACTAAATAAACCCCATTCTTAATCACTTATAAAAGAAACCAACACTTAAAAAATTTAAAAAAAAATACCACAATTAGAATCAACAACAGCAACAGTTGGAATACACAATTTTGCTGCCTCAATTATTGCTGGATGTCTTTCCATTGCAGAAGTATGTGTATTCAAAAAAATCATTGCATCTGGAAATCTAACTGGACCACCAACATGATCCTTTCTGTTTGTAAAAATATCTTGCCGCCAAAGGCGAGTATGGGAGAAATGTCCTAATTCTGCTGCTGTTTCTTCTACTAATAACATTGATGCTCTTAAATTTTAAAAAATTTTTTCAATTCTAAAAAAATCCGCAAATAAAATTTGCGGACAAATCTTGCGGACTTTTGACATAAAAAACAGGAATGTTACGATGTCACGCGGTACCCTATACTCTAACTTTTTCGACCCAGAATCCGATCCGTTAAACTTTCTAAAAACCTTTTCCCGCTTAATTCCCGTACAAGCCCGCTCCAAAACTCGACACAATTTTTTCTCACCCCGTTAAATTCCTGACACAGAATAAAAAAATACAAAACTAACTTGTTCGTCGTCAAAAATAAAATTTTTCCATCACAATAAGACAATGCAGAAATAAAATTTAAAGCCCTAACCATATATCTTTGAGTAATTTCCAAATCAAAAATACAAACACCGAGGCGTTCTTTAAAAAAACTTTTTTTTTAAATTAAAAAAAGAAAAACCTCCAAATAATGCCCATTTCATATTATCATTTAAAGTCCCAATCTAATAAATTTAAAATAAAAATAATTAAAAAAGGAAGGAAAAACCTTATGACCAAAATGAACTCTTGCATTCATAAGTTTTTCAATTGTAACAATATCCATAAAATTGTGCGGATTATCATGTTGCAATATTGGAACAGGATCAATGTATGGCCTAGAAATCTAATTTTGGTTGTCAAACAATTAATGCTAAAAAGCCGAATAGTTTTAGAATAAAGTCAAAAGTTAATGTTTTCTCCATTTCACATGCATGGAAAACGGGCACCGGTAAAACTATCAGATCTATAAAACCCTTCAGGTATCCGAATCTGAACTAAAGAATAAACCCAAAAAGCCCAGAACCTCCAACCAAACTCAAACCTCCCCCTTTATTCAAAAACATGCATGACAAAAGATAATACAAGTAGAGGATAGTCGGTTCAACAAAAATCTTCAAGTACCCGAACCTTAACCAAAGAACAACCCTTACAATCATCGGCTCTCGCCTTTAAACCCCAACACTTATCGTCGTTTAAAAAACAAAATATCACAAAGAAAACCTTAAAAGTTGAGGCCTAACTCTAGCAGAAAGCAATAATTCAGTATTTGGTTCATCTTCTTTAGTATCAAGTGATTCAATTTTGGGTTTATAAAAAGCTGGAGGTTCAAATGCTTTTGGAATATTTTCTGCAGAAATAAATTGACGAAGACCTCGCTGTTGAATTTTTGCAGGAGACAAATAAATAAAATTTTTAAATAAATTAAACTTCATCTAAAAAATTTTTTTTCTTAATTAACGTTAAAATAATTTTAAAAAATAAAATATTAGATTGCAAATATATTCACAAATATTTCACAAAATAATTTTCAAAAAAAAAATAAAATTTATAGTATAAGTAGATTTTTAAAAAAATAAATTTTTTAAGCCGTTAAAACTTAAAAGCAAAAAATGCGATTTAAAAAAAGGAATGGCTTAATAAAAAATAAAATCGCTTATTTTTAATGATCGGATTTGAACTAAAAATTCGTCAAAAAAAACAAAAAAAAATTCAAAAAAAAATTTTTTTAAATAAATCCGATCCTTATTTAATTTTACAAATTTTAGAGTTTCATAAAATTAAAAAAATAAATATATAAGCCTAAATATTGCTTAAAAAATAATTTAAATATATTTAATAAACTAAAAAGGGTGTCACAACGTTTAATCTCTCGTGAAACCGACAACCCTATTCTCAAAAAATATTCATCATCTTTTTTTAAAAAAAACCTCCTTCCAACATCTAAATTCATAATATTCCTAGTTTTATCAAGCAGTAAAACGATGCGAAAGAATTGTTGTCCCATTACCCCAATAGGCCAACTGAAAGAAGAAAATCTTTTCATTTTAATATTTAAAAAACCAACCAAATGAGTAACACCACGATAATCAACAATTTTAATTGGAGTACCACCGTGAGCCGACGGCAAAGGTAATTCACGTTCGGGAACATTATCGCGATAAAACTTTCTTAAAAATTCAAAAAAAATTTTTTTAAGTAAAACTTTTAGAAAAAACCTAAAAGCATTAAAATTGTTCTTTCCTCTCTTTGCCAATTCGTGTGCTTGATATACTGGCGCAGTTAAAGACGTCGCAATGTTTACAATCTAAAAAAGACAATTTTCAAATTATTTAAAAATATAAAAAAACCTGATGGGAATAACTTAATGACATTAGAAATGCTTGAAGTTCGTCCATAGTTATACCAACTCCGTTTTCTAAAACTGCATATTCTATAGCTTTTCCAGTACCCTAAAAATTAAAAAATTGTATCTAAATTGGACATCAAAAAATTAAAAAAACAACCTTTAGTGGTACATGAGGTTGCATATAAAATTCAGTCAAATCAGCCCGCACAATTTGTTGATCAATAACCGAACCTGGTGGAAGGTTAGCGCTGTCAGTTAGCCTAGGTCCGTTCTCGATAAAGAATTTTTTGAAATGACGCTATAAATGAAATTTTTTTTTTAATTTAAAATTAAAAAATCAACCTTAGTTCCGACAATAAGTAAAAAACGTGGACGATAAGAAGGATCATATTCTTTACATCCAATACGAATAGCTTCCAATTCTTCTTTACAAGCCATAGCAAATTGCCCTTCAGAAAGCCCATCACGTATAATAAAAATAAAAGGTGGACGACGATGTTCAGATCGTCGTTGCTCTAAATTACGCAAAATCCAAGAAACTCGATCAGCTAATTGACGCATGTCTAATGCTTCACGACGTGATTCTGTGAAAAAAATTTTCTGGATTATTTCTAAAATAAAATTTTTTTCCACCCTGATAGAAATAATCGCCAACAAAAGCGTGTGGATTGTCTGCCATATTTGCACAAATCTTTTAAAATATAAAAAATAAAATAAAAAATTTCATTTAAATTACCCCAACAACAGAAGGCTCCAACGAACTTAAACTATTCTCCCCTTGAGCCGTCAGTCGTCTCTTGTCTGCTGCTCTCATTGGTGAAGGATGAGCAACATCATAACCAATCGAAAATTTTGAAAAAAAAAAAAACAAAAATAAAATTTTCAAACAAATTTCTTACCACCAAAACTTTTCCAGTTTCAAGAGCAAAACGTTTACCAATATCTTCAATTTGTGGTTGATAATTTAAGCCAAAATTCTTCATATTCATTTTATTTAAAACATTTTCGAGTGTCTGACGTTGATTTTTATTGACAATATCCTAAATTTAATTCATGATAAATTTATAAAAAAATATAAAAAATACCCGAGCTTTCTCAAGCGTAACATGTTGTGTTACAATTGGTTTATACATTGCCTCGTATAATCTTAAAAAAAATTTTAAAAATTTATTTTTAAAAATTTTAAAACTTACTTCAACAATCCATGAGTGTCATTGCGTTTCATATCTATCAACATAATAAACTGAATCCGATTACTAGCACATTTTTCGAATTTACTCGACCAGTCACGATCATTATTCTTAAAAATTTAACAATTTTGGCTAGTTGGATATTTTTTGATACACGGTAAACATGGGTTCGAGTCCGGTCGCGGAAATAATTTTTATTTTTGTCGCAAAATATTTAAAATGCTCGACTAGTCATGATTATCGTTCAAAAATTGTTAAACGATTTTGGTTTAGTCGGATAATTCTGAGTTTTTATTCCTTGGACCCAGGTTCGAACCCGGTTGGGGAAATAATTTTTTTATTTTGACGCAGAATAATCGCATCGAAAAAATTAAAAATTTATAAAAATCTCAAAAAAATTTTCCAAACCTCCGAACAACTGAAAGGAACGATTTCAGGTTCTGCTAATTGCATTCCCTTTTGTCTCCCCATATCTAACAACATTCTAGCAAAACGATCAGCAAGTTCACCATCTCGATTAGAACACAAAATAATCCAATTGTGTAATTGCCCCATAGCCTGTAAATATGGAAGACGGCTTCCATCTCTACGCCATTCAGCTTTTTGACTATCGGGCTCAACAACACGATTTTTGAAACGTAAACGAGGCAAAGAACGAACACCAATAACAATCTTTAAAAAAATTTTTTTAAATAAAAATAACAAAAAAACCCGATTCGATTTTTGATCAATTGAGATACCAAAAGCATTTAATACAGGATTTCTATCGTGAAATAAGCCAAGATCCATTCCTAATCTAAAAAATTTTTTTTCAGATTAAAAAATTTTTTTCAATAAAAATACTTATTAATAGCGTCCATTCGTTGACCAGGAAGCATAGAATTAGCCTATGAAGGAATTTTGAAAAAATTTTTTGTTAAAAAATCTTACAACAAGCAATTGTCCCATCAACTCAGATGAAGTTTTTTGAAGAGGAACACGCTGATCCTCCTTTATGAAAAAAATTTTTTACAGACCAAAAATTTTTTACAAACCATAACATTTAAGACTTCCAAAGGAAAAACTTCAGGCTTCTTTCCTGGCGGTAAATAAGAGTTCTAAAAATATTCAAAAAAAATTTAAGAAAAGTTTAAAAGAGAAAACCGATTTAATACAAGGCAAGTCAAGATACTCCAATTTAATATTATATTTCCAAAGAAAATATTCTGCCAAAGACATTCTTTTAGTTCCTGCACCATTAGGCAAGTCAACATCAATACTTAAAAAAATTTTTTTAAGTTAATTTTTGGCTATATCTACATAATTTCAAGCCCCCTGGGGAACTTAGGACCTACAGAACTTAAGTTATTTGGGGGTTAATATGAGGAAATAGAGATGGATGGGAAGGGTCGTACGAGAAGATCGCGAAAAATATGACCGAGAACTTATTGTTTACAAGATTATAATCGAGAGTAAAGTCTTTGAAATGAGGACATGCCATTTTTTAGTCCTTTCTGATTTGGTAAATCCTAAAGGAAAACTAAAAATAAATTGTGAAGACTGGCAAAAATGACAGAAATTGACACTCCAATCTTCACAGTGCCTTATCCACTTGCTGACAAAAAAAACCCAGTTCTTAACCAAATTACAAAGATAATTTAAAAAAACCAACTATAAATCTCTCAAAGGTTTTTCAGTAAATTTGCCCAATTGAAAAGTTCTTGTACGTCTATAAACAACTTCAACACGCAAATCTTCTAATAAACGTTCAACTTCTTGCCAAACTTTTGGTGGATGATCTGAAAGACGTGTTTGACGACCATTTGATCTTGGTAGCATGTCCAAAACAGTCAAATGCAAAGCTTGTGGTTCAAAAAACAAAGCAACTTTTGCTAGAAATTTTTTTAAAATTATTTTTCAAAGAATTTTCAAAAGAATTTTTCAAGATGTATGGGGAAAGAAAATTCGTATTTGGATATTGAGAGGCAGAAAACAGTAAAAAACGCAGAAACCGCTGCCCACTTAATCCAATTTTTTAAATCACATAAGCGTGATCCCAAGAAATTAAACTCACAAAAAACAAATATAGGAACGAATTAACAATTTCCACATTTAAATATTAAAAAATAAAAATATAAACCATCCAAGACAACAGCAGCTCTCGGTCCTTTGTTGTTATTTCCTCCTCCATTTTTCCCATTAGTAAATGGGTTATCGTTCTTAATAACTTTAACACCCTTTGAAAGTCCTTTACGCAAATACATTCCATTACCAACACGCTTAGGATTTTGACTTGGATCAAAGTACTCGAAAAGTTTTCCAGCTCCAATTGATACAAATAATTCGCTAAAATATTAAAAATTTTATAAAATATGACTAGTCGTTTTTTTGGAAAATCGGAAACAGAAAAAAGGCAGTGATTCTTCGTGGACTAAAAACTCTGTCCACTTAGAGGATTCAAAACTCTGTCCACTTTTTGACTAAAGATGGTCAATTCAAGACCCGATCCACTTCTTGATAGATGATCCGGTCCATTCAAGACCCGGACCACATCTCTAAAATTAAAAAAGGAACAAACTTGTTTAATGCAAATTGCGATATAGCAATTTCAAAGAATGTTCTAAGGGAATGATCTTCATTGAATACGCTTGTTCCATTCATATATTGAGTAAAATCGTTCAAATCCAATTCCGGCACAGACGAATTTCTTTTAATATGAACAAGAAAACGAACATTTTGTCCATCACCACAATAAGCACGAACATAATCATTAACCTGGTGATTTTCTAGAATAAATTGATGACCTCCCTGTACATCAAATGGTTGTATAGGCATGGAAGTGAACTAGAAAATTGAAAAAATAAACAAAAATGGAGATTCGAAGCAATTATTTTCTAAAGTTATCGGGCAGGAATCGAAATTGAGAACTTCGGGGAGGTGCCTCCTAGTCAGAGTTACCGACTGGTGTGAGTGGAATCTGACTGAAGCACAATGGCTTAACCAGAGTCAGATTTCAAGGCGGGATCCAACCATCTTAATCCCTTGTGGAGCGTATCTTATTCCTAAACTCCCGTACAAATGTTAGCAAGCTGGTGGATCATACTTTCTGTGTAATTTGAAGAAACGAGGATAATAACTAAAAAGAAACAAGGCGGAAGGCCTATCTTTGTAGGCGTCCTTTAAATCTTTTTAATATAAAAAATTAATAACCATAACAGCTTTGCAATCATAAACAATCTCATGACCAACAGGCATTCCAAATCGATTGTTAGTTGTAAATGCCAATGTAATTAGTTCGAAGCACAGATTGCGATTTAGAGCACGCTGTCCACTACAAAAATACATTCTTTCAAATTCATTAAAACAAAAACTAACTCATCAGCTCCTCTTACAAGACTTTTGCCCTCATCCATAGCTCCATTACGTTTAGGCATAGGAAGTCGACTTATGTCAACATCATAGCGAAAAGCTCTTCGACCAGGCTCCACTTTAAGTGTATAAATGGAGCATATGCCCTGACACTTTTGGACGAAACCAGTTGCTGGTAGCATTGGCGGAGGACAGGACAACTATCAAAATTTAATCATTAAAATGTTTAAGAACAAAAAACCTCATCCACACGCTTCTGAGATGGCATCAACTCTTTCTGTTGCTGTTGAACTGGAGGAGCCATCATATGTGCGGGGAGCGATTGCTGCTCAGGCTGTGAAGAGGTGGATGAACTGCTTCTAGCCGGTTCTTCGCGATATCCCTAAAAAAGAATCTTTAGAAATTATCTAAATAAATTGATCAATAATCCTCTGGTTTACAATTCACTAAAAATTGGGGGTAATCTTCAGGGAAGTCTGAAAGCTAAAAAAATCAAAATAAAGGAACAAACCTTTGCAAAACTAAAAGTAAACCAAAAGATTGCCGTTCAATTAAATTACTTGTGAGAATCCTTGTGGTCCACGAGAACTACCACCTCCTCTATCCTGCCCTCCTCGAGGTTGGTAGCCTCCTCCACCGCCTCGAGATTGATAACCCCCTCCTCCACCTCCACGATGCCCACCACCGCCTCCGCCACCGCGATATCCACCACTACTTCCTTCATCACGTCGTCCGCCACCTCCACCGCCTCTTTGACCTCCACCACCACCTCCCCCTCGTGATCCACCACCACCTCCATAACCACGTTGGCCTCCTCCGCTTCTACCATCGCTTCGTTGCATTTTAGAATAACAAGATAATATATAAATGAATAAGCAAGCTAAAAATGAAAAAATAAAAATGGTACAATTTTGTTTAAAAATATTCTTTCGGGAGTATGACTAATAGAAAAAATCAATAAGAAAAGGTCAAATTTCAATGAAAATAAATTTTAAGACAAAATCAAAAAAATATTTAAATTGGATTTTAAAAAACCAACAAAAAAAGAAAAAATTTAAATGTCGTTCATTAATTTATCACAACAAAAAAAGGCAATAATAGGCAAAATGGTAATAGTAACGTTTACGGGCCCCCTTTTTCCTTCCAAGTTAATATGTCAAAATGGTCAGACTTTTTCCTTTCTTCCATCCCAAAATTTTGCTTTTCTATATTTTGCCAAAACTTAGGGGAAGGAAAAAAAGGTGGTCAGTAAACGATACTATTCCCGGCAAATATACACTGCTCCACATAATTATAAGTCCACCCCTTTTTTCGGGATTTTTTGACTCACAGTGATCCAAATTTTCTGGAAATTTAGAAACACACCTTTTAGTGAATAACTAACAAGGTGTGATTCGATTTTTGGCTGAATTTTTTTTAAAAAATTTTTAGACCAAAATTTGCGTTTTCGGCCTCCACAAAATTATAAGTCCACTTTTCAAAAAAGATATTTCCAAGTATAGGAAAAATCTACAAAAATTCTAGCAACAATACATAATGATATTATGAATAAATAAAAAAAAATTAGACCCGTATCTTTACCCGGAGCTGAGATCCTGAGACCTCGAAAATCAACGTAAAACGGGGGTAAGGTCTTCAAAAAAATTTTTTCGACCCCTTATCGATTATTTTCGATTTTGATTTTGGGCTCATTCGAAAGCCCTTGAAATTTGCTACAAGATAGCAATAGTCTTATTTCTCAGAAAAATTCCATAGAGAGATACAAGACGATAAACTTTCTATGTGTCATTAGAGGGGATTTTATGGGGGCATTTAGACGATTTTTGCTGCATCAGAAGATTAACGGCCCGTATCTTTCTAATCGAATTTCCTATAAAATTTCATTAATGCTATCTTGTAGCAAATTTCAAGGGCTTTCGAATGAGCCCAAAATCAAAATCGAAAATAATCGATAAGGGGTCGAAAAAATTTTTTTGAAGACCTTACCCCCGTTTTACGTTGATTTTCGAGGTCTCAGGATCTCAGCTCCGGGTAAAGATACGGGTCTAATTTTTTTTTATTTTTTCATAATATCATTATGTATTGTTGCTAGAATTTTTGTAGATTTTTCCTATACTTGGAAATATCTTTTTTGAAAAGTGGACTTATAATTTTGTGGAGGCCGAAAACGCAAATTTTGGTCTAAAAATTTTTTAAATAAAAATTCAGCCAAAAATCGAATCACACCTTGTTAGTTATTCACTAAAAGGTGTGTTTCTAAATTTCCAGAAAATTTTGATCACTGTGAGTCAAAAAATCCCGAAAAAAGGGGTGGACTTATAATTATGTGGAGCAGTGTATGTATGTATAACCAATAACCGGTAAATAAATAGAAGGTCCAAAAGATTGGTTAAAACAATTTGAAAGAGCAAATAAAATTTAAATAAATTCTCTATTGTTAACAAATCCTTTAGAGAAATAAATAGGATTTTGTATAAATTATTGCGAATCAGATTTGAAAAAAAAAAAACAAAAAAAGAGATTGAACCCTTTTTTGAGAATAATAAATTGAGAAAAAAAAATATATTATTTTTTTGGAATGAGATGAGAGAAAAATCAAGTCAAAAAATGAGATTTTTGACAATTAAAATAAAAAAATTTGTCCTCATAAATGAGAGTATATAACGGGTCAACTAACAATAATCTATTAACAAAACTAGCAGACAAAAAACAAACAAAACTTAAAGTTTAATTTTCGTCCATTCATTACTTGCCACATAATCAAAAGCAAACGGTCCCGCTCCATAAATGCGATCATGATGAGGAATTTTCGTGAATTTAACATCGCAAAATAATTTAGAATCTCCTTTTTTCTTCGGTAGATGAGTTTT